GGCCTGCAGAATGTTTTCGCAGTGCCGTGGCGCGGGGTGCCGCGGGAAGGAAGCGGAGCGGCGCGGAGCCCATTTCCCGCTCGCTGTACGTATATCATGCGGCGCCCGGGCGGCAACGGGTGAAAAGAAGAGAAAATAAAGAGCAAGTGGGAAGTCGGCGGGCAGGTTGCGGGCCGGGCCGGCCGACACACCTTATCACGTCACACGCCTGTTTAATGGCCGCGGTCTTCCAGGCTTCATGCGCTGGAGGGTCTGGCTGAGCCTCGCAGGCGGGCTGGGGGGTGACTCGTACTTGCCACCGCCCGGAGGTGACCAGCTGCCTCTCGCGCGTCGCGTCGCGGTCTGGCCAAGGCCGGCCAAGGCAGTCCGGAGGTGGACAGTGTGTTGCGGTTGCGGTGCCGCCGCGGTGGCAGATGGGGCGACACTGATAGCGCTGTGTCCGAGGCCGTGCCGTGCCGTGCGGTGCGGTGCGGTGCCGCCTCGGCCCGCGCGCGTCGGCCTCAGGTGCTGCCGAGTCATTAGTCATTCGAGTCGGCCAGTGTGCCAGTGGGCCGTACTCACGCGGCCTCGGCACATCGGTCGCCGCGTGGCGCCGCGGTAGTGAGCGCAGCGCGCAGCGGTGCCCCAAGACACGCTCCCTCGAACCGCAGACTGCAGGCGACGGGGACGGCCGGCCACTACTGCGCCTTTTATGGCAGGACGCGAAATAAACGTGCATGTGTAGTTGGAGGGACGTGGAGCGATCTCGTTTTGAAAACGCTGGCGGCAGGTCCGTTTTACTCTCCGGCCCGGCTCGCTTGAGGCGGCTTGAGTGCAGTGCTGTGGTGGTGGTGGTGCGGGTGGAGCGGGGCGGCGACGGCGCAGCGAGGACGACCCGTTTTACAAGCGGTCGTAATCCTGGAGTAGATGGACTACGTCTCGGTTTCCACCTGGACGAGCCGGGCTGGGGCGGGGCGGGGCGGGGCGGGGCGTGGGGCGTGGCTACTCGGTCTGCTGAACGCCCTCCGGGACGCCACTCTTCGCCACGCCTTGAGCGCGCTTTATGCTCCAGCCTAGTGTCCTGGCACGCTCTGGTCGTAACTGAACTCTCTCTCTCTCTCTCTCTCTCTCTCTCTCTCTCTCTCTCTCTCTCTCTCTCTCTCTCTCTCTCTCTCTCTCTCTCTCTCTCTCTGTCCCTCTCACGCTCACACAGACTCACGCGCGCGGACACACGGACATACGCATGCACTCTCACGTACACACTCAAACAGAGAAACACTCACACATACAGCGGCAGCCAGCAACAGGGTATTCTTCTCGAACCCCGACAGGCGGCGGAGCTGAAATAAATACACGAAACAGAGAGAGAGAGAGAGAGGAGGAGCAGGTCCGCCTTCATTTCCTAGACACGTCTGTGACACCCTTAAGCGGAGTTTTTATTGCTCGAGGTCCCACAGACAGTGTTGTGCCTTCCCGTATAGCGGACACACAGACAGACACACACACACACGCGCGCGCGTGCGGCCTGTCGGATCGTAATCCCTGCCGTCCCTCAGCCTGCCTCCTAATTCTCCCCGCCTCTTTCAAAAAAAAAGAGAGAGAGAATAATAACTCCATTCTGTGTCGGACTTTAATGGCTTTGAGTTTGCCATATTCCGCGGAGAGCCCTCCCCCTCCCCCTCCGGGACATTTATTTCTGGAGCAGTAAACGTTGTCCGTCGGTCTGTATTATGCTAAGGGCGCCCCGAGTCGCCCCCCAAGCGGCCCCCAGCGGCCCGAGCGGGCTGGCTGTGAGTCTGGTGAGTCTGGTGAATCGCAAGCGAGACGCGGCCGAGCCGGCCGATGATGCAGTCGACGAACCGACTTCATTTGCGGGAGCACCAGCCCGCGCGATGACAACGGGACGGCAGCCACCCCCGCACGGCAAACAAAACCCCCCACTTCCGATTCGGTTTTCGAGACGCGCCCGTGGCAGTCCCGGCGGCCCTGGCCCTGCCCTGGCCACGCCCTCGCAGTGCACCGCCTGCTGCAGGACAACGAGCCCGCCGGCCCGTGGAGCAGATAGAGGCCGACCTGTTGACCCTTATCCGAGCGCGGGGCGGCCCGGGCCTGGCAGTAGGGCCCAGGTCCGGCCGGCCACAATGGCCGAACGCCCGAAGGCCCGAAGGGAAGGGCCGGAAGAAAAGTACGCCGGGGAGGGGGGGGAGGGGGGGAGGGGAGGGGAGGGGAGGGGGAGGGGAGGGGGAGGGGCTGCGGCATTGTCGACGAAATGCGCGCAGTGCTGCCCTTTCCATTTAAGAAGAGAAGGATGCAATAAACTTTGTCCACGAATTTTTCTGCATGTTTTTTTCTTCTTTCTTTTCCTGCCGCGCGTCGCCGACCGTGCTTGGGCCTCTCTGTGCCGGGCCGCTCTGTATAGAAGCAAGTGTCCAACTTTGGCGGGCTGACGGCTGGACTTGTCGACGCCCGGGGCGGGCGGGGCGGGCGGGGCGGGGTACACCGGGGGAAGGGGGGGTCGCAGGGCGCCCAACAGAGGTGCCCAGTTGATGAAAGACCAGGAAGCTGTGCCGCCGCCTGTGCTGTGCCGTGGCTGTACTGCCCGAGTTCCACGCCATGCATCCCCTAACCACCCTGTCGACTGCCCCGTCCCGTCCCGTGCCGTGCCGTCGTGGCATCGAGGCTGGCAGGCGGAACCCGGCACAGAGGCCGTCCCCGCGCGCCCCATCCCGTTTAATAACACTGCTGGCTGAGGCCTGGCGGAGGCGGACTGCGATTTGATGGCCGATTCGGGCCATTTGGCGTCCCTGCCTCTGCTCCGCGCTCCGCGTCCACAGCACCGTCCGGGGCCGTCCGGGGCGGGGCCGCTTCATCATCTTCATGACGGCGGACCGCCTCCCCCGGCCACGACCTCGGCCACGACCTCGACCACGCGCTCACCCGACCTCGTCCCGCGCCACGTCGCCACGTCGACCACGTCCGGGCTGCCTCGTGTGTGTGGTGGTGTGTGTGGTGTGTGTGTGTGTGTGTGTGTGTGTGTGTGTGTGTGTGTGTGTGTGTGTGTGTGTGTGTGTGTGTGGCCTGGCCGAGGCCGTGGCAGCGAAGAGAAGCTCCATGTAAAATGAGCGAGGAAGACAATGCCAAGCTCATCCTTCTCAGCGGTTTTTCTCATCTCCCCCTTTTTCCTCTTCATGGCCATGGCCGGGACCGGGCCGGGCCGGGGCCTGCAAATGAGTGCGGGCCGAGCGAGCCCTTCCATTAACACGCGCGGGCCTCGTGGCCGTGCTGCTCTTGCCGCCCTTGCCGGCCCTTGAGCGCTTAATTGCGTCTTGCGAAGGGAGTGTGTCACCGGGCCGGCCGGGTCGCGGACCGCTTGCGTCGCTGCCTCTCTCGCACCCTCACGACGCTCCGCGACGCTCCATGAGTGCGAGAGAACGACGAGACCAATGCCGCGTTCTGCCGGACCAACAACAACAACAACAACTCACGCACTTGACGTGCCGCACAGAAATCCTCGGCAGAAAGCCGGAAAGGCCGACACGACGCGGAATACGAAACGAACGATGATGCGCTCGCGCGCCTCGCCGCTTTCGCTTTTGTGCGGAATCGGTGGCCGCCGTGGCCGGGGCGAGACAATCGAATAATGTTGTGCACACGGCACACACCTCTGCGTCTGTGTGTGTGTGTGTGCGTTCCTAAACATGACCCCAGGGAGTGACGCCGTGAATTATTCATGCCCCGACACCGGCAACCCCTGCATGTTGCCCGCGAAGCAACGCGAAGCTGCATGGAAATCGGGCGGGAAAAGGAAAAGGAGGCGGCCGAGGCGGTATAGTATGTGCTCCCGTGGCCGGCCAGGCGGCCAGGCAGCCGGCCGCGCTGTCCTTGCAACATGTCAGCCCGATGTTGCAGTCCCAGCGGCGCAGCGTCCTGGAACTGGCACTCGTTGGCCGCGCGGACGGTTACATTGCCAGCACTCCGCCGACTGCCGCGAGCCAGATTGCACTAACCTTCCTGTTTTATTCCTAACCCCCCCCCCTCTCTCTTTCTCTTTTCCTCTCTCTGACGCCGAGCCCCCGTGCGCCTTAACCTTTCCTTCCTGGCGGGCCAACTGCTTTGGGGCCGTAACAAGGATCCCACTCCTCCTCATCCATTCTTTTTTTTTTCTCCTTTCTCCGGCGTGCCTCCTCTAGCACCTGGCCACGCCTGTAAAGAATGAAAACCTAATTTGAGGGCCCCCTCCGCGGCCCGGGCTGGGCTGGGCGGGGCCCCTTGGTTGTCGCCGCGCGCAGAGCAGAGAGGGCGGGCACCGCTCCCTCGGGTCGCACTCGTCCATTTGTTTTGATTACAAAGGTCCAGATTCACAGGGAGGCCCACAGGGCGCCACAGGGCCTGCAGCGCGCGCGGGGCGGCGTGTCGCCCTTTAAGCCGTTATCTCCTTTGTTCCCGCTAATAACGCAGATAGGGCGGATAGGCTCACGAGGCCGACGGGCCGACGGGCCGCAGGACGCACCCTTCGGGCCCTCCGAGCCCTTGGAGCATCAGGCCCTCGCCGCGGCCCTACGGCCCTTGGTCGGACGGCCGGACGGTCGATGAGGATGGAGATAGGATCGCCATTATTTTCCTGCTTTCTCTCTTCGGCTGGCTTCTTCTTTTTTTGCCCCACTTTTCTGTATTGTCTCTGCATGGCCGTGTGCCGCTGGCCCGCCAAGCTGCCTAACTCACCGGGCGGCGGCGGCGGCGGCGGCGGGGCGGCGCCAAAAATCTTGGCATTCGCACGGCCAGACTGTCGCTTCCCTGCCAGCCGCCTTGGGGGAGGGGGGGGGCTCCAACTTTGCCTTCCCGACTCCTAGTCTGCAACTACCCTGACCGCTTGCGCGCTTCGGCGTCTGGGAACGATTCGTCGCCAGGGAGACGGCATTGAGACTTTTCTACTCTTTAAAAATTCAGGGCCTTCGTCTCTGTCTTCTTCTCCAGAGAAACTAAGCGGATATCCTGACGGCGTTGCCTTCCCTTTGTTGCAGACGCGCTCCAGGAGCCTGACGCACATCGCCGCGCTGGACATGTCCGCGGACGCTGGCCGTCCGGACAGACTTGTTGTTCCCGCCGGAGACGGCAGCGGCTGCCACTCGCTGCGGCGACAGAAGCTCACCAGCCGGTCGCAGGTCAGTGGACAGAGTGATTGCCTTCGAGTCCGAAGATTCGTGGTTCAAACATCGTCTGTAACCTTTTTTATTTCTGACCTTTTTTTGCCTAAGAAATGGACTGGCCGTTTATTTTCTGCCACCCCTTTCGCGAAGTACAGTGCTCCGAATTCCTGCTGGTAAATTAGAATGTCAGGCAGAATAAGGGGGTGGTATTTATCAATCAGTCGCCCTTGGCCATCGGGGCGAGGGCTTGCCAGGGCGAGGCGAGGGCTTGCCATGGGCACAGCAGAGGCACAGCCGAGCCACAGCTGTGGCGGTGCAGCCCGGCTTCCATTGCCCTTCATGTAGATGTAGGGCCTGCCCGGCCTGCCCTGCTCGGCCTCTCGGTCCACGTCATTGTCGTCCTGATTGGGATCCGTTTGTCCACCCGGGGTGGCAGGGGCGCGAGGAGGGGTGGCTTGGGGGGGAGGGTACCCAGGGGTGTGCCGTCCCGCCCCGCTCCGCTCGTAGTCGGCCGCGGCCGTGCCGGAGCCTCGCAAGGCTTTGGTGGTGACCGCGGCGGCGCTCGCCGTGATCAAGGTCGCCGAGGAGAAGGAGGAGGCCAGGTTGCCGTCGTCGGAGGCCTGGACCGCCACACCACCCTTCCCGACCCGTATTTCCCGTCGTTTCGTTTTTCGTTTTTCGCGCGTCGCGGCCCCGAAATATGGACAGGTTTATGAGTGCCGCCATGCCGCCCCGCCGGGCGCACTGTACCATCACAATATTTTTCACGCCGTTTTATTTTCGTTTCGATTTTTTTTCTTCTCGGCCGCGTCGAGCGCCGACACGCACGGAGTCTTCTTTATGACCCGGGGCGCGCGGCTCTTTATCGGGAGCATCTCACGCCACCCGCTTACCCCTCCCCCCCCCCTCTCCCCCCGTGGTGGGTCCGGCGGCGTGTCGGCCAGGTGGGGCTTGGCGGGCTTGGCCTGGATAACGAGTGCTTCCGGCGGCGGCCAGCCAGGGCCAGCGAACTCGAAGAGCTTCTTCGGCGACCGCGGCCTCCACCGAGGAGGCCCGGGCCGTGCTGTCATCGCCCTCCCGGGCGTGCTCGGCGTCCTCGGCGTCCTCGGCGTGCTCGGCGCTCCACCGTAGTGTTCATGTTACGCGCGCATCAAAGCGGCCAGACAGCGCGGCAGAGTTTACCCTGGATCGTTCGGCCGGCCAAGAACCCCCTCCCCGTGGCCATGCCGTGGCCGTGCCGTGGCGGAGGGTAGGTCATTGGCGTCGCCCCGATTGCCCCGGCGCTAAACTACCCCCTCCCCGCGAGCCCCCACGCCCCCACCCAGGCCCCCGTCAAGGTGGGCGCGGGGTCATGGAACAAAGTACCCTGCGGCGCCGCCTTCAGCCAATTTTACAATCGAGTCGTTTTCGTTATTGATTTTGTTCGTTCCCGCTTTCAGTTGTCCAGCTCGGAGTACTTCTTGGTGACGTTCGAGGTGGGCGGCGGCGTGGACGCGGACCCGCTCCAGGCCGACGAGGAGTACGTCGTCGCCGCCAAGGGCACCACCCTCGAGTGAGTAGTGCGGCCTGTTTGTTTGCAGGTTCTTTTTGTTGTTGTTTTTTTTTGTCCCAAAACGATCGGCGTTGACGAGCGTGTCGCGCTGCGCCGTGAATGAGGGATCGAGGAAGGCCCGGCCGAGGGCCCCGCCGCCCATTCCTCACCGCCTGCAGTGTGCCGTGACCCGGAATGCGCACCATTCGTCGCCCCGCCGTTCTTTCAATGCCCGGCCGCCCCGTCGCCTCGCCGCCTCGCCGCGGCTATGACGGAAGACGTGCCCGGCCTGTCCTTTGTATGACGCCTCGATGCCCCCACACCCCCACCCCTAACCCGGGCCGCGGGGAAGACCATCCATGGAAGACGCGGCGCGGCGCCTATCGCTGCCGCCTCAGGACACGCACACTACGCGCGGCGCCACGGCGGCACGGCCGTGGCCGCCCTGAAAATGTGTTCGCGCGGCGACGCGAACGCCGAGCCACGGCCTGCCTTCGCCTTGGCGGCGCAGTGTTCGCTGACCTTTCTGCGTGGTATTTGGCTTATAAGGCGAACCTTAGCGCCCCGCCCCCCGGCCCGCCCCGCCCCGCCCCGCCCCGCTGCTCGACATCGCAGCGCCACGGCCGGCCGCGGCGTCCTATATTTAGCCCCGTCCGGGACGCCCGTCCACGACGTCCTGGGAGGGAAGTGTTCCAAAGGGGTTCGGTCGTTGTCGGGTGTCACGCGCGTCCGGATGTGTCTGTCGCGACACCGCAGAGTGTTTCCTTTCCTCCGGTCCGGGAGTCCGGGGGCGAGCCGCCGTGCTGGGCAGGCCGTCTGGCGGCGTGGACAGCGGTGTGCGGCGCGTTGCCTACGCGCCGGTCCGCGGGCGCTCCCCTGTTCCCACGCGGAGCCAGCCGCCAGCCGCGGTGCTGTCCCTCCCCGTGCCGTCCTGTCCACCGCCAGCGGCCCCGCCCGCCCCCTGCTCAGCCCCGCGGCCGAATTTCGCGCATCGTTCCACATCAATTTTCACCTCGGTTTCACTCCATTCTGTGTCTCTCTTCGCCTCTCCCTGTCCAGAATAATTGGTCGACTTTACATTGGCGGCGCGCGGTCGCTGGTCTCTCTTTCTCGCGCTCGCGGGGCGTGTTGGGGCGCGGCTGTGCGAGAGAGACGAGGCAACGGCGCTCCGCTCGGAATCAGACTTGCTGGGGACCGGCTCGTCATTTTATCGGCCAAAACACTCACGGCCGAGCCGCGTGCCGTGCCGCGCCGTACCATGGCTCTCACCACGTCCCGGCCTCATGGCCCTCGGGGCCCTCATCGGGGCCCTCATGGTCCTCGTGGACGACGCGACGGCGGTGCGACACAGCAACTGCATTAACTCCCTGGGGCCAGGCAGGGCCAGGCAGGCCAGGACGCTACGCCCTGCCAAAGCCGCTTTCTGCCAACACCTCGACGGCGGCCATGGGGCCGGGCCAAGGGCCGGGCGGGGCGCGCCGATGTGCACACAGGGGCAGCACGCGGCACGCCGGGTGCCCGCCTCACCCCTGCGCGGAGCCTGGAGACCGCAAGAACTGCGAGTGGTTTGATTGCGCACTGCCATTAGTTGGGCGGGTCGGGGCGGGGCGGGGCGGGGCGGGGCGGGGCGGGGCGGGGCGGGCGGCGAAGGCTGGCTCTCCGCCACCTCCCGCGCCCCGAGTGCTCGCTCAGTGACGCGCGGCCCGCCGAGCCATCGTCAAAATAATGAAACTTTTACTCGGCGCCGTTCCGCATTTACTGCCGCGCCCCAGCCCTTGCATTCCCCGGGCCGTAAACACGTGCCGGTCTGTCTCTCTCGCACTCCCAGTGGACAAGCCACCGAGAGTGAGAGAGCACGAGCGCTGTTCGGAATCGTCTGCGCGGCGGCCTGACAAAATAACGACCCGGCAGCCTGCACCGCGGCCTGCCCGGCCTGCCCGGCTGGGCCTGCCGCACGCGCGGAGCCATGGCGGGGCGGAACGGGACGGAACGCCCCCGCCAGCGACACGGCGGCGTGTCGGCATGCAAGCGCGTGACGGCGCCGCGGCCTGCACCCGTCTCTCTCGCACCCCTACGGGAAGCCCCTGGAGTGCGAGAGAGACGGAGCGAATCCAGCCGCCGTCCGACTCGCCGAGCGCCCCGCCACCAGCAAACCCAGAGCACCCAGAGCCCGGCCGGTGGGTTAGTTGCACGGTTAAATACGGGTATGAAATGCTAAGCAGACTCGGCGCGGTCGCGGTCTAGCGCGGTCTGGTCGGGGCGTGGCTGGCGGCGGGGCGGGCCGGGCCGAGTCACTCGGTTCAGCTGTACACTGTAGGTGTAGGTGTACCGCACGGCCGGCCGCCCGATTACTCCACTGTCGTCGTCACTGCCCCCACCCCCTTGAGCGCTTAGCTCCATCTCGCTCGCACCGCTAAGGCGTCCCGGAGGGGTGCGAGCGAGACAGAGCGACGAAACGCCGCTCGGAATCAGCACACTGGTTGGTGGGACTCGGAAGGGCGTCAATGCAAACGCAAGCGGCTGGCCCTGCAGGTCCTCGACGCGCGGCTCAGTGATTCCGTCTCTCTCGGACTCATGGGGCGTCCCGTAATGGTGTGAGAGAGACAGTGATGAACGGAGGAAAAAGAGGGAGGGGACGATGATTGCAACGCATAATCGAGGCGCGGTGGACGATGGACCCTCGGCGGCCACACCCAGCTCATCTGCGTGTCCGCCTGTGTGTTTGTGTGTGTGCGCGTGTTCGCCTGTGTGCTGCTCATTCCCATTCATACGCCCCTCACAATCGCCGCCTGATTGCGGATTGCGAGTTTATCCGTCGGCATTCTCGCTGGGCCACATCGCGGCCACATCGCGGCCACACGGCGGTCGCCGCCATCATTATTTCGCAACCACGGTTAAAACTACTTTGCCGTTCTTTTCGGCTGTGTGTGTGCGCTTGTGTGTGTGCGCGAGAGTACAAGTGTGTTTGTGTGTACACGTGTGTGTGTGTGTGTGTGAGGGTCCCCAGGGACGCCGTCAAAGGCACGTGGATAAAAACATAGGGCTGGCTGTGCTGGCTGTGCTGGCTGTGCCGCTCGGCGCGCCTAATTGTTTCTGAATGAGCTTTGCGCAAATGAAGGGCCTGGCTCGCGGACCGGGACAACACACCGTCGGGCCGCGCTGTTTTGCCGACCGGGCGGGCCCGGCCCGTTTGATAGCGCTTTTTCGGTGTTTAAAGCAGTCGCTCCGCTACGCTCGGCTACGCTCGGCTACGCTCGGCTGGCAAGCTGGCTCGACGGCAGAAGGGATTGCCGCGATAATCTTTGTGACTGACATGTTCTACTTCCGCACGGTTCCGCGGGGGCGGCGGAGGCGCGCGGCTCGGGCTGGGCACAAAAACAAAGCGGGGAAAGGAGAAATGAGAAAGGAAGCGCGCTTGCCGATATTACAGTCAGTCATCGCGAGGCGGCGAGTGCTGAGGGTGCCGTCGAGGGACGTCCGGGGCGTAGCGGCCATGGTGTCCGCTCCCGAGAGGGCCGCGTCGCGTCGCGTCGCGTCGATATTGACCTGTTTGATCTGGTCCGCGCCCCGCGCCTCGCCCCGTGCGGCGCGCCGTGCGCCGAGCAGACGGGCCGCGCTGCCGCCTGAATCAGCATGCGAGACGGGGAGCGGCCGACGGAAAGCGGAAACGAAAACGAAAACTCCGGGGCAACGGAGAACGGAACGCCGACGGCGACGCTTTTCCTGGCTGTCTGCCTGTTTTCCCGGTTTTCCTCGGCTCTCCTTCCCCTGCCGCGATGCAGTCCGGGCAGGCCCTCGGGCAGGCCGGGCCGGGCTAAGCGGATCAGCACCGGAAGCGGAGCGGCCGCACAAAAAATGACCGAATCGGACGCGCAGGCTCGCTCCCCGTAGAATCATCACTCTAAAAAAAATTATGAAATTTCATATCCAAAGGAGTCTAAAATTTCATAATCACGTTCTAAACCTCAATTTTTATAACCTTCGTATAAAATTTAAGATCGTGTTATGAAACCTAAGATTTGGGTTATGGATTTTAAGATTAACTGGTTATAAACTTTTAGAACAGAGTGACTTATAACTCTGGTTCTTAAAATCTAGATTTTCGCTTTGAAAGTTTATAACGCTAGCCGATTTTAGAGCAAGGTTCTGAAATTTTAAACCGTTTAGTCCTGCTGCCTAGTCCTTTATTCATGGTTAAATTAATAAAGAGGTGAAGTTTTCATTTTTATCGGCATGTGTTAACATTTTCCGAACCGCTAAGGTAGGAGTCCTAGGGGCGGTCTACAAACTGAAAAACGTACATTTTATGCACTAACTGGAGCAAGCACGCTTTTGCTAGCGTATGCCTACTACTTTTTAGTGCATACAGTTATTACATTAATGAGAGGTATGGAGAGCTGTCTGCTTCAGTTCGCGTGTACATGGCATGATGCACTAGTTAGTGCATGCTTGGCGGGCATGCGCTTGTTGGAGCGTACTTGCAGGCATGCTCCAGTTAATGCATGTTCAAAATTTGTGTGTAGTATTTCCCAAGAGGCTGCAAATCGCGTCCCTTGCAATGCCTGACCGGCCACCGTCCTCCGGGCCGAGCCGAGCCGAGCCGAGCCGAGCCGGCCAAGCCGAGCCGAGCCGAGCCGCCCCGAGCTGGCCGAGCCGAGCCGCCCCGAGCCGAGTCGGCGCTGCTTCCACGGAAAATCACCGCTCGCCGGCCTGCCGGCCGAAGCCGAAGCTACCTGTGCCCGGCGAGGGGTCGCGTAATCCCTCGGCCACACGGGATTTCGGCGACACTGCGTCACTTTTAGTGTGTCTTTGTCTCCAGTGCTGTGCACAGCGTATCCAGTTCGCGTCCGCGTCACCGCAAGTTCGCGTCATCAATTTTGTTTCGCTATGTACCGTTAGTGCGCGTAGTGCGTAGAGTGCAGTTAAAGTGTTGCTTGTGGTGCCGAACAGCCACCACTCGTGTTCAAGAGTTACAAGCTATTTTGGCGACCCTCGGAAAAAGGACGTGTTTTCGCCAAAAGCGGTGTTACTGAGTGCTGTTATTCCATCTTCTTAACTGTAGGGACGGGCGATGAACGTGTGGGTGGCGTATTATGTCAATTCGCTTCTCCTCTTTCATCCTCGTCCCCAAAGTAGTTTCTGCGTGTCGACCGAGTTTCCCTAAAGTGCATCTGGATCTCATGCACTGCTGCGCCTCTGACTGTTAACAGCGTCGACTGCACTACAGTACAATGCTAATTTCCGTTGGCCAGCTGCAACGATTTGCGATAATACTGAGTGTGAAAAGAAATCAGCTTTCTGAGATTTCATCATTTGTAACATATTCATTAAGAAAGGGATAAAGGTTTTATTTATTATTATTTTTTAATTATACATTTTGTGGGCAGTAATGAAACTATTATCATGTTTCATAATATTGGTTGTAGAGATTCAGAACCAAATGTGAATTTTCAAAACCAATTGATTCTAAAAAATTAATAAACTAGTTCTTACATTTCATAAACCACTTCTGAAAGTTTAGAACAGCAAGTTATGAAATTTAAGAACTTTTTGGATATGAAATTTAAGATTCATTGTTCTACAAATAACTTCAAATCCAGATTATGAAATTTAAGAAGCATTTTTTTTAGAGTGATTTTCCGATGACTTATTTTTTTAGGAGGAGGGCGGCCGCGGTCGGTGTGGCACCGCGAGGGTAGTCTGTCTGTCCGTCCGTCCGTCCGTTTGGCCCACACACGGCCCGCACCCACGCACGCACGCACACAGACGCAACAGGGACGCACGGACAAACGGAATTAACCGAGCCCCGAACTGGATTCGCGGGGCAGGGCTCGTTCGGTTTCGAAAGGAGCGGACCCTCCCTCCGACCCCCTCCCCTCCCCCTCCCTCTCCCCCGGCCTCGCGATGCAGCAGCTGGCCAATCCCGCTGACGGTGTCCCGGACGTCACCCCCTTCCCCTCCCTCTCCGCCCCGACAGCCGCATCAGGCATGCGGGTCGTGTAGCCTGTGTCTTGGCCTTCCTGACCACTGCACTGCACCGAACCATTTACAGACCGCCTACACTGCGCCCGCTGCTTCCGGCTCACTCTAACGTCCTCTCCGGCGCGGTCCGGTGCGGTTCGAGGCGGTTCGGTGCGGGCATTCCCACATTAAAAGATTTACTGCCCCCTGCGTGCGGCCGTGCGGTCCCCAGAGGAGAAAAATGATGTGGATCGCCGTCCCGTTACGCCCATGCTTCTTATTGTAAGAGAGAGAGAGAGGGGAGGAGGGAGAGAGGGAGAGAAGACAGAAGACAGTGGCAGGGGTCTTATCGGATCGCTCTGAAAATGATGCGCCCGTTTCGTTGCTTGGTTCCGCGTGTCGGCCAAACGAGTTACATTTTCATCGAGTTTCTCTAGTCTTGGCGGCCTGGCGGGCTGGCGGCCTGGCCGGGGCCTGGCGGGGCCTGGCGGGGCCTGGCGGGTGCCTGGCGGGCCTGGCTGGCGGGGCCTGGCGGGGCCGGGCGGGGCCTGGCGGGGCCTGGCGGGGCCTGGCGGGCCTGGCGGGGCGGCCTGGCGGGGCCTGGCGGGGCCTGGCGGGGCCTGGCGGGGCCCGTGGCGGGGCCTGGCGGGGCCTGGCGGGGCCTGGCGGGGCCTGGCGGGGCCTGGCGGGGCCTGGCGGGGCCTGGGCGGGGCCTGGCGGGGCCTGGCGGGGCCTGGCGGCGGCCTGGCGGCTGGCGCCTGGCGGGGCTGGCGGGCCTGGCGGGGCCTGGCGGGGCCTGGCGGGGCCTGGCGGGGCCTGGCGGGGCCTGGCGGGGCCACTCGGGGGAAAACCGCCAGCAATGTGCTTTTGATGAGCAAAAAAATGGATGGCAGCCGAGAGCAAAGGCGGGGCGCGCGGGGCGCGCGGGGCGGGCAGAAGCCCAGGGGCAGTCGGACCCGGTCGGACCGGGCCAACATGACCGATGACGAATGGCCCCACCGCTGCGAATCAATTTGGCCGGTCCGATGCCTTGCAGCGCAGCGCGCAAAAGGGGGAAAAGATAGACAGAGGAGGAGAGGGAGAGAGAGAAAGTAGCCGGGCAGACGAAAAAAACGGCGAGTCCAGCACAGCGATCGGCAGGCCGATTCCACAAATTGAGCTGCTAAATGCAGCGCCCGGCTGTTTGACGGATGCAACACCCCCCTCTCCCTCTCTCAGCCCCTCATCGCATTGGCCGGATATCTATCAGGCGCGAGAGTGGCTGCGTGCAACAGCACCCCGATACAATGAATTGATGATGAGTGTCTCGGCTCTCCCTCTCTCTCCCTCTCCCTCTCTCTCCTTCGCTCTCGGCTCTCTGCTCCGCTTTGCGGGCGTGCCGCCGTCGTGGTGGCTGCGATCCCCCGCTTCGGCGGGCTTAGAGGATATCGCATGGCGTAATGGCTACTCCGGAGAAAGGACGCTGGTTCAACACCCCAAAACTTCGTGTATTTTATATCCTGCTCGGAGAATAATTCATTTATACCTAATATTTCATGTCGGGCAGAAGATAACCGAACGCCACTTTCAAAAACTTTACAAGCGTTATTAAAGTCCAAATCGTCCCGCTCACTCCCGTGTCGGCTTAGATTGTATCTGGGCTAAGAGCGTCATTCCAGTGGCGTGGCTGGTTGGCGTTGGCGGCGCGGCGGGGCGTTTTGCGGTCCCCGGCGGGGCCGGGCGGGGCCGGACCAGGTCCTCTGGCGGAGCTGATTACCCAAGCCCAGCCAGGCCGTGGGCCCTGCCCGCCCCGCCCTGCCGGCCCTGCCCTAATAAGGCTGGCCTGACAAATCGCCCGGCCAGGCGGCCAGGCGGCTCGGCGGCGCTGGGCAGCAGCCTCGCCCACGGCGCCACGGTGCAGAGTACACTGCAGGCACCGCCGAAAGAAGAGGCTCCGTCTCCAAGTTGGCTCGGGGATTTGGGTTCAAGGATTAATGCTCCGGATTACCAGGGAGATGGAGGAAGGGGAGGCTTTGGCCGCCGCGGTGCCGGCACGGTGGCGAGGGAAGCACCCGCTCGGCCGCGTCGAACCGGGCTGGCGGTGCGTGCAAGGGGTGACCAACTCAAGATTTTCATGTACACTGAATATTTAGAGTATGATAACATGTGATTTCTTTGGATTATTTTATTATTTATCACTGATTATAGGAGGTTATTATGTTGATTATTGGGAAATATTGGGGATTATTTGAGCGCCGGCCTCGGAAAGCTGTTAAAGTGTCGGAAATTCAATATTAGTGACTTTGGGCAGCCACTGCGTCAAATTTAGTTGCGGTCATGGGCCTTCCTCGACGCCTTACTATTCTGAAGACCCTACTCTTTCATGCCCCGCCTCGGGAAGGCTTTGACCGCAGATAGTTTGGGAGCAGTGGCCTCGCAAAAATGGTCAAAAAGTGAATGAATTTCAGAAAATCACCGTTTTTGCTGACTTTGAGCGGTCACTGCATCCAATTTAGTTGCGATCAAAGGCCTCCCTCGACGCCTTACTATTCTGAAGACCCTACTCTTTCATGCCCCGCCTCGGGAAGGCTTTGACCGCAGATAGTTTGGGAGCAGTGGCCTCGCAAAAATGGTCAAAAAGTGAATGAATTTCAGAAAATCACCGTTTTTGCTGACTTTGAGCGGTCACTGCATCCAATTTAGTTGCGGTCAAAGGCCTCCCTCGACGCCTTACTATTCTGAAGACCCTACTCTGTTATGCCCCGCCTCGGGAAGGCTTTGACCGCTGATAGTTTGGGAGCAGTGGTCTCACAAAAATGGTCGAAAGTGATATTGAATCCCCGAGAGTACGATTGTCATTTCATTGGATGATCTTGAGTTGGGTACCCCTTGGGTGCGTGTGTGCGTGCCGCGCGTGACGGTCTTCTTGGCCTTGTTCAGGGAGGCGCTGTCCGGGCCCTGCCTGAAGCGAGGCATCGCGCTGAGTGCCGTGTGCGTGCTGCTGGAGGGCTGCAATGTGGACCTCGCCTCCACGTCCCTGCACACCGAGAGCTCGCTGCTCGCCGGCAAGCAGCTGCGCATCCGAGGTAAGTCGCTCTGGCCCTCTCGCACTCACGGCGTGTCGAGAGAGACAGGGAATGTGACGGGGTGCTCGGCGTGCTTCGCGTGTTGCAGCCAAGCACGATGCCAAGACGGGCAAGGCCGTGCTGTCCAGGGCCGCCACGACGCAGCCGCCCACGCTGCGGAAGACGTCCGGGGTGAGTCTGCTTTGCAGTTTTTGCAGTGTGCTGGCTCCCCTTTTACAACGGGGACGGCAAAGCGTGACGGCTCTGTCCTTGCCTGCCGCAGAGCGTCCGCAACAACAGGCGCTTCTTCAGCACCTCCACGGAGGACCCCAGCTGCACGGCGGCCGCGCCGCCAGCACCGGACTTCCTGGGCCTGGAGACCCAGGGCAAGAAGGCGTCCAAGCAGCGCTGGAGTGTCTTCTTCGGCAACAACAAGGTGGGTGTCGTCGTCGCCGCGCCCCGGGTCATCCGGGACCGAGCCTCAACGCGAGCCGCTCTGTAGTGTCGTAAATAAAGAGGAAGCCGCCATTTTTATTATTTCAATTACGTCCCGTAAAAAAGTGGCCTTACGGTAATTACCTGCTGGCAGCGCGCTTTTTTTTTCCTTCTAAAAAAAAATAACCTCATAACAGTAATTGGATTCCAGCTAGTCTGTTAAGTTTGAAAATACGGCGACATGGCCGAGTGGGCCGAGTGGGCCGAAAGCCGCAACTTGGCGTTGAGCTGCGGGCCGCTTTTTGTGGCGTGCGAAAGGATGGGGAGGAGGGGGACAGGAAAAAGAAGCAAAAAGTGGAGGGATGAGAGTGATCCGGGCGGAGAGATGGTGCAGTCCATCGCGGCTCGGTCGGCATTAACATGGATCTCATTTCGCGGCCCGGGCTCCGCAGGCTTCGTCGGCCTCGCCTCGGCCGGGCATTAACGGTGTAGGTGCAGGCCAGAGAGGATCGGAATTCCCGTAATGAAGCCGCAGCACAATCTGTGCGGAAAATGATGGAGGTGGAGGGGGGAGATGACAGCGGGTCGGCCGGCGCGCCGATGGCAGGCCGATGGCGCCGGGGCGTGTGCATGCACCGCCCTTAACCCCCACCGCGGGGGAAAAAAGGGGGGCGTCGATAAGTAATCTGTTCAGGTCCAGCAGACGAGTTTCCTCATTTCAAAAAAAAAGTTGGAAATGAATTTTTTTAGTACAGCCGAGGGAGCGGAAGTCTCGCCGAAATTAAACGTAGAGGGAGCCCAGAATGCATGACGGGATGACGGCGCGTCGCGGCGCGCGGACTTGAGACTGGGGGCATTCTTTGATTACGAAAAGCTTCCCGCTCCAAGGCTGCCTAGAATAATGGCGTGTCCGTCCACCCCTGTCTTGCCGCGAGTAAAGCCCTTTTTTGGGGGGGGGAGTGTCTGTCCGTCCATCCGCGTTTTGAGCTGCCGAATGAGCGGAAACCTGACAGGGACCGCTGACTGCTGCGTCAGGTTTCACAGCGAGGGCACACACACACTCACTCACACGCACACACAGCTCATCATGGGATTACAGTTTGACGCGTCAGTTCTATCGACTCTGCGGAATGGGTAGGTGTGTGTATGTGTGCGTGCGTGGGCCCCGCGTTCCATTGTGTCGGAGTGACAGCCTCCGGTGTCGCCGTGTCCTTGTTTGGCGTCTGGCCGGGTCTCGTCAAAACGAGTTCCTTGGCCCGCCCACCCTTCGCCGCGCGTTTAACCCCGCGGGGCTCCGCTGCAGACTGATTCCGAGAGTCGTCCTTTTCGTAGGTCTGTCTCTCTCGCACCCCTGCGGAACGCCTCGTGAGTGCGAGAGAGACAGAGCGATGAAAACGACTCTCAGTCTGCAGCCGAAGGCCTTCTCCGCGGTCGCCACTCGTTCCGCGCCGTCCGCGCCTTGGGTCCGTTCACCCGCGGCGGCCTGCCTTGTCATTTGTCAAGGCAGCCTGGCGGCACCGCGGCGGCGCGGTCTCATTAACTTGACTTACTGGCGGACGGTAATTGTTCTTGTTCCAGGACACCAAGATCGAGGCCCTGACGGAGCAGCTCGACAGCTACACCAAGCACGGCATCCCCAAGGACCCCAACGGCGGCGCGGACGCCGATCTACGTGAGTTTCGGCTCGCTGTCTTGTCTTTGTTGTTTTTAAGGAGGGGGCGGTGGATCAACGCTCTTGATCACTGCGCGCTGGCGTCGCCTGGCGTGGGCCGTGGAACGCACCTGGTTCCTTTTGGTGGTTCCCCTCGGGACGCGCGCCCGCCGCAGCGCGCCTTGGCGTGTAGTGCGGCGGCGTGGCGGGGGCGGGGGTGGAGGCGGGGGCGGCACAGCCTGCGCCGTCTTCAGCTTTGCCGCCCGCGGCCGTCCAGCTCTTGTCCGTGCCCGCGCCGCCCCCGCCGTAAACCCCTTCCAGCGAGCCTCCCAGCAGACCGTCGCTCTGTCTCTGTCGCACTCATAGGGTGTTCCGAGAGGGTGCGAGAGAGGCCGCTAGCGCTCCAACGCGACGAAACGACTCTACGGAATCGCACGGCAGAATCGGCTGCTGAATTGGAAGTCTGATGCGCAGCATTAGGAGGGAGGGCTGGGGTAGCCGCCCGCCCCGCCCGGCCGCCAACAAAGGCCTCTCTGTTCTCGAGAGGCTCCACTCTCTCTCTCTCGGTCTCTGTCTCTCACCATCTTCACCTCACACGCACGTGCGTGCGAAACTTATTCCCCGCCAAATAATACTACACGGGAAGGGCGGGGAACCGGCCCGCCTCGCTCACTCGCTCACGCAAAGTCATCGGCCTCCGTAAACTTCCTCATGCCTGCGCGCGTACATTCCACCCCACACACACACTCACACGCACGCACGGACTCATTTCGCAGTGTCCACAGGCAAATTTTGAGGACTAATAGAGTCGGGGCATTTCTTGGCGCGGGCCGCTGCCGGCGCGACACTGTTCCGGCCTTCGGGGGGCGGGAAGTGGAAGACAGCAAGGCGGGAACAGGACAGAGACAGTGGCGACAGTGGGAGCAGCTGACATTCAATTTGCACGCAGTTTGTCGGGCCGCCTCGTGCGTACGTGTCACGTTGCCCCGTCCCGCCACTCCTCCACACACGGCCCCCTCGCCCCTCGTCGGGCCTCGGCCTGGGCCACCACGCTGCAGGGCGACGTCGCGTTTTTTTTTTTTTTTTTGTCGTGCCGAACAGCAAACAGCGTGCATGATTCGGGGTTCGCGCATCGCCGGCTGCAATCCGAATCCGGCGCCGGAATTGTCCGTGAACCGCGAAGGGTTTCCTCGCGGGTGAGCCGCGGATTCGGGGAGGCCTTCTGCCTCTTGTTGCGGAGCCAGCGGGGTGACTGTAACTTTCCGGACGTGCTTGACAGGGCTGCACCAGCTGGAGAAGAACTGGCGCGACTTGGTGGAGGGCAGCGACGCGCTGCCGGAGCGCCTGCAGCAGCAGCAGGACGCCATCTGGGAGCTGCTCCACACCGAGATCGCCTACATCCGGACCCTGACCGTCGTCAAGGACGTGAGTAGAAACGGAGCGAAAGCGGCGCCGCGCCGCCATTTTTATTTGGGGAAAAAATCTGTTATCTGCTTGGCGCAATGAATGGTGGGCGCTGCCGCCGTTTTCGGCCCGAACGCGGCGCTCAAAGCCTTCCTTCAGTAAGGCCGCAAGGCCGCACTCCGGGGGCCGATCGGCCGCCGCCCCCACCCCCACTCGCCGCCACCCCCAACCCGCCCCCGCCCCGCCCCCGCTCGCGGATCACACTCCTACTTGACACCGCAATGCATAATTTATCAGCGTGGCGCGGCGCAAACGTGCCGACGCTGTATGACGTGCGCATTGAATATGAAAAGAATGTTGACTGCGAGGCCCTCGCTGTCCCTCTCCCTCTTTCGCCTTGGGCAGCCTTCGCTTCGGGATTTGCGCTTCGCGGCTTCGCCTCTGCCTCTCCTCCCGACCGTCCGCATTTGTTCCCGGCCGAGAGTGATCAAACAGAGTGTTAGTCCGAGAGGTGAGCCAAAGCCCTCCGCCAAAGGCAGCCGGCAGCGCTCGCGCATTCTTCCCGATCCACCTTCCGACCCCGCCGGGGCCCTCGACGGCCCGCCGGGGCCCGCCAAGGCGCTCCGAGGCCCCACCCCCGCCTCGTCACTTGTCCCGTCCGCCCATTTGTCGCTGTCCTCCCGGGCGCCCCACCCCACCCCTCCAGCGGCAACGCGGCAACGAAATCCCGGGCGGGCCGTCGAGGGCACTCGGAAAGGTGGGCAATTGCCTCGATTGGTGGAGGAGCGGAGTGATGCGCCGATGTGGTCTGGCACCACTCCACCGCAAGGCACGAGAACGAGGCGCTGGTTTTAACGGGGCCGTTCCCGCCGCAGCTGTTCCTGGCGTGCCTCACCAGCCTGCAGGAGGCGCGCATCCTCACGGACGTGGACAAGACGCGCCTGTTCAGCAACGTGGTGGACATCCACGCGGCCAACGTGCACTTCTGGGAGCAGTACCTGGCGCCCCTGGTGGCCGCCACGCGCGACACCCGGCAGCCCCTCAACCCCCACCACCTGCTCGACGGCTTCCACAAGGTGAGGCGACGGCGTCATGACGGCGTCGACGGCCCGCTTCCAACTTGAGCGTTTCTTCACCTTGTCTTTGTCATCGCAGTTCGACGAGATATTCCGGCCCTACGTGCAGTACTGCGTCGAGCAGGTGGAGTGCCAGAAGTACTGCCGACAGCAGTCGGAGGGCGAGCTCTTCACAGTGTACCTGGCGGTGAGTACGGCGTGTACGACTCCGGCAGACTCCGGTCAGGCTGGCCGGATTCCGACACTGAATGTTGCAGCACTTTCGATCCGACGCGCGGCGGCCGCGCAGCAAGCGCCAGCATCCGGCTGGCATATGAATGAACGCCGAAGTAATCAGTTTCCCCGCCACCGCGGCCCGGTACTTCTGCGGGGGGGGGGGGGGAGGCAGACAACGCCCATCCTGGCCGCCCTGGCCCCGCGATCCCTGCGCGTCTTGGCTGGCCTGGACCGCTGAAAGCGGAAGAAGTGTTGCATCAGACTTGCTAATGCCTCACAAATGTATTCGCAGCATATCGCGCCTCGCCCCCCGGGCCGCCAGCGCCGCCTGCGCCCGGACGAGGAACTGGGCAGGGGGCAGTGGGGGCGGCGGGGGCAGGGCGGTACCCCCGGGGAGGGGGAGGGGGGATCCCCGCGGACAGACTCCGGCCTATTTATGCCGAAGGAAGGGGAGCCGGGCGATTAGGAACGGCACACTCAGTGCCGCCATTTGTACGAGATGGGCGGAGATGGGCCCCTTTGGGGAGCTCTAGTAGCTAGTGGCTTGTAGGGCATTGCACGGAATCGCGGATTCGGGAACCGGCTGGTGGGCGCGCGCCATCCGCCATCCGCCCGCCATTCATTTCCTGTTGCTGGTTTCACAGTGGTGTGAGACGCAGAGCGCCTGCGACCGGCTGCGGCTCGTGGACATCCTGGTAAAGCCGATGCAGCGCCTCACCAAGTACTCCCTGCTGCTCAAGGCCATCCACAAGATGACGGACTGTGAGGAGCAGCGACAGGGCCTCGATTACATGGTGAATTGAAAGACGGAAAATGAAAGACTGGTAGTAGTGTTGAAAGCGCCTCCTCTCAGTCATGCTTGTGCCGGCGCAGATCCGGAGGGTGGACGACTTCGTCAACAGCGTCAACTCGAGGCTGCGGGAGCGGCAGGACCAGGACAGGCTGCGGGCCATCATCGCCCGGATAGAGAACTACGACGTGGTGGTGAGTGAGCCGCCGCGGCACCGCCTATGCCGCTTTCTTCTTCCCGCACCTTGAAATGCAACGCCGTTGCAGGAGTCCAAGGACGAGGACCTGGAGAAGATCGTGCGGCTGTACAGCGACCTGGACCTGACCAGGCCGATGCCCGACTGCCCGTCCTCGCAGCACCGCTACCTGCTGTACGAGGGCGACCTCCGCCTCAGGGACCTCAACAACTCCAAGGTGGACGTGCGCTGCTTCCTGATGACGGACATGCTGCTGGTGTGCAAGGCCACGAGCAAGAAGGGCGAGTCCCGGACGGCGCGCGTCCGCGTGCTGCGCCCGCCCTACCTGGTGGAGCGGCTCGTGGTGCAGGAGCTGCCCCGGGACCCTCCCACGCTGGCCTGCGTGTACCTCAACGAGTACAAGGTGGCCACCACCGCCTTCCTGCTGTCCAGCCCCGAGGCCAAGGTCGTCAAGACGTGGAACGACATGATCCGCAAGGCGCGCGGCCTGTACGCCCAGGTAACTGCCGGGTCCGTCCCGATGAGACTTGCCTCTCGACCCCGCTGCACATTGTGACTCCATTTACCGTGTTGCAGGCCAAGCAGGCGGCGGGATCGACGCCGGGCGTGTCACTGCCGCACCACGCGCCGCCCCTGTCGCAGTCCCGGCAGCCGTCCTCGTTGTACGACGAGGACACGGCGCCGTCCATGGGGCTGTCCATGACGCTGTCCATGACGCTGTCCCAGCACGAGGACGACGCGCCGGAGGGCGACGCGCACGCCGACACGCACTCGTGCGCCTCCTACTCGCTGGGGCTGTACCCGCAGCGCAGCCCCAGGGGGTCGACGCGCGGCAGCAGCCTCAATCACTCGCACAGGTACGTTCCCTGATGAAAGTGCAACCGTATCGCCCTTGGGGTTCCCCGGGGAGAGAGGGAGGGGGGGAAAGGCTTCCGGAGTGGTTCTGATCTCGCAAGGGCTGCTTCGCGTTGCAGCGGGTCTGTGGAGATGAACGAGGCCTCGTCGCTCAGCAGCGTCTCGCACTCGAGGGGCATCAGCGTGGACAACAACGAGTTGCGCGCGTCGTCGCTGAGCTCGGACGAGGGCATCCCGCCCCTCGGCGCCGACCACCAGTGTGCCACCAGCCGTCGCAGTCTGCGGCGCCCGGCTCAGAGCAAGTCGCCCAGCCCCAACACGCTGAGCATCCAGGTGCCCGTCTTCTCCTCGCTGGGGCAGTCGCTGCCCAACCTCAACCTGGCCGCGTCGCACTCCGGCGGCGTGCAGCCGCCCTCCTCGCTGCTGCTCGTGCCGCCCAGCGGCAAGCTCCACCAGCACCACGGCCCGCTGAGCCCAGGTAAGCCGCCGAGGGCTGGCCAAGGGCTTGGCTTGGCTGGGTTCGGGGCGTCTGTCTGACCGCGCTTCGCCCCTTCGGCCCGCAGGCCACCGCGGCACGTCCTACCCGCCGAGGGCTGGCCAAGGGCTTGGCTTGGCTGGGTTCGGGGCGTCTGTCTGACCGCGCTTCGCCCCTTCGGCCCGCAGGCCACCGCGGCACGTCCTACCCGCCGAGGGCTGGCCAAGGGCTTGGCTTGGCTGGGTTCGGGGCGTCTGTCTGACCGCGCTTCGCCCCTTCGGCCCGCAGGCCACCGCGGCACGTCCTACCCGCCGAGGGCTGGCCAAGGGCTTGGCTTGGCTGGGTTCAAACCTTGGGGCGTCTGTCTGACCGCGCTTCGCCCCTTCGGCCCGCAGGCCACCGCGGCACGTCCTACCCGCCGCCGTCGCCCCCGCGGGGCTCGCTGCACCGCGGGCTGGCTCTGGTCGCCTCGCGGAACCCGCCGCTCATGAAGATGAGGCACGTGTCGTCGGTGGGGGTGCCCAGCCTGCCCAGCCAGCAGTCCTGCTCGTCGGGCTGCTCGGCCTGGGTGCCGCCCCCGCCGCCCGGCCAGCAGGCCGCCACGGACACCCTGGACCTGGACGTGCCCGTCCTGGCGGGGGCGGCGTCCCCGCAGCAGCAGGGCGCCGAGGCCCCGCCCGGTCAGTCGTCCGCCGCGGGGACGGGGACGGGACCGCGCCAGGCCTTCGTCACCAAGAGGCTGACGCGCGGCGAGAACCGGCGCTACCACACCGCGGGCGCCGTGGACGACGTCAAGGTGAGCTAAAATCGGTAACGAACAGGGCGCGTCGACGCTCTGTATCTCGCATCTTGGAGAGAGAAGTGCACGACAACGATGTGCGGAATGTGTCTAACTTGACGGCCTCGTTGGCGTCGCGGCATTCGGCTTGCAGAAGGCGGAGGGACGAGACGCGTCCATACAGAAGCGCTTCTCCTGGAACTACGGGCCGCAGAGCTGCGCCAAACGGCAGCTGCACGCCGCGCAGGACGGGCTGGACGACGGCGCGGGCGGCGGCCAGATCAGCCAGGTCGGCCATCACCAGGACGTGCTTCTCATCGACCGGGCCACGAGCCCTCTGGAGCCCCCGCCCCAGAACATCACAGGTACACCCAGCAACACACTTTTGGAAAGTTCAAGTTCGGAGCCGCCGGCCGAATCGAGCGTGGTGACGGTCTCTCAGAGTCAGAGGGAGCGCCTGCGTTCGGCGGGATAGGCTGTACCGCAGGCCGCCCTGTGCGGCGGGACTGCCTACCCTCGCGATTGCAGGCGTTCGCGGTGCCGCGTACTCTCGGTTCTGCCCGACTGGCGCCACTCGCTCGCCCTCCAAGGACTCGAGAAGTGCCTTTGTTTCTCTGCGACTGAGCTGTTGATCTCTATCCCACCGCAGATGCGGCCTGGAGTCACGTGCACGCGGGGTCCATGGGGTCCGTGGGGTCCATGGGGTCCACGGAGAGGAACCCGTTCGCCGAGCCGGTGCTGTTCCAGAGCCCCAGCGTGGGCTCCAGTCCCAGTGTGTCGCTGTGCGGAGACTGCTCCCCATGCCCCGCGCCGGGGGTGGCAGCAGCCACAGGGGCGGTCCACGGCGTCTCGGGGGTGGCGGGGGCGGCGGGGGGCAGCGTCACCTCCAGCCCCGCGCTCTCCACCAGCAGCCCCGTGGGGCCCGTGCAGCTGCCCAGCCTCAACACCAGCCCCACCATGGGCATGGGTCCCATGGCCAGCAGCAACCCCTTCCTGGAGGACGTCGGCGCCCAGGTACGTCTTCCGTGATCTCCCGACTCCACGGCAGTCGTGCGACCCGCGCTCGTGCTCATGTTGATTGTCTCCCTAACGCACGCTGCCAGGACGTGGATAGCCTCCCTCCAACGGGAAGCACCAACCCCTTCCTTGAGTCGACGGACATTCCGGTAAGGCGAATCGAGAACTGAATGGCCTTAGGCCTTGCCCTGCGCGTCTAGGCTGGGAAGGGCGGGGAAGGGAGGGGAAGCGACGCCATGGCGACGCGACACGTGGATCGTTCTCATTACCATTTTCGTTTTTCTGCCTTGTCAGGATGAACCCAGCTCCGGTGCTGCTTCCGATGAGGTTTTAGTCCTCATAACCGATGCTCAGACAGAGCAAACTACGTGAGTATCATTGAGCACAATTTCACTTTCCGGGCGTGCTTTGTCTTTAACTTTTTTAACTTTTTGCAGAGATGCATAGGTGACTCCAACGACATCGAACATTGACCGAGAAGCTGCGGTCGTCGGGCCTAATTAGTGCATAGAAATAAGCAAATAAAATTCAGAAATTGTGCTTAACACAAATTCAGTGTGCTTATGAATTTTTTATGAAACATAGGTGTAAAATGATCATCACCCTTGGTGCACGACCTGTAAAGGGACCACATGAAATAAGTTCTTCGCAACTTTGTTGCAAATATGAATATGTCAGAGAATGTGATCCTTCACAGCCAAATGAAGTCGAGCATTAATATGGAAAAAAGTGACCTTTCACTTAAATGTCCGAGCCAAAAATAATAATGTGACGACTCGTTTACCTTTTCTTTTCAGATAGTATGAGAAATCTGTTAGATAGCTGAAAAGTACACTCACGCTGTCAGCTAACATATCTTTTAGAACAATGTACACGTTTAAGACAGTAGAAATACTTCTTAGAATTGACACGTAAAAAGTATAAAACATAACTGTAGAAAGCGGCCACATTAGTTTCACCTTAAATGTTACCAAAATCCATCCTTTCCAAGATATTTTCCAAAAAAGAAATCTGTCCTGATATTGTACATGCCATCAAACTCGTGCGGTGTTCTGATGGGTTTGTCTCCCAGCTGGTGCTGGGATGGACCATGGACCTTGCAAGAGGAGGTGAGGGCCCTCTTTTGGGTGCTCAGTCCCTCTTCTTTTTGTGTTTGAAGAAAATAACTTTGAAGGAATGTCACAATATTATGTAGTGAGAGGCACACCATGCCCACCCACTATTCATTTGTTTTCCCTTAAAAGCAAACAGTTGTAAAATAACATTTGTGAATTGTTGCTGTCCTGACATCATATCTAATTTGTTTCAAAGTAAGAAGTTGGTTACACAACTATCCCTTTGGAACTGAAACTTCGCAAGGCCTAATGGTTTATTGAAGTAGTTGGTTCGACTCATTTATTTTATGGTCAAAATGAATATTTTTCCGTTAAGACTAGAACGCTACTTAATTTTGTACAGTGCCCCTTGGCACCTATTATTTTTCTCAAAGTGACCTCCAGCTAGGTCTTGGACCAATCTTTCTAGCTTTTTATGAGGTAAACAGGATTCTCAAATTTCTTGCGTCAGTTGTAGAGTTGTATTTTCATCGTCCTGCTGAACCCAACTTTCCTAGACTGTCAAGACACGTGACTCCATATTTCTGTTACATTTTGTACTTGTATTTTTGCAAATACCTCAGTTCTATGCTTTTAAATTGTACTTCTAGTAAAAAAAGTCATCAGGTCATTTTCTGACAATGCAAATGTGCGCAGCCTTGAATGAAAATAGATGAATTGAATTGTCTCTACAAATTGAAAATAGTAATAATTTAAGATAAGTAAGTAATTTACGCTTTAAGTACCCTCTGAATGAGGGACTTTAAATGGGGGAGTACGTTTAAATTCATTTAAGTTATGGCCATAGCTCTCAGAGCCTATGCCATAAATAGCAGCTCAAATTACTATTGAGATTTGTAGAAAATGTACATAGTATTAAAGTAGTAAGTTCTTTTCCTTTTGAAAAAAATTCTATGTTCAGCTAAAGAACTTGCCTTGTTAGTGTTAACCTTAGCAATAATAGGAAGATGAAGACAAAATTAAATATTTCTTTTCACATTGAAACTGCACTACTCTGTTTATTGCCTTGTTTCTTTTTTCTCCATTCTAACTTAATATTTCAGGTATGAGATAAGGGAACCAGCAAAAAAGCAGGGGGGAAAAAAAAGGATTTTGCACATGAAATGTAATCAATATTATTTATTTTCAACTAAAATAATGTCCTTTTCACAAAACATTACTCAGCAGCTTTCTGTGATGTACAACAGTGCAAGTTCTTACAATTTGACTGTAAGATCATCACATGTACACTTAAGAATTTAAATATGAACAAATTAACAAGAATATAGAGAACTTTACTGAAGCAATAATAAAATTCCATAAGGTCAATGACAAAAAAAAGGAGGGAATGCAGCTACGTAGTCACAAGTATCAATAAAAGCTGTTCAAGCATTAATCAAAGAACATGAGTAAAAAATTATCACTTTATAGAATTATCTTCTTTTTGGGATAAAAGTATCTAAATACGATCAATAATAAGCCACTTCTCAGTTACGTCTTCGACTTGATTGGAAACAATAGGATTCCGAAGGCGAATCTTGACTTCTAGTTTGCCGCCAACAGCCTTCCGCCCATCCATCAGCTGAAATAAAGAAGAAAAAGTTGCATCAAACATTTTCAGTTATTCAACATATAAGGTAAAAAATAAAACGAAACTTCAAAAAATATCTTACATCAAAAGAGTCATGAATAATGCATTTTGATTCTAGTGGCTGAAGTTTGATGGTGGCGGTTCCTATTAGTGTATCACTTCGGAAGAATCCACTGAAACAGAAAGCAACACTAGTTTTACTATAATTTCGTTTGCAGGAGGGACAATTAACTTAGCATTTTTCATTAGCACAAAAAACTTAAGTATATACCAAAACAAGAGAGAACAGGCCTAGAAACATGGCAAAACTAGATCACTACTGCAAACAGCCAAAAACAAAAAGAAAGAAAGAAAGAAAGAAAGACTAGAAAGTCAAAGAAACCACAGGCAAATAAACTTAGTATGATGCACCACAAAACTTCCTTGTCCCCTGAAAACATGCATGACACAAACATATGCATTACCTAGGTTCTGAATTTGGAGCCCCACAACAGAGAGATATCAGGAATGCCCTGCAACCATAATAGCAAGATCCTTCAAGCTTTTTATCTCGCCTGCAGTGTTTGGTCACCAAGCCAGTACAACGGTCGTTCATGTACAGTGGTGGGCCAGCCAAGATGAGAATGTCACCCTTCACCCAAGGTGCTCAATGAACATAGCACAAGAACAAGTGCCAGACAGACAAGCCCCAAAAGTCTTGGAAGCAACAGCAAGCAACTTGCTTGCTCACCTCCTATCCATTCCACCTTAACTTGTAACTTGTATAGGTTTCAAGTATGGTGGAGGATCACACACAAGTAATTCAAATTTCCCACTGCATGCTCATTGCAGGACAAAACAAGAACATGATTCCCAAGACTTCACCATCTCAGTGATATGCTGATCAATTTCTATTAAATGGCTACAGTGTCTGGCTGTAGTTTTGCAAACAGAGGCTATAATTGTTTCTAGATTCTTACTATTATTGTTATCAAGGTCTACTCAGAAAAACAATAATTTCTGTACTACCGATTAAAACAATTCTGGAGGACAAAGGTTAAATAGAATGACTATTTTTACAAATACCTAAAAGCTAGGTATGCACACACTATATTTCACATTAGCTATTGGCTAGAAATCAAAAAAAGGTAAAGGAAAAATATGTGTGGACAGAGTAAACAGTAAGGGAGTAATTATTAATTAAACTCTTCTCAGATTGTGCACACACAATGGAGTAACCAAATATTGCGTATTCATGCAAAACATAAGCTTCTTATTCCAATCATACTCACCCTCGCGACCACACTTCACACTTAATTCCATGTCTTTTGAATATTCTCTGGCATGCTCGGACATTCCTTTGAATTTGTAAATTGAATTTACCATCATACACAGGATTATTTGTATCTTTAACAAGATTTGTTCTATCTTTCTGAGGCTCTTCCTAGGAAAGGAATGAGAAATCACAAATAGGGTAAATCAGGAAAAATGGAAATGGTACTTGTACATCTCTGCAAGGTATTTTCTTACAGCACTGGGCCATGGCAGTTCAAATCGAACATATGTATCCACATCTTTAGGGTTTGGAACATTGTAATTAATTCCTTGAACAATGGTAAGTTCTAAATCATTATCCATCAAGTCAGTACAGCACCTGAAATACATTAAATATGTAAGTGAGTAAGCAAGTAATGATGTAGCGTTACACTGGTCCTAGTGGAAGAGCTCTTACTGGACAATGCTGAATTTCCTTGTTTCATAATGGAATTTTGGAATAGGATCTTTCCGTCTGAAGGCATGTTTCACAGCATCCATATCTTTCTTTGAATGTACAGCCATATTTTCAAACCGATTAGCACTAGCAATATCTCCCATAGCTTTAAAATGGTCTCTGGTAGACATGCAAGTCTGCACTTGTTTCTGAAGATCTTGAACCAACTTTTCATATATTTCATCATCAGTACCAGCAACACAATCTTCAGTGGAAATTATGTCAAAATCAGCTTCAAGCTCCACTTTAGCCTTGGGAGGAACAGGAAGCTGGAAAAATTAAAAGTTAAAAATAAGAAATAATATCAAAAGTAAATTTTTAAAAAAATTTGTTAATTTGGAACAAAAAATCCACTTACTGTCTTCAAATCTACTGGAAGCCCACTTTGAGTTGCTTCAATTAATTTATCAAATCCTTTAGAGAGTCGTAGATACTCCTTGGCCTGGTTGAGTTCACCCCTAGATTTGGCTTCCATGGCGGCAACTTTGAAATCTTTTTGTCGCTCTACCAAGAGGGCCATTTGTTTCTCCTGGCGAGAGGCTGGCGACTTGCGAACTGTATTCATTGATGGAAACAAACATAAAAACAGGCTTATTTCAATTTCATTATTACATTAAAATGCTTAAGACTCACCATTGGCCTTTGGCGCTGATCCTGAGGGAATGGGACTAGGCGGAGCTTGACCTCCGCTCTTCTGCTCCTCTGGTTGACGGGGCGGTGTATTTGATCTAGCTGGAGCCGCCGGAGTCGGAGGTGTAACTGAGGGAGCTGGGGCTGGAGTGGGGTCTGCAGCGCTGGATCCACTGCCTCCAGGAATTGGAATGGGTGGGTAACCTTGAAATACAATTGATAATGGATTAAAGAATGACATTGTAATAAGCGATGCAATGGGTGAACATCAAAATAATTATTATAATACGCACCAGGAGGAGAAGGTAATTCATCAGCAGCAAATGGCTTGCCAGCTTTGTGACGCTTGATGGCATCCTGATACTGTTTCACTATGCGGCCCATTTGGCGTTCTTTCCTAGAATTACCATCAGCTTTGGCAGCTGCTTCTTGTTTCTGGTAAAGCTCAAGTCTTTGAACAAGAGCTTCCATAATAGTCTTAGGAATTGACGGACCTGAAAAACACAGGAAAATAAATTATCTTCACATAATGGTACAGAAAAACAAAATCTTGTCAAAGGAGTGTTACTTATTTCATACTTTGACTCATTGCACTACTACCTTCAGGGGTAGGAGCTTCTGGAGCTTCTGGAGCAACTGGAGACGGTTCAGGAGCAGAAGAAGCCTGATTCTCTGCTGTTTCACAAGTTGGTTTCGGTACACTTGAAGCTGCAGCTTGCACTTCCCAAGGAGGTGGTGGCATCTCACTCAAGTCAGCATGCTGTCCTCCTTTTACACCCTCAATAACAATATCAAATTGCTGCAATAGCAGATAAAAAATTAAGCCATATATTTTTAATTGCTTTTCTACTTCTTGAAAGTGTGACTGTAACATAAAGAAACTGGCTAACCTTTACAATTTGAGCAAATCTCAAAGCCTCTGGTTTGTTTCCCGCTCTCTTGGCAGCTACTGCAGCTTGACGATACTGAGTGCGCCGCTCCTCAAGCTTAGCAACAACTTCTGGGTCAAAAGAAGGGGATCCACTACTCTCTTCATGTTTCTCAGGTTGAGTGGAGCTGGTTCCATCTTCAGGTGCACTGGGCGACTCCTCTGTTTTAACATCTGCAGGTGCCAAAGTCTGGTCCTCTTGAGGAGGAGGAGGGGGGGCAGGTCGCATTGGAACAACTAAGAAAATAAATCACTGCTTCAAAGAAAAGCTCTATCTAGTCTAATTATAATTGAATACAAGCTGATAATTGTACCAGGTTCTGGTTCAGAGACATCCGTAGCAGGTGCCTGAACAGGTGGAGGGGCACTGCCTCCTGCTCGAGTTGCAACAGGTGGAGGAATGTCTTCCTCCTTAACAGTTCCCCCTTTTTTAACGGACTTCAGCTGATCTAAAATTGTTTTTGATCCCCGTGCAAACCTATATGACCAATGTAAAATGAAAATTATTGTAATGATAACAAAAAATAATTTTGGTATAATACAATGAAGACATTGACAAATATTCAGGGGGCCCAACCTTCGAGCTCGAGATATTTCACCAGCACTTTTGGCATTAGCTTCGGCAGTCTGGTACATCTTCAATCTCTCTTCAAGAAGAGGTAAAAGGTTACTTAGCTTCCCTTCTTCAGAGGAGTCTTCAGATGCTTCATCACCTTCTTCATTATCGCCAGTCAAATCATTTAGCTCACCCTACATATGCAAGACAGAAAATTTTAGAGTACAATGGATAGACAACAATTCTTTTCTTAAAGCAACATACACAAGTTATAGAACTAACCAAGAGATCTGGATCATTTTCGTCAACTGAATCATCATCTTCTTCATCAACATCTTTGATACTTTCCTTGACGAGTTTGTCTAAATCTGCTTGAGGTATTGGCTTAGGTCGAGCTATAACACAAATAAAAGGTTTAAGTTCTGAATGTCATCAAATAAACGCAATGCGGCAGTGATTATTACCCTTCTTAGGCTTCGGTGCAGAACCCGATGTCAGAGCAGCAAGTTCTGCCTCTAGATCATCGTCATCCCCATCATCATCATCCATTCCCATGTTATCAACATTCATATCCATAAATCCAAACTGTAATGAAAATAACATAGCTACAAAAACAACACAGAACATTCCAATGGCATGACACACACACATTTTATGTTTTGTTTAAAATGTGGGAAGTAGTGTCAACAGATGGGAAGATATGGTAAAAATGTAACACTTCAACGGCGAGACTTCAAACATCCTCTCAAAAGAAATGGAAATGTCGTGAAATCTCAAAAACATAATTTTACCTTCAAGAAAACACTCCTTGGTTAACAGTACTTCTCAGTAACAAGTCAGGAACTTACTTGAGATAAATTCTCCCGGGGAGTTCGTCTCTTTTTAGGCTTTTCTTCCTTCCGACCGAACATGTTGGGCAGCCAAATAAGTTAGTAAAACCAAATGTCAAGGCAATATTTTGATCTGACAAGTATTGACGAAGATAAATAACACAAATCCAAACTGTCTCTTTTATGAGAAATTCAGCTGTAGCATCGTTTGTGTTTTGTTTTTTTTAACCCGTTAGTTCCGGTTCCGGTTTGTTTTGAAACGGTGGCAAAGCAGCCAGAAGATTTAATGTAGTTAGGTGCAGGCTATGGGAAACTCTCTCCAATGAAATAGCCGAAATAGCATTGGAATCGCCATCGTCGAGTCTTTGAGAACGTCTTCAATGAGAAGGCTGATTTCAGACGTTGCTCATTAAAGGGTCTTGTCCAATCAGATCATTAATAAAGTGAAAGAGAAGGAGAAATAAAATGTAGGGCAGTATCAGTCAGTGTATTTGAAAATTTATTACACATTTTAGTGGTTTTACAATTTAAAAGCGTTTGGAGTAGCAAAACCTCATAAGTACTCTGAACCATCTGTGGTCATTTGAGAGGTGCCACTCAGATCCCAATTTCCATCATTTCCATCTGTATTACCATGAATGTTGCTTTCAGAAATATTGCCACTTCCTGGCGCCATCTCCATTTCCATGGTTTCATATGATACTGGTTGAATGCCATCTATGGAAGCACAAAATTTTTACATATAAGGTAAAAAAAATAATTGAGAATATACAAAAGAAAAAAAACCTTATGAAAACACCATAAAATAAATAACCAACCCATGCTGTTGTCATCTAGCAGATCATTGAAGTTTAAATTTGCATTTGACATAGCAGTTGCACAAATATCAGTGTGCCCTCTGGACTGCTGTGGTGCACTGCCATTCGATGACTGTCCACCTGGAATTAGAATATCAGATATAATTGCAACTTGCAACAGAAAACCCAAGACAGCAATTTTAGAAAAGACTAGCAAACACAGTACATGCACCATAATTCCCCCCCCCCTTTATATTCTTTTTGTTTCAAATCTTGGTTAAACTGAGAAGTATATTTTCTTTGCCCTCATAAGGAAAGCAGTTACCTTGAGTGATTTCATGAGGAAAAGAGTTACATTACGGTGGTGCTACAATGATTTTGAACCATCACTTCAAAGAGGGGCACATTCTTTCCTAAAAGGCATTTCCTTATCTAAATTTTTGATAGGAGTAAGTACAAATAAGTTAGGGAAAAAAAGTTCTAGTGTTGGGTGGAGAAAAGGTTCAATCAGGAGCTAAGCCGTCGGTCAGTACACGAAGAAAGTGTGGCAGAGAACGCCAAGATCTACTCAGAGAACTGGACTTCCTCGACCAATCTGCTTCAGGGCGCTGCGGCTGGCGTTGGGTTCGAGAACACTCATTTTCTTAACCTTGGGCTTATTATATAAAGCAGTAAATGTGGTGATACCCTATGTAATCAGTTTTAGCACAAAAAAATCAGAAGAAATTTTTTTAAGGAAATAAGAAACTAGTCAAATGGCCATTCTGCAAGAGATGGAATTTCATACACACATGCATTAAGCAAAAACCACAAGAGGAAATGTTGAGACACTAGACAATTTGCAAAAAGCAAACAATTTAAAGCAGGTAGTGAGAAAGTAAAACATGCTGACGAGCCAGTAGTAGTTTAACTTGTCATTAGTCTGCTCACCATCAAGAGTAATATCATCCACAACAAAACTTAGAGCACTCTCATTCTGTGTGCAGGTAGCACTTGCTATGTGACTTGCGTCATCCTCCACATGAGAGTCAAAGTCAACAGAATCACTGACAGAGTGATTAAGGCCCTCCACCAAAATATTCCCACCATCATTCAAAAAGACACCTGTGCAAAACAACTGTTTACATGAAACAGAAAGCAGCTCTCCGGGGACACAAGAGTATTTGCTATAGGATGCACTGATAATAAATTTAAAAGTTGTCTCCAAATGAATCTAAACTTAACAAAGGAATAATTGGGTACTGATTTCTACATTGATTCAAAGAAACACACATCACCTGTCCCACAGACCAAATGCAGTTTATTCAATTATTTTATAAGAAAGAGAATAAGAATCAAGAAGAAACTGTTACAGACCTGTGTTCATATCAGTTTGATTGTTGGGTAAGTTTAAAATCCCTTTAACTGAAGTAACGGAACTATTGCCTGATTCACTAATGACATCCTGGTTCAGGCTCATGACGTTACTTGATTGAAGAATACTTGAAGCTAAAATTTCATTCAGGACAGCTGAGTTATTAAACTGTTCTTGACTCAGATCCAAAACAATTACATTGCTCTGAAAAAGGAACCAAAGAATCTCAGTTAGAATTTTAGAACGAGGTAAACTTAATTAATGGTTACTAGTTGAGCTGTCTTACAGAGCCTGTGGAACCTTGCACAACAGCTGAAGGTAGCTTCTGAACTGTTACAACTCTTGTGGTTGCAGTTGTTGTTGCAGGACTCTGGCAAGTTTGCAGTGAAGTGGATAACTGTGTAGTTTGGTTAGATACAGGCTGCAAATTACTACCTGGCATTGCAGAATTACCTGTAGTCTGAAATTGACTTTGATTTAGGGAAGTTAGTGCTTTACCACCCAACAGAACTTTCCCAACAACCTCCTGTGGGCACAAAAAGAAAAGCATGGTTAGGTAAAGCAAATTATTTAAATAGCAATTTTAACAGCAAAGAGGCTCCTTAGTTGCTGACGCTGACAGTAACAAATTACCTTGCCAGCATGAGAAAGAGTTACTCCTCTACCAAAGGCACCAGAGCCTTTCTGGACGACAATGACGTTAGGCTTGCCACCTGAAGATGACAACGCTACTGAACCTGAAGAGGTAACAGCGGAACCAGCCTGGGAGAATTGAAGTGTCTGCATAGGCTTTGAGGTCACAGAGAGAACATTTCCTCCTTGGGAGGTACTGACAGCTACTTTTGGAAGGCTACTGGAGATGGTCATAACTCTCCCACCTGGCCATGGGTAAAAATATAATTTAAACTTGAGGAACAAAAACACATGAGAGGCATTTCAAAATCACTATTCAATTAAATCTTACCCGCAGGTACAGTTCTAGCAACCATGGAAACAGAGGAGCTTGTAGTAGATTGTGTACTGACAACATACATTGGACCAGATCCAGTTGATTTTGGCAAAAGTTTTGAACTGTTGGTCATATTTGATATGGGCATAATCTTCAAACCTAGAGGGACAATTCAACAGCATTAAATGCAAATTGTAAATGTAAATGAAAATAGAAGTCAAGACATGAGGTTACAAACCAGCAGCATCACTAGACTTCAGAACACCTTGTTTACCAGCCTGTAAAGCTGATTTAAGTTGAACACTTGTGACACCAACACTATTCATTACGTTAGTTTGATTTGGAGTTACAGGTATGACAATAGAATTAGCCCTAGGTCTTGTTTTTGGGGTGGATTGAGCAAAAAGTTTCCCCTGCACTTTAGATGATAAAGTTGAGGAAGTCACTGAAAAGAAATATTTATTTAGTAAAGAAATAAAATATCATTAAGAACTGCTATGACAAAGAAAAGAAAAGGACCTTGGTGAGAGAGTATACTAGATGTAGTTTCAGTGGTTCCTGTGGAGGAAGCACTACCACTGATAACTTGATGAGTTTGTTGATTTGTGTTGAGAACTAAAGTTGATGTGCAGGGCTGACTTGGAGCACTGGTTGATAGAGATTTCACTACAGGAACACTCAGGGAACGCTGCAATATGCTTGGAGTTGTGCTTGATACAATAATAACCTAGAAATTGAGATTGAGGTGTTACAAAGGATTCAGGATAATAACAAAGAAAAATGCAGAAGCTTGTAAGTTTAAAATCTTACCTTGTGAGTGCCAGAAGGAATACCAGCACCAGAGTTGGGAGTTGATGATGCTAATGATAACTTCACTGTTCCTTGTGAGGGAATTGTGATGGTTCTTGTGGAAGGGGTAGGGTTGTGTGCATTGGTTTGAGATAAAGTTGAAGCTAAATTTTGAATCTGTTGAGATACGGTCTGAGCTTGATAAGGCTGCGGCTGTTGATTCGTTCCTGCTGCTGTGGTATGCACAGGAAGAGCCAACGGAGGAGGTGCATGGACTTGCTGCAACGACAGCTGAGCAGTTTGTTGAGGCTGAGACTGCTGCTCATGAGTCACTGGGACTGGGCCTGGGGTGGAGGAGGACGCGGCGGCAGCGGCGGCGGCAGCGGCCTGGAGGGTTTGCTGCTGCACTAGATGACTGTGAGTTTGAGGAGATATAGCTGTAGGCAACTGGCTCAGAGGTGAAGTCACTCCCAAAGGAGATATAGGGGACACTATTTCCTGTGAAAACAAAGAAAGAAAACAGGTTGTCACTCCCAAAATTGTTTTCACACCTTCACGCTGTTCACCTCGGCACTGGTGTGTTGAGACATGAAAGATAGTTTAGAACTAACCTTCTTGAAAGGGGGTGGCATCATTGATGTAGGTGTGTTGACTGTCACATCGAGGGAGGATGACCTGGGTCGTTTCCGAGACAAGCGATCCTCCTGCGGCCTGTCATCTTTTTTGACGAGTAATACCACTTGAGATTTTGCCGGTGCTGGCTGGGTTGATGCTTGTATCAAACGTTGTGTGTGGTTTGTCAGAACTGCTGATGCCACAGTGGGCTCAGGTGCCTGCTCTATTACCACTTCCTCTTTCACCTGGCTTGGGAATGTGGGATCATGCGGTGACGGGGGAGCCGGCTGAGGTGCAGGATCAGAAAGGAAAATTGCAGAACTGCAGTCCTGAAGAGAGCTTGGACTATTTGGAGTAAACTGTGGTGATAGAGTAGAGCAGAGGGTGGGCTTTCCCTGTTGGTTATCTGAAGAATGTTCAGCATTTGGGACAGTGGTGGGGCTTCCCGAAGATACTTGAGATGTTTTGCTAGCCTCTGGAACATTAGGCTCAAGGAGAAACTCGTCAATTGGTGCTGGAAAAAACATAAACAAAAAAAATTAGTTACCTCATGCATTGGAAACGCCACTAATAGAATTAATTCCTCCATATGTAATCAATAAAAGGCATTTAGGAGCTACTGAATTGGTCCTTGCACTTACGAGATGTCATCCTCTTCTTTAAAGGTGGTGTAGGAAGTGGTAGTTTAGCACCTTCAGTCATGGCCATATTGGCAACCTTGTCAGCAATGGCAGTGAAAGCAGTTTGTGGCACAAGCCGAGGTAAGAGAGGGACAAGTCTGCGACCCTCAATTGCCCACTCTGTTCCTGAGTTGGTGCCACTCATACTGCCAGAAAAAAAAAAATTAGTACTGTGCATTGTGAAGTTTGAAGAAATTTTAATAGGGAAACTCACTGTTTTGCTATAGTTGCGAGCTTTTCACTGTTAACTGCTCTCCTGCATTCAGCCTTGTGCCTCTCCTCAGAAATACTGAGTGTTTGAGCAACATTTTGAAGTAAGCGACGCTTCTGAGCAGTCAGGCTGCCTTGGGCTCGCAACACAGATACTAGATTGCTGTAAGCTTCAAGTTCTGGAGGGACAAATGTCAAATGTTAAGAAATGAAAAGCATCGGGTATGGCCACAAAATAGCAGCATTAGGAACACAAACCAAGTCTTCTGAGAATCCTTTTGCAGTCATCCCTACTCATATCCAGCAACAAAGGCCAAACGTCTGGTTCCCCCTTCAGGAAAAAAAGAAACAAAAATTGTTGTTGAAGCAGAAACTAGTTGATTGAGTAACAAAACAATACAAAAAAAGTAACAAAATTTAAAAAAATTCATAAAAGAATGATATTAGTATCTGACTAAGGTAAGAGCGAAATATACAATATTATATGGTTGCAGTAGTATATAACATAATTCAGGCACTAGTGCAATCTCACCATTCTCTTTGAGAATCTTTGCAGCAACAGCAGAAGTAGCAGAAACTCCTAGTCGAAACCAGGATTTCGAGTCCAAATGAATTAAAAAGAAAATGATAGCAAAGAGTCAACTCATAAAATTACAAACTTCACTGCAGAAAGCATAAATACAGCGTCGTCCATAGTGCCAAAATTCTAAGGTTAACACAAACAACAAAGTAAGTTTGTTTCTCTCTCTCTCTCCCACTAAATTCCTGCTGTCGTATGTTTATAAGCCTTGTAGAATGTGACGTCTGTGAAGCTCATACCAACATACCGGTGTTACCATGAACGTAGGTTAAAAATCACACCCATCCTTAGCCCGACATAAAATTGTACTTCACGTACAATCTGGTTTATTAAATCTTGTTTTACTTTTACTGTGTCAAAACTACTTCATACTTTCCACGCGATTGTTAACTTTAAATTAAATTACATGTTGTCACTCCCTCAAACGTCACTCAGTGAAAATTCAAACTTTGTTGTACCGGACCGCACTCGCACTCGCACTCGACACTCCCGCCTTTGGCGTACTCTTACTCGCCGTCGGTCTTAAAACACTGGCACCCGGCGCGCTTTTAATGTCGGAACCTGTTTTTTAGCACGACTTGCGACATCGCTCAAGACTTAAGTGATCACTTTTCGCGTCGGCTATTCCTAGGTATAGAATTCATGTAAGTTAGCCAAGACAACGGACGTTGGTCAAGCACAGGCGATCGTTGGCTGAGTTTAATGGATTCATTTTTGCCTTTGTGTTTCTTTTGTTGGATTTTCTGTTTGTTTAGAAAGCATCAGCGCTAAGTCTAACACAGAATTAGTTTCGACTTGTAATCATAATTGCGAAGATTTTTCACGGAGTCGACGACCTGTCATTGTTAACCCAACACTTGCTGCATTTTTCAGAATGGCAGCCGCTCAGGCTGGCGGCGCTATGGCCGATTACCTCAAGATAGAGAAAATCGGAGAAGGTAAGGAATGACGAATTTGCTCTCCAGTACACTGTTGAATGTTTATCTACACCTCATTTTCGTTTTTTGCTGCGCACCTTCAGTTCCACTTCGACTCCTTTATTTCTCCATCTTTTTCTAGCTCTTTCTGTGGTAAACAAACAAGGGCTTTTTCTTTGCTTAGGTACATATGGTGTCGTATACAAAGGCCGCAACAAGGTAACAGGACAAATTGTCGCAATGAAAAAGATTCGTCTCGAAAGTGAAGATGAAGGTATTCCATCCACCGCCATCAGAGAAATTTCTCTACTCAAAGAACTTCAACATCCTAACATTGTCAGGTATCTGAAAATGTAGTTTGAGGTCTGTGATCGTCAGTAAGTGACATTGTTACTTCATTTTTCTTGACTATCAACATTTCAGACTTCTTCAACATGTTATGGAAGAACCTCGCCTCTACCTTATATTTGAATTTCTTTCAATGGACTTGAAAAAGCACATGGACCAATTGAAGGCTGGAGAATGTTTGCCTCCAGAAACTGTTCGGTCTTATTTGTATCAGGTGCGTCTTATCAGTTGGCATTGAGTTATTTATTTGGACTTCTTATTAATCTGCTATTCCTTGTAGATCACCCAGGCCATTCTTTTCTGCCACAAACGCCGAGTCTTCCATCGAGACTTGAAGCCTCAAAACCTTCTCATCGCTGATAAAGGAATCATCAAGGTTGCTGATTTTGGCTTAGGGCGTGCTTTTGGAATTCCTGTCAGAGTTTACACCCATGAGGTCTGTCTGATTTAGGATCGTTGCTGTTGGTTTGCCTTCAGTTTGTGACACACCATTCAATGTAATTCTTGACACAGGTTGTTACTTTGTGGTACCGAGCTCCTGAAATTCTGCTTGGATCTACTCGTTATTCATGCCCAATTGATGTTTGGTCAATTGGTTGCATTTTTGCTGAGATGGCCTCAAAGCGGCCTCTGTTTCAGGGTGATTCTGAAATTGATCAATTATTCAGGATATTCAGGTATAATTACAGTGTTCTATCAATTCATAGCATTGTTTCAATCAATTTCTTAATAATTACCTGTCATTGATTTATAGGGTTCTTACCACACCCAACGAATCCAACTGGCCTGGTGTGACAAGCCTGCGAGAATACAAAGCCACCTTCCCAAGTTGGTCCACCAACAACCTTGCATCACATGCCAAGAACATAAATGAGCAGGGAATGGATCTTCTGCAGGTGTGCATTCTTTCACAGTTTTCTCTGTATCCCATTCAATTTGATCTCATATTGATACATTTTTTCCTTAACATTTTCAGCAAATGTTGATCTACAACCCTGAGAAGAGAATTAGTGCCAGAAATGTCCTTAAGCATCCATTTTTTGATACTTTGGATAAATCAAGCCTCCCTGCTGATGACAGCTAAATAAATGTGCTCAGCAAAATTTCTTCCTTCTTTCCCTAACTAATAATCTCATGTTTTGTCCCCGGATACTTATCTTACTTTCAGTCTCTGTTATGTTTAATTCTATTATTTATTGGGATATTTATTTGCACATGTCAAGTTCAGTGCACTAAGAAGTTAAGATTGGTATTCATTCACATTTGTTTCACATGTCTGTGTACTTCTCCTTGCCCCTCAAAATAAATCATCTAAAATTATCTGAGGTACAGTCTCAGATTTATGAAAAACTGCATCTCTAGTCACCACCATCCTTCTTCTTGAAATAATTACTGTATTTGCTTACAATGTTGCAAACAAGAATTTGTAGAAATCATTGGTTAGCCTAAAAGTGAGACAATGTGGTTGAGTTTTAATATTTTCCTCTTGTGTGTGTGCACTGAACCTCAAGGAGTATGGTTTTCTCTAAGTTTTATTAGCACTTCATCTTATTCGATATCAATTTTTAAAAAAGTTTCTGGTTGACAGAAATTTAAGTGAATGAGGATTGAGCTTTTATGGTATGACCATTCATATTCAAGTGCAGTCTGTTGAAGCTATTGTACATAGTTATGGGCTGTAACATGCTATAATTGTAAGGTGTTCTCTCTTCCTATCTTTCCTGTCATGTACCCATTTTATGCTTCAGAGGATTCATTTTGTGGTTGTATTGTTTTTTTATTAAAAACTGATGTGGACCTTTGTAGCTGTCAAGTTGTTTTTGTCTCCTCTCCTACCTTGCTCTGCCACTCACTGGCTCAAACAGTAAACTTACTTAAACCATGGAGACAAGCTACTAACGTAGGGAGACGCAAGGTCATGTAGTTTGGAGGGAGTGAGACAGACATACTTCGGAGTTTCTTTTTAACACTTTACATTGAATTGGCGATACTTTCGTCACATCCGACTACTCTTATGATAGTTTCTATCCTGTAGGATGACGAAGATGACATTTGTCACTCGAAATATCATCGACATAAATAAAGTCTTCAGTTTCGTAGGTTAGAAAATCGGACCTCTATCTCGCGAGATCTGACATGACCTGGTGACACGCAGTTCTCGTGGTTTATTTCAGGGAAATATTCAACCGATTGCCAAATAAAAGGTATTAACATCATCAATGATCCTTCCTGATTCCATAGACCAGATAAAATTGGATGATTATCGCAATTAAATAGTTTGAAAGTGTTGAAATACCGGAGGGTGTCCCAAACCTTGCGTCTCCCTACGTTAGTAGCTTGTCTCCATGCTTAAACAGAACAAACAGGTTTATTAACCTCAAAGGGACTGTAGTCGTGACTAGAGCTCTAGGGCTGTAGTTGTGACGAAGTGGTCCTGCTTTCTACCACCACCCTTCCGCAAGCACGAGTCAAACTCAAACCAACGGTTTTTGAGACACGGTAAAAGTTAAATTTCCCGGGCATCCCCAGCACAGCCAATAAGAACACCCCGTGTTTTCCTTTTCGTGCCCATTTCGGTGCGAGTGCGAGGCTAGCGCGATGCGAGGCTGCGCGTTATGCTAAAGTTGTCATATAGTCGACCCAGCCAAAGGTCTCGCTTCTTGCGACCGTTAAAACTGCCCCCTCCACCGCGAAAGTCCTCCCGCACCAGCCCCCGCGCTCCCCTCGGCCCTGTGGAGGGGGCGGTTTTAACGGTCGCAAGAAGCGAGACCTTTGGCTGGGTCGACTATACGTGTGAAGGTGCGGCGGGGGGAGGTGGGGGGAAAGAGGAGAGGACGGAGGTTGTCTGAAAACGGTTATACTGTTCCTCGGCGTTGCGAATATGCACTGTGTGACTTTAATTCGTTGACCTTCTTAAGTTGATTCGTCGTGTAAAAAAAAATCTGGTAAATTTTCTTATTTTTTTAGTGTCTTTATATCCGAGCTGTCTCAAAGAAGAGGACAGATCATACAACGCAGAGTAACACTTCACAACAGTCCCTAACCCTATCATACAAACAAAACAAGAAACCGAGCCATTTTCTCCTCTTTGCTATGTTTTTTATGGGGCGGTTAATGGCTTTGAGTATGTTAAGTTCGACAGTGCCTCACTTGTTCTTCTAACGATTGAGTGAAGTTTTTTTTTTTTATCTACACTTTGGTTTTTGAACCACGAATGAGCAACCCCACAACTTTATTGTCAAATCTGTCTTGACTTTTGCAATTGTTTCAATTTAATCTTTGTTTTTGACATTTGTCTTGTGAATAACATGTTTTATTGTTTGTTGTGAATTATTGGCATGGATCATCAACTTTTATTAGCACTACTTCACTGGCTGTATTATCTTTGACAATACTTATTGTTTATTCTTGCAGATGTCGTCATGTTTTGACAAAATAACTGTCATTAGAAATGGGCGTGGATTTTGATGTGGCAGAATTCTGCCGCAAATTGCGCTCTCTGGATGGACCATACAAGTGTCCTGTGGAAAAATGTGACAAAGTTTATCAAAGTGTTGTGGGTATGAGCTATCATCTACTTAAATATGATCACAATGATCCAATAACAAGTGAGGATGCTGCTCCAGCCAGTGGCGCTGTTGCTGGTCTCAAGACTCCATTACAGAAAATCTCAACCCCTAAACCAAGAAGCTCACTAAAATCAGGTATCTTGCATTCCATTTCAAACTGTGTGCATTATTCATCTATAAGCAGTATTTTTAAATTGATTATACTTTCAGGGCGTAAGAAAAAAAGCTCTCATCGTGCTCCTCTACTCAAGAATGCAGTTGATCAGCAGATGATTCAATCTGCTCAGGAAGGCCTTTCTTATGCTGAAGCCCAAGTAATGGTCGAGTTTGAAGTTCAAGGGAAAACTGCACGCGTTCAAATTACAGAACCATTGAAATTCATGGGTAAAGATGACTTTGAAGCATCTCAAAATAGATTGGATGAGAGTATTGCACCAGAAGATGTTGTCACTACTCCTCAAAGAAAGCAGTCTCATACTCCTGGTGGAAAGAAAAGCAAATTATCCAAATCGGCAGCAGCAGCAGCTGCTGCTGCAGCAGCTTCACAACAAGCTGAAAATAGAATAGCCTTACCTGAAGCATGCTTTAAAGTTCTCAGTAATTACAATATTACTGATGCACCTCCACGGCCCACCTTAGCTTACATCCGTTTCATTGAAAAATCTGCTGAAGAATTAGATGGAGAAGTAGAGTATGATATGGATGAAGAGGATTCAGCGTGGTTGAGTATTATCAATGAGCGGCGGGAAGATGTAGGCCTCCCTCCCGTTCCTGTGGATGCATTTGAATTGTTAATGGATCGTTTGGAGAAGGAGTCTTATTTTATGATGCAAGTTAGTGGAAAAGGACCAGAGGGTTCCCCTAGTATTATTGATGATGATGCTGTTTGCTGTATCTGTATGGACGGTGAATGTCAGAACTCCAATGTTATTCTATTCTGTGATATGTGTAATCTAGCGGTACACCAAGACTGTTATGGTGTTCCATACATTCCTGAAGGACAGTGGTTGTGTCGAAGGTGTCTACAATCTCCTTCTCGTGCCGTAGACTGTGTGTTGTGCCCTAACAATGGTGGTGCTTTTAAGCAAACAGATCGAGGACATTGGGCACATGTTGTGTGTGCATTGTGGATTCCGGAAGTTCGCTTTGCCAACACCGTATTTCTTGAGCCCATTGATAGCATTGAAACCATTCCTTCTGCTCGATGGAAATTGACGTGCTACATATGTAAACAGAGAGGCGTAGGGGCATGTATTCAGTGTCACAAGACCAATTGCTATGCAGCATTTCATGTAACCTGCGCTCAGCAAGCAGGGCTATACATGAAAATGGACACAGTACGAGATTCTGAGCCTGGTCCTATTATGGTTCAAAAAACAGCATTCTGTGATAACCACTGCCCACCGGACGCAGAACCACGACCGAAAATCAACAGCAGAACAGGGGGTGGTATTCTGGCCATGTCACCTTCAGGAGAAGCTGCAAGCCCAGGATCTTTGCACTCACCAGGCTCTCCTGATGAGTTCCGAGACAAAATGAAGCATGCAAGACGTGTACTTGCCAAACGTCGATCATGGGCTCCTATCATAAGCATTCCAACCATCCCCCCAGAAAGGTAAATTTTCTATTTAATTCATGAAGTATTATGTTGTTTTCATTAATGGCATTCAATTTTTTATTTTCCCCTTATAAATCAAATTTTAGGATACAAGAGATTGCAACTCATGTTGCTGTACCCAAGAAAAATCAATTTATTCAAAGATTAATTGCCTATTGGACTTTAAAAAGACAGTTCCGCAATGGTGTGCCATTGTTGCGGCGTCTGCAAAGCTCACATCTTCAACGTAGGGATGAGAGGCGAGGTGAAGCAGCAGAATCTAGTGACACTGTAAGTGTTCTTCATTTAACATACTGGTTTAAGTGTTCCATGTTCCATTGTTACAACCTCTTAAAAATTACTCAGGCGGAGCTCTACCGTCAACTGAAGTACTGGCAATGTTTGCGACAAGATTTAGAAAGGGCTCGTTTGTTGTGTGAACTTGTTCGCAAACGTGAAAAGCTGAAGAAAGAATTCATAAAAGTGTATGTATTTAGTCTCTCATGAGCTCACCTTTTGTTTCAATCCATTATTTTCATTAATTCAATGCTTTCAAAATTGAATTTTCAGTAAAGAACAAGAAACTATGATGAGACTTGCTCCACTTCAGAGCATCCTTAGACGTCTTTGGGATGCAATAAAGGCCCGTGATGCAGGGGATATCTTTGGTGAACCAGTTGATCAGAATGAAGTCGTGGATTACGCTGATGTTGTGAAGGAACCCATGGATTTATCCACCATGCACCAAAAATTAGAAAGTTATGAGTATCAAACATTGGATGACTTCCAGCGTGATTTCATTTTGATGATAAATAATTGTCTTGCTTACAATGCCAAAGAGACTGTATTTTATCGAGCTGGTGTGAAATTGAGAGACCAGGGTGGTGCCTTGATAAGAGCTGCAAAAAGAGACATGGAAGTCACAGGGTTTGATCCTGAGTCAGGTCTTTTACTAGATGCTCCTGGATCGGCCAAAAGTATGAACCAACTGAAAGCTGTTGATTCTGACTCTAACACCAAAGCTAAAAAGCAAGACTCTGAAATTCATTCAAGCAACCCTGAAGAATTAGCTGCTGACATTGACATGGAGTTGGGTCGTATTCAAACGGAAGGTAAAACTTGGGTACGTAGTTTTCCTCTGCGCTTTGTTATCTGTTGTCCATCTTTCTTTCTGAAAAAAAAAAAAAAACTATTAACATGATTTTATTACTGCAGAGCTTGGAGGTTAAATTAGATAAGTTGTTGGAACTTAAAGATCTGGTGCAAGACTTAAGATCTGCTATTGCTCGTAACAAACGTGAAAAAGCAATACGAATTGAAATAGCTAATGTACGCCGAAAAATGTCACTTCTAGCATCAGGAAAAAGTCAAGGCGGAAGAAAAAAGACTCTGAAATCAGGTGTGTATTCCATTTTGACTTAATCAGTGTAATGCGTGAACCATATACATTTTCAATGTATTGAACAATTGAACAAATATTCTGTGGTTGTAGACACTGAAGAAAAGACTGATACTAATACAGAGTTGGAGGAAACAACTGAAGAGGAAGAGGAAATAAATGTGACACGGGAGGAAAAGATGGAACCTGCAGGTAATAATGCTCTTCTTTTAACAAAATAATTAAGGGAGGAGGCACAAAATGGACACCTTAGACCGTGTGTTTCTTAAAAATTATTTTTCTGCAGTTAAAAGAGGAAGGAAACGCAAAGTTAGAGAAGAGACTGATGAAGAGGAAGCCAAGGATAATGATAAGCATCGTACAAATTCACACACACCCTCATCCTCAGCCAAAAGTTCGTAAAAATACTCGTACTTTATCTGATTTTGGTATTATAATGTACTGTTTTAAACCACATAATAATAGTTTTTATCTAGCATGTAATTAAAATTATGAATGTTTAAGATTTTTTGCTGAAAACTCTCTGATGATTCCTACGGTAATTTTTGTGGATTTACAGCTCAATCTGCACGGAGGCTTAAACAGGTCTCACTGTTTGATTACTTTGGATCTGATAGTCCCAAAAGTCATGCTGGAGGGACTGTAACAACACCTGTCAAACAAGACTCAAGCATCACCAATAGTGGTGGTAGTTTGACGAGTGCTTCTCCCTCTGGTGTGAATCGAAGAACTGCTGTTCTGTTTACCCGCAAAGCTGCATCTGTTCACCGGAAACCAGACACATCTGACAACACTAGCTTGTGAGTCATTATTTTTGTGTCCACTATCTAAGGATGACAGAAGCCTTATCCAAGTAATGAAAACTCATTTTTTATTTTCCCAGGAGCAATGATTCACCTCTTCCTCCCCCTGGCAAGCGACGCCAGGGACGACCTCGCAAAAACTTGGATACTGCTTTAGGTATAAGGTCTGAAAGTAGCACTCCAATACAAACAATGGGCGATGTAGACGACCTTATGCCAGCTCCTCCAGTGCCTTCCTCGGATAGTTTCCGTTTATATAGAAGTGGCGGTGGTAAGTTCATTTTTTTGTCTTGTTATCATTTCTTTTTATTCTAGATTCTTTCCTTACTATTTATTTTATGCCATTCGGTTTTATTCCTCTCCAGATATAGTAGCAGAAACTGATGATGACACTCAGTCAGAAACCTCATGTTCGTCATGTGATTCGTCAGGAGGTTCGAGTGGCTCATCATGTAGTGATGCAGATGGTGAAGCTGATGAAGATGGCTATGCATCATCTGTTGACGGTACAGTTCCTGGCAGCTCTGGTGAAGATGATGGAGTGCGCTCAAAACCCTCCAAAACTGACAAAAGTCTTTTACCTCCGTTGCAACTTGTCTGGGCTAAGTGCCGTGGATATCCGTGGTATCCCGCTTTGGTAAGTTTCGTTCCTCCCCCCCCCTAAAACATTCTCTGTACGGTTAAATTGGTTTTTTATTTTGGTCAGATCAAAGTTATTGAATTGGTGAACTGTTCTCTCTATTATTTAGATAATTGATCCAGAAATGCCTGCTGGTTACATGCACAATGGTGTCCCTATCCCAGCCCCACCAGATGATGTACTAGCCTTGAAGAGCCAATGTAAAGAACCAGTACACCTTGTTCTGTTTTTTGATGCGAAACGAACATGGTAAGTTAGCATCTTTTCAAGATTTCAAAAAGACCAAATCTGTTTCATGTTGATTCTAAACGCTTTTCTCCAAACAGGCAATGGCTCCCTAGGAATAAACTTGAACTTCTTGGAGAGGACAAAAAATTGGACCAAGTAAAACTTACTGAATCTAGAAAGCCTGCGGAACGTAAGGCTGTCCAAAGAGCTTTCAAAGATGCTATTTTACATCGCATTGAAGTTACTGGAACAGAGCTGGGAGGTGATGCTCAGGCAGCTATTGCACTTCTTGAAGAAGAAGCTGCTTGAATTCCAAGATGTTCTGTTCATACTGAAAATGTACCTGGCTGTCACAAAAAATTTCAGAAAAACTAGGGACCATTACTTGTGCCACATACTGATTTGCTTTGTCATTTTCCTTTCATAATGAATTTTTGCGGGCTGTGTCACAAATGTTAATTTTAGTCTCTTTTTCTAAAAAATTGAACAAATGTTTTTGACTAGACTTTTGCTCAAGCAGGTCTTTGGAATTTTGTTTCATGCAAGAGTATTGGCGTTAAGGCACATCCTTCTACTTTGATTTTTTTGGTTTATAGATGTAGCTAGAGAGATATATATTATAAAAATAGAAAGCACTTCAGTGAAGTGAATTTAATATAAGTGTGTCTTTTCCCAGAAAAAATAAAATTTTGTTAAAGTTATTTATTTAAAAAAACAGGAGTACCTGCATATGGCTGGAAACCCTGTATAATTATGAAAATGCTATCACTTTTAAATTGTATGTCCATTTGTTCCTATATTATGCTCTTTAGTTTCATACTGTAACCTGAGCCACCTCAGTGTGCCTCTGCATTTCCACAGATATTGGTGTTGCTTTTCACAGCAAACAGTAGTTTGGGAGATTCCTATGTGACTTTACAAAGCAGTTCCCTGTATTCTCCTCAATTCATTTACTTGATGTGTACATGATAGCTCAGCAACTCGTAACCTGAAGCTCTTTTGGGTGATCAGTATTGTTTTATTGCTTATTTTTCACAAAGTGCCATTGAAAAATCCTTATCTTTCCCTGAATCAATTTCAATCTCCTGTAATTTGGTTGGTAATTTTTTGCCCCTCTTTTTTTTTCTTTTTACTTAATTTATTATTGTTAGGACTTTAGTCACACCTGTTATGTGCAATTATTGTATGGTATAACTTTTGCATCCTGTAGTAAGGTTTTTTTTTCCCTTTCACCTTTGTTTTATTCTTTCATTTGTGACTATAAGTTACAGTTGACTTTTGTGATAGGTAGTTATAATTATGATCAGTTGCAATAACATTTGTAGTTTGATGCATACAATCAATTATTTTCTTTGACATCATGTGCCTTGTTTTAACCATGTTCTTATTTGTACTTGTGATGATAGTCTTGACCAAGTAAATGTAATCAAGCAGAAGTATTGAAAAAGTTGCAGTTACCTGAAAATTTCATCTGCAGTACTTAAACCATTCCTTAAACATTTTTACCAACTGTATTTTATGTCTATTAAAACTTTGCATGCCTTTTATATCATAATCGAACAACAAACAATACAAATTATATCTATTACCTAGATGTTACTTCAACTTCAAGGCTAGCCTATCTCAACCTAATAAACTGAACATTAATTGTAAATAATTGTATTTATGTACAATCATGTTGAAATGAATGAGTGACTCGAAAGTTTTAAACTGTCTGTTAGTTATAAACCACAATGTCAATGCCACCAAACCTTCTTGGAGCGTGGACACGCCACGCCCATCACATGGAACCTTACACGGATACCGCGCGCTCAAATGAGGCGTAATCCCTTTTGAGTTGGTTCGGGCCTTCAGGCAGTCGTCGAGTTGGAACCGCGCTGTGCGTCGAGGCCCGCCTCGCCCATGGCCATGCCCATGAAGGGCACGGCGACGTTGTACATGTTGGGCAGGACGAAGACCTTTTCCAGCTGGGCGCGGAGCTTGCGCTCGATGAGACGGCACAGCAGGGCTTGTCGCAGAGTGCGGTTGCCTACCCTTGGCACGACCACCAGGCGCAGGCACGGCACGCCGCGGAAGCCCAGCCACACGCGGTCCGAGGGCGGCGGCGGCACGTGGAGCACCAGCGCGCCCTCCAGCGCCTGCAGCTCCACCGTCAGCACGATGTCCGTGTCGGAGAGCGCGACCAGCGCGGCCTGGAAGAACCTGCGCGGTAGGGCAATGGGTCAATGCACAGCTGCACGCTGCTCCTGCCCAAGACCGTCAAGACGAACCTGCTCTCCGTCAGCCTCCTGAAAATCTTCCACGCCCCCCGCTGTTGTTGCGGGACTGCCCGGGCTGCCGCGGCGCCGGCGTCCGGTCGGAGGCCTTCCTCGTCTGGATGCCGGAGTTCCTCATCTGCGTCGGTGTGCGGCTGCACTTGGGGCTGCTGCTGCTGTACCAGGTTGAACCGCGTGGTGATGACCATCTTCGTAACGCCCCGATATCGGACGCCCAGGTCGAGCCACAGGCCCTGTGCATCGAGGCGTGGGGGCGCGGCCCTGTCCACCTCGACGGAGGAGGGCCTGCAGAAGAAGTCGGCCACGACGGGCTGCTTCACAAAGGCGGGTATCTTGACGGCGGCCAGGCGGCGCTGCAGGTGCGCGCGGACCTGTCCGGCCCAGCGCGCGCTGCGGCAGACCGTGAAGAGCACGCGGCTGGCCAGCGCGTTGAGACCGCGGTACGCTGGGATGTCGCCGTCGCCGCCTTGCTCGTCGCCCTCGTCGTCCAAGTAGTGCCGCAGCGTGGCCACGTAGTCCTCGAACACGGCCTCGTCGTCCAGCGGGTGCTTCTCGCCCACCGCCCTTCGCAGCCGCCAGAACCACTCTTCCTTCTGACGGGCCGTGCGAGCCAGCAGCAGCAGGGTGGAAGTCGACGAGGCCGTGGCTCTTAGCGGAGCGGCGGTTGCGGACGTGGCGGGAGCCTCGACGTCGTCTTCTTCGGTCAGAGCAATCAGCTCCTGGGACACGATGCGCCCGAGCAAGCACTCTTCGACTGTCTCCAGGTCCTCTACGTCGTCGGTTAAATCGAGGAACTCGTCAGAGAGGTCGGACTCGTCAGGCGTAGCGCCCTGGGCAGCTTGTTTCTCGGTCGCAGCGGCCTCGATCTGGCTCTCAAGGACACCTATTCGGGCCGTTGGCGTGAGGGTCGACGATGACGGTCGCGGGCTCGGCTGTGGGTCGGGTGGTGCCTGGCCCAGGGCCACGGAGCCCGCAACAACCGCCACATGGGCCGATGCCGCCGCCAAGGGTTGCACCTCGTGCAAGGATGGCCCAGCGACCACGGCGACTTCCTCCACCTCCTCCACCACAGCCTCTGCCGCGTCCCCAGCCGCCTTTCCCGTGGCCTCCTCCTCGGCCTCCACCACGTCCTCGGGGGCCTCAAACACGGCGTCCTCTAGGGTGGCCGTGATGCAGATGGGGTACTTGCGGCTCCACTGCTTGTGGCCCACCACGCCGTGAGGCCGCAGCGCTACGGCGCCGCCATGCAGGTGGTAGCGTCGTCGGTAGGCAAGAGCGGCCCTAGCTCGCCGCAGCGACGCCTCCTGCTCGCTCCACAGCGCCAGGCGCGGCACCCTGGGGGCGGCGGCCGTCCTGCTGCCAGTGTCCCCGACGGGCCCGCTGCTCCACACGCTCAGGGTGCGGCCCTCTAAGCGCACCAGCACGGGTCTCGGCCCCTGCTGCCCATCCTGCCCCTGCTGGGCGGGCTGTGAAGCCGCGGCCTCCGCCGTCGAGGTCTTCCTGGAGACGTTCACGACGCTGGGGCGCGGCAGCATGGGCTGCGGCGCGCACTCGAACATCCATGTCTCGAACGTGTCTCCTAGATGGAACTGCCGCCTGTGCGAAGTACTGTCAGTAGTATACACAAAACACGCACACCGCGCTCAAATGGCGACGCAGACGAATTCACGTGGTACCTCGCTAGCCATTCCCCCGCGCCACCGCCCTTGCCCTTGTCCTGGGTGGCTGGCCAACGCCATGGGCACGGCCAGGCCGGCGGCGACAGCTCGGCCTGCATGACCACCACCAGCACGGCGCCCAGGGCCACGCAGGCCGCGCACGCCGCTGCCAGGCCGTCGTCGCCGAGGTCCTCGCCGACGCGCTCATCGCTGGGGAGGTTCCGTTGCCGCTGCTGCACGTATAGGTAGCCGGCCAGGCCAGCGACGCCTGCGAACAGGAGTCTGAGCAGCGCGCTGCCGACCCACGGTGTCGCGGCCTCCGCGTCCTCGGAGCCGTGACTCGGACGCCCGTCCTGGCGGTCCTGGCGCAGGCAACGCAACAGGCGTCGTCGGCGAGGTGCTCCTTGGGGACGGCGTCGCACCCGACTGGTGTTACACGGCGGTAAGGTGTGCCGCTCAGACATTCAGCTGGCCTTTGGCTGGCCCACTCTGGCGGCACTAATTGCTCCACGCATTGCTCCTTACCATATTCATCGCGGCCGTGCCGACAGGGCGACGACTGCGACTATGCGACGCGCCGGTGCCGCGGGAGCACCGCCTTGTTCGGACTCATCGCCGCATTATTGGATTGGAGTTGGTACAATCAGGTTGCCAACTCCGTGACGCCATGCCGGCCATGCCGCGAATCGGCAACCATCGCTTCCCCAGCACGCGCCGCCCCACGCCGCCCCGCTGCGTCACAGGCACACAGGTCGGGCCCCGCGGCACCGCGGCCAGCAAATCGCTTTGGCCGCAACATTTGTGAGTCAATGCTCCACATCGCGCCGCCTTGCCCTGCCCCTCTTCGCGTCTCGCCGGCGAGCGGGGCGAGCATAGAGTGTCCACTCGTCCTCGCCGCGGTGCTGCCTTGGGGCCCGCTGCGCCGGCGGGGCTCCGGTGGACGGCGGACGTCCTCCTCGCGACGTTCGGCGTGCCTCAGGGCTCTGGCAGCCCTGGCCACGGCCCTTCTCCGTGTGAAAACAAAGGGCTGATTTTAATGATATCGATTCTCGTGGACACCTGCCCCGCCCGGCCCCGCCCCCTCCGCGCGTTCGCGTTCGCGTCAGCATTCGCCCCTGTCATTTGACCTCGAGCCTGTTTTTACTCTGTTTGCGTCCGCCCTTCGGACCCTTCGGGCCCTTCGCGTTCCCTGGGCCTTGTCTGGGCTGGGCACAGGGCTGGGCGCAGGGCTGGGCGCAGCCAGGCGTCTCGGAATAATTTCATCCCGCCTTGATCATGCTGGCCCGCCATGGCGCCGCCCCGCCCCGCCCCGCCCCCGCCGCGCCTCACGCACGTTGGCGTCCAGGTGCGCCCAGCAAGAGCCTTTCCGAACAGTGCAGTCGCTCTGTCTCCCCGACTCTCCTGGTTACTCAGGACGCCCCACGAGCACGAGAGAGACAGAGCACTGTTTGGAATGCCCGCACGTTCCGGAGTCCTTGGCCCTCCCCTGGCCACTACCCGTACCCGTCCGGCGCCTGTGCCCTACGCAAGCACTTCCAGTTCCGCGGGTACAGTAGTGGCTCGCAATCTATTCCTGTCAGTGCACTGTACATACGCGGCAGAGTCGCATCTCGACGGCTCGCAAGTCCAACCGCGGCAGCCCGTCGCCCTCATATGGATGAGGATGAGGTCAGGCAAGGTCGGGTGTATGTGCGTGTATGATTTCAGTGATTTCAGTCGCGAGCGACCGCCACCCACCCTTCGCTACCAGACTGTCTGGGTGCCTGCACGGCTTTCTTTTTCAGCTTTTCTTGGGGGCGGGGCTGATGTAGGCAAAGGCGAAACCCCGCTCCACATTTCTCACCAGACCAAAGACAAGCCCCCTGAGATGGGTAGCCGCCGCCGGGCGTCCGGGGTGTCCAGGGAGCCTGCACCGCAGTGTATACACAAGACCTTATTGTGGAATCCACCCCTGCAACTCCCCCGACGGCTACACATTGTAGGGCTAGACAGGACAGCGGTCCAGTACAGTACGCTGCTGCCACGGCACCACGGCCATCAGAAGGCCGCCCCGCTGCCCCGCTGCCCCGCCAGCTGAAGGGAGGAAAAACGGACGCGCCACTGTCGCGCGTCGCGCCACCGTGTCGCCCAGCGTCTCTGCCGGACCGCGCCGGCGTTCCTGGAAAGGAAAGATTATGTCCCTTTTCCGTTTGCCTTTCTGTGCCTGGTGGCCTGGTGCTTGGTGGGGTGGGGGCCCCGCCGGCCCCACCGCACTGCGCGCAGGCCGGCCGGCCACTACACTGCCGCCACGCCGCCACGCCCGGCCCGGGTTGACGTTCGGCTTGTTTTACCTACCGCGGCCTTGGCCGCCACATCGCGCACGGCCATGGCCGCCCTGCGACGCTCTGCGCTGTCCTTCTAGTCCAGCGGTTCCCAACCTTTTTCGGTTCGCGACCCCAAATTTGATACAAAAAATTTCCGCGACCCCCAGGAAAAATTTCGCGACCCCACGCGACCCCTCCTTTAGCATGCCTTTGATACAAAGTGCGATAAAACGGCCACAAATGTCTTTGAAAAATCGTGTTTTGGGCCGACTTTAAGCAGCCACTGCGTCTGATCCGAGGCGGTATTTCGTCCTCCCTCAACGGGCATTTGGTCTTTGGACCTTCCTTTAGCATGCCTTTGTTACGGAGTGCGATTATCGGCCTAAGTTTGGGAGCAGTATTGTCTCAAAGTGGATCAAAATGGCATTCAAAGGCATTTTATACTGTTTTCATCAACTTTGAGACAATACTGCTCCCAAACTAAGGCCGATAATCGCACTCCGTAACAAAGGCATGCTAAAGGAAGGTCCAAAGACCAAATGCCCGCTGAGGGAGGACGAAATACCGCCTCGGATCAGACGCAGTTGCTGCTTAAAGTCGGCCTAAAACACGAGTTTTCAAAGGCATTTTCGACCGTTTTGATCAATCGCCCGGCAGAAGAACACGAATAGGGATGCTAAATTACCGGTAAAATTCAACGTTACGTAAAAAACGGTAATTTACCGTAATTTACCGTAAAATTGGTAATTTTCGGTAAAATTCGAGTTTTTGGCTGATTTATCAAATATTCATGTTTTCCAATGTATTTAAAGTGTATAAAGGGTTTTTTATGGATATGACCGTAAATCGACAAAATTTACGAATTAGCAGATAGGGTCAATATTTATTCAACCAATTTCAATTTTACAAGAAACCCACTGAGATTCCAAACGCTATAAGTATAGCACGTATGGTGCAATGCACTGAGATATCGCACCATACGTGCATATGCCATAGCCATATTGCACCTTACATGCAATGCATCCCAAAAATGCCCTATGCTTATGCATGGGAATGGGAAGGCAATGCAAAAGCATTGCACCAATTGACGATATACTTAAAGCGTTTGATTTTCAGTGCCGTCGTACAGAAAGACCGACGAGCAAAGCGGCGGTGTATTCCCCTTCAGCACGCACAGCCTTCTTGCTAGCTAGCTAAAACTCCGATGTGGACTGTTTCACAAGGCCCTGGTGGTGAAGAGCGGTCGGTCTGAATCCGTTACGATGGTAATATGTTACACTTTGCTTCTATTTGAGTCCCGAGTTCATTTAATTTACAAAAACATGAACTAAGGCCAAAAATCGAATTTTACCGTTAATTACCGGATTTTCGACGTCGCGGTAAATTACGGTAAATTACCGTTATTTACCGGTAATATTACCGTCCTTCGCATCCCTAAACACGAAGTGCAGCAAGGTGCAGCCCCCCTGCGGACTGGAAGCGCGCTAAGTTCCGGCCGTCCGGCTGTGTGAGGCGGGGTGGGCGTTCCTGCTTGCTGCCCTTCCCCCTGCTTCGCGGTGCTCGCGGCACGCTGCGCCGTCCTGCCGTCCAGTCGGCGGGGAAGGCTAGGAAAGGCGGCTCGGGCCCAGGGCGGGCTGGGCGGGCCGCCGCGCAGCGCGCGCCACTGGCCCGGCCGGCACCGGCCGGCACGGCAGTCTTGTCAGTCCGTAGTCTGTCACCGGAGAGGCAACACCCCCCGATACCGCGTGCCACCCGAGCGCCTCCCGACGCACCGGCTCCGCGTCGCCTGGCCGCCCCGCCCCGCGCCCCGCCTCAGTGTCGCCAGTGTCGTGATCCACCTGCCACCTCGCGAGTGCACCGTGCACACCGTGCACCACCCAACCTGGCTTCCGAACTGGAGTGCCGGCGGCACTCTGGCCACGTCTACTCTTTGGTGAGCTTGTCCTTCTGTCATCTCTAGAATCCTTCGGCAGGCGCGGGCAGCCGTACTTCCCTGCCGGGGCGTGTGCTATCTCCACCGCCCCGCCCTGCCCATGCACAGGTGGTGCTGTACTCACGTACGCGCGCCCCCCTCCACGCCGCGCCTCGCGCGCTGAGGCCGCTGAGGCCCAGTCCGCGCTCCGCGCCGCGTGCCTAGCGCAAGTGCCCCAAGCTCTCTCCCGGCGGTGTAATGTTACGCGCGGCATTTGTTCTGCGCCTCCTCTACCTGCCTGCCATGCCCGGCCTAGGACTTGGCCGAGGGGCGCGCCAGTAAGCATGACGACGACGGTCATCTCGACGATCAGCGCGACCAGCCCACGGCGGCGCACGACCACGAGCGGGAGCGGATAGCCCACCTTCGTTACGGCCGTCAAGGAAGTCGCGAGTCAAGGCAAGGGCCGTCTTTCGCGCCAGTGCCCTCACCCCCGGCCCGGCCCAAGGCCATGTGGACTTAAACCCCCTCCCCTCCCCTCCCCCGGGATGTAAACGCTGAACGCCACCCTCGTTGAACATGCACGGCGCCGTGCCTGTCAGTTTCGCGTGTAGGGACGTAAGGACGCCGCCCACCCCGCCTCGGCCGCCTCGCTTATCGGGCCGAGTAAATCCGGCTGCCTACCGGAGACCGTGCTAAGAGTGTCCGCCCGCCCGAGCGCGTCGAAATGCCCCCACCCCCTCCTGCCCCGCCCCCGCCGCCCCCGCCGGCGAGAGGGAGAGTGGCGCCCACGCTGAATGGGCCCAGCGCGCCGCGGCTGCCGTGGCCGGGCCGCCCCAATACCCACCATGTTGACCACTTTCCCGCCGGCGTGGACGGCGTGGTGGAGTACACTGTAGTAGGTGACGCCGAGGGCCCAACAACGCGCTGCTATGCTGCGCTGCTACGTCGCTACGCCACGCGGTGCCGCCGCCCCGTCAGTACCGCGTCACGTGTCGCTGCGTCGAGCTACAGGCTGATTCCGAGAGTCGTTTTCATCGCTCTGTCTCTCTCGCAATCATAGGGCTGCCTGAGAGAGACAGCTACGAAAACGACCCTCGGAATCAGTCGGCCGGGGCTGCTGAAGCCCGGGCTGGCGTGGCGATTATGCCAATTAGAAAGGGGCGGCTTTGGCCATGGCGCCATGGCTTTAGCTCGCTCGGGGGCTGAAGGGGGATGTAGGGGGCTGCGCCGCTGCGGTGGCTGCTGCTGCGGCTCGCTGCGATAACGCGTGGGGCGGGGCTGTAGGGGGCTGTAGGGGGCTGTAGGGGGCTGTAGGGGGCTGCGCCGCTGCGGTGGCTGCTGCTGCGGCTCGCTGCGATAACGCGTGGGGCGGGGCTGTAGGGGATGTAGGGGGCTGCGCCGCTGCGGTGGCTGCTGCTGCGGCTCGCTGCGATAACGCGTGGGGCGGGGCTGTAGGGGGATGTAGGGGGCTGCGCCGCTGCGGTGGCTGCTGCTGCGGCTCGCTGCGATAACGCGTGGGGCGGGGCTGTAGGGGGATGTAGGGGGCTGCGCCGCTGCGGTGGCTGCTGCTGCGGCTCGCTGCGATAACGCGTGGGGCGGGGCTGTAGGGGGATGTAGGGGGCTGCGCCGCTGCGGTGGCTGCTGCTGCGGCTCGCTGCGATAACGCGTGGGGCGGGGCGCGGCACTCTGTAATCCTGACGTCCCGACCAACCCTGCAGGCAGGACGCATACACTAGCAGGTTGCACGCGCTTGACGGATACCCTGTCCCTGCCAGAGTCTGGCATAAACCGACCCTTCAGGCTGATTCCGTGGAAGGCCCCTCCCTCCTCTATCTTTCTCTCTCGCACGGTGCGCTCGGTGCGAGAGAGGTGGACTGATGCCTGCACCGCCACTGTGCTACGCTGTGCCGGGCTGGGGGCTGGCCAGCTTCCCGGAAGACGCTCGGCCGCCCGGCTGGAGCCGAGCGCGGGTAAGCGGGCGAGCGACCAGAGCGAAGCGGACTTAGCCGCGCAGGGCCAGGTTGATTGGCTCTCCAGAGGGATTGGCCGCTGCCCGCTCCGTCCCAAGCCAAGTTTTATTCACTTCAGGGCTCCGGCCGCGACGCCGCGTCGGGCCATTGGAGCATTGGAGCGACTCTTCCGAAAGGCGGGACGGGACGTCCTTGGGCCCGCGAGGCCGCGAGGCGGCGGCGCGTTCAGCATCAAAGCGAACTTCGGTACCTAACGACGCCGTGCTCAGAGACCCGCACCAGTTCCTCCTTGTTATATCCCCCCGCGCGCGCGCCGACTTGAAAGAGGGCGGGGCAAAGAAATCGATGCTGAAATAAGGAATGAAGAATGAAATGGAAATGCGTTAGTAAGGGTGCCGCGGCCTGGCGGCCTGGCTGGCGGCGCGCGGCGAGTGTCTAATTATGCTTGAAATCGGCCCTCCCCTACGCGCTGTACCCTGCGTACGCTGTGTACCCTGCAGCCAGGCCCCGACTTTCCTGTTCGGCTCCCCAAAATCAATGTTGCCCCCAGCTGTATGGCGAGCCGCGGCGTGTTCCTCCGGTGGGGCTAGAGGCATCAGTGATGATGCAAATGGCTCAACTCCGACGCCGCCACGCCCGAGGCACGGCGAGGCACGGCGCGGCACGGCGACCGAGTAATCCGTATGCATATCGGATTAGTGCCCCCACAATGTAGAGCAGGGGCCACGCCGCGCTGAGCGATCTGCTCGGCGCAGGGAGATGGTTTGTGCAGCCATGCGTCGTCTTCGCCCCCCACCCCCTCCTCCCCGCACTGCTGCCGGCCCGGAGCTGTCTCGGCCGCGTCGCTTCCGAGTCGCCACTCCACGCCCCCGCGACGAAAGTAGGTCAGGTGTCCATCCCGCTGAAAATCAGAGCGACCTAGCGAAGCACTGCGAAGCTAACGCGCCAAAAATGCCACTTTTGAAGGAACGACCCGCGTAATGGTTTCCAGGAGGTCGCCGAGCCCGAAGCCCGCAAAGCCGGGTCGTGTTGGGACTTTGCGGAAAACGTGCTTGAAAGGGCCTGGCCTGGCTCGGCCCGGCGCGGCGAACTGGCAACCTGTGGAGGTGGCGAGGCCGTGGCGAGGCAGTGCAGGCACTGCGCGGGGAAACCCCCGGTGGAGCCCGGCAGACCGACGGCCCGACGGCCTGCTGCTCCACGACCGAAAGTTGTGTTTCGCCCCTCTCTCTGTCTCTCTCTATTGCTCTCGCTCCCCCACCCTTACGGGACGACCCATGAGTGCGACAGAGACAGAGCGATGGAAAGACTCTGTCGAATCGCTCGGCAAGGCACCAAGACCGCCTCCACGGTGGATCCAGAATGGAGGACGCAGGGCGAAGATGGCTCCTGGCCTGTGCGACCGCGCTATGGCGTCCAGTGATAGCCGCGCGACGGCGTGGCGGTCCGACGGCGGGGCGTGGAGTCTAGCACGTCAAGGCGGCCTAGGTGGTCAAGGCCTCCCCCGGGAAGCTGCGCTCGCGGACGTGACGCCGGCGTGTTTACCGCGCCAGGACCGCGACAACCGCGCGTGCCGGGAGACAGCTTGGCCCTTCCGGGCGTGCTGGCGCGGCGCTGCTCGTCGAGGCCGCAGGGCGCGAGGCGCGGGCAGGCGGACAAGCCCAACTTCCCCCAGTGAGTAGACAAAGTGCGTGTCATGTCATGACCCCCTCCGAAATGTTTTGGCTGGAGCTATAGAGCCATCCCTGCGCGCGGCGCCGGCGCGGTCCGCGGGGTCGTCCGCCGCTCCTGGCCGCCGCCCGCGTGCCCGCCGTCCTCTGTGTCGCCTAACGCTGCGTTGCATTTCATTGACTCGCGAATGAGGCGATTAGTGAGCCGGGCCTGGGCCTGGGCCTGGCGCCCTGACCTTGGAGGGCCAATATGTCCAAGCCGGCGGCGGGCCGCGCCAGTGATCGCGTACGCCCTGCCACGCCCCGCCACGCCGCGACGTCAATATTCATGAAGGAGACCGCGTGGTGGCCGTAGTGGCCGTCGGGGTGACGACCCCGGCCCGGCGCGCCACCGCGCGGCTGTCGCGGTTTCGTCATCTCGGCCGGACTGGCGCAGCGGGGGCCTCCCCGGCTCCCCGAACCCCTACCCTGGTGCCGCGGTGCCGCGCTAACGCCGTGCTCTGCTTGGTCCTTGTCCCACAGGCGATGCCCGGGCTGGCGCCGCAGGTGCCGCTGTTGCTGGTCATCCTAGTGCAACTGGTCCAACTCTCGGCGGGGCAGGAGGCCGCCGTGGACCTGGCCCTCCTCGCCCAGTGCCAGGCCATAGCCTGCGAGCGGGGCGAGGTAAGTCTCTACACTTGAGTTTTCATTTTTTTTCAAATCAATCAAACGAAACGCTTTAATATGGCGTTGTTTCTTTCTTTTCGCAGTGTGATTTACCGACAACTTGTTGTGTAAGTATCCGACAGGTACATGTGTTTTCCCCTAAAGCAGTCCGAATCACCATGGAAGCACACTGCACGCTGTCCCGGTCCGCGACAACCAATGAGAGCGACCGCTTTTGGCGCCAAAGTCGAGTGCTGCGTGGAGAAGCGGCAAAGCGGCTCGGAGCGCCTGCGGGGTCGAGGATAGGCCGCCCGGTCGGCAGCTCTGTCGCGGTGCGGCGTCTCCGCTCCGGCAGGGGCCCTCCCCTTCCCTTCCCCTCCCTCGTCTCTTGATCTCGCGGACGACGGTCTTCCAGTGCCCCGCCCCACCCTGCCCCGCTCACCCAAGCACTGTTTCTTGCTTGCTGCAGACCCCGCAACTGCCCGAGGAGTACGACCAGGCGATCTGCAGCCCGGTGTGCGAGTGCGCCCAGGCCGGCGCCCCGCAGGATGGTACGTCACGCGGCCCGGTACGGCCAGCCTCGGCAACCTCACCGCCTCGATGATGGTGCCTTTTCACCTGTGTGGCTTCCGTTTCAGACCCGGGTTCCTGCGCCGTGCTGCCCGCCCCCTCGCTACACTGCCACCAGGACCGGCTGCTGAGCGTGCGCTGGGGCCCCGCCGGCCTGCCCGCCACCACCGTGTTCCTGCTCGAGATGAAGGTGGAGGGCGGCGACTGGCAGGCCGCCAACCTGGTGAGGAGGACTTCTAGGGCTGCCCGACCGTCGAAAGGGGATCGGCATGGAAATAGCTTGAAGTGGAATTGGTTGTGTACTTTCAGACTCGCCGGCAGATCGGGTACGTGCGCTTCCTGCAGCCGGAGACCAACTACACCTTCAGGGTGACGGCCTTCACCCCCCAGGGCCGGCAACGCCACTGCATGTCGCCGCCCAGCGACTGGCTGAGCACCCTCAGCGAGGACCACGGTGAGGCTCTGGTTCAAACCACTCTACCCGACTTTCAATGAAAAAAGTTTAAACGAATCCTCTCTCCTCTCTCTCTCCCGCAGACCCGGGCATGCCCTCTCCGTTGCGCCTCGACTCCATCGACTACAGGGAGCGCTCGGGGCGGGCGGTGGTGTCCTGGTCCGGAGGCAGCGGTATGTATATCGCAGAGGTCCCCTCTCAAATAAATAAAGAAATAAAATATCATCATTATCCGCGCTGTTGGGCGGGCCTCCACTCCTCCAGCCATGACCCTTACACCGTTAAAACCTGTCCTCTTCGTTCTCCAGACCCGGCCTGCCTGTACGCGGTGAGGTGGTTCCCCCGCAATGACGCGCGCTACCGGGACTACGAATACTTTGTGGTAGGTTTCCCTTTCTGTTTTTCAAATTTTCTAGAATATCGTGCACTATGAAACCGTGTGGATGTTCCTCGCAGTACGAGAGTCCGATGAAAGCGACGGAGCTGCTGGACCTGGACGAGCGCTACAACGTAAGGGTGGCCGCGGTCTCGGCCAACATGGAGCGCGAGTCCAACCACACCGGCCTGTACGTGTCCACCAAGACGTGCCTGGAGGCCAACCACTACAACCTCTCCATCTGCAGTACGTCTCTCTCTCTCTTTTCTTCGGCCCTTCGGCCCCGACGAACGCCCCTTAATGTCGCCACTCGTTGCTGCAGAGCCCCCCGCCGTGGAGAACGTCAAGGTGTCCGTGCTGCGCGTCAAGTCGTCGGCGAAGGTGCGGGACGTGATCGTGGACCTGTACGTCAACTGGACGCGGCCCGTCGCGGACCCCGACATTTATCGCATCTACGTCAAGGACCACTCCGTGGTGGGCATCAGGCGCACCGCGACAGCTCCAGGAGTACGTATCTTGAAAATGCTTCTTTTTGCCAATTTGGGAAAGCGTCCTTGACGCCTTTGACTCCTTTGCAGAACGCGACCAGCGTGGAGATGGCCGACGTGGGCGTGCTCCCGTCCTTCGTCGTGGAGATCTGGGCCGAGTCGGCGGGCGGCGTGGGCCCCAGCGTCCTGGAGCTATGTCCCGGGGTGAAGCCTGAGCCCGAGAGCCAAGGTAGTACACTGTAGTGCACCAACCAACGACCATGCTGCTCTTGGTTCTTGGAGCGTTCCTTCGATCCCCGCTCACTGTCCGTGTGTTGCAGGTGGCTGGGTCGCCACGGTGTTGGGCCTCGTGCTCGTGATGACCATCCTGGTGGCCTTGTTCTTGTTCGCGGCGCGCCGGCGGGCCAGGAAGGCACGCATCAAGCGCGACCGGAACAAGACGTTCGAGGTAAAGACAGACGAGAGTGACATCGACTTGCCCGCACCCGCCAACCGCTAACCGTCCGGTGTTGCTTTTCCAGGACTTGGACCGCAACCAGAAGGTGCCCGACGGCGGCCTCCTGGCGGTGCCGGGCGGCGCGATCGGCGTGGAGCTGGAGGGCTGCCTCATCGCGTCCTCCTCGCTGCTGCTGCTCGACACCCTCGGCTCGGGCTGCTTCGGCACCGTGTGCAAGGGCGTGCTCACCTGCCCCGACGGCAAGATGGAGGACGTCGCCGTCAAGAGGCTGCGAGGTGCGTTCGGGAAGCGGGACAGGACATCCCTTCGGCGGGACGGGGACGACTTGCGACCTTGGTGCTGACGGCGAGCTTTGACTGCCCACAGATGCCGCGACGCCGGAGGAAAAGGCACGCTTTGCAGAGGAGATAGCCCTCATGAAGAGTGTGGGCCAGCACAAAAACATCGTGTCCATGGTGGGCTGCTGCGTCGACAGCGGGGTCACGCTGCTCGTCGTCGAGTACTGTGCGCTCGGCGACCTGCAGAGGTTCCTGCGCGAGGCGGCGAAGGCCATGAGTGCGGACAACCTCACGTACATCTCGCTGTTTCACAGTAAGTGCGGCCTCCGTGTGGGTGCAGCAGGGTGCAGCAGGGTGCAGCAGGGTAGGCTAGACAAGCCCCGTCCTTGTTTACGAACGACCAACCTTTTTCAGGCGACTGTGACAGCGATTCTTCCCCCTGCTCCTCGTACTACGACGGCTGCACCAAAGCGAAGCCCCTCACCGCCGTCTCCAACGCCACGTACGGCCTTAACCTGGCAGGTGTGCTTCTCGTGATGTGACCTCTGGTCTGATTTCGAAGTCACAAAACGGTGTGTCATTTTCTTGTTTTGTTTGCAGAGCCCAATCCATCGGGGCATTCTGGCCTGCGAATTTACGCCAAAGACCTGCTGGCCATAGCGCGCCAGGTCGCCATCGGCATGGAGTACTTGGCCAGCATCCGGGTGGTGCACCGAGACCTAGCCGCCAGGAACATCCTGGTGTGCGAGGACAGGACCGTCAAGATCTCCGACTTCGGGCTGTCTCGCGACATCTACGAGCAGAACGTGTACCACCAGAGTGGCTTTGACAAGGTGCCCATCAAGTGGATGGCCATGGAGTCCCTGCTGCATCGCGAATACACCACGCAGTCGGACGTGTTAGTGGCACCATTTTTTGTTTCCTATTTTATTTCATACCACTTACTGCAAAATGGCAATCAACCCCCTTTTTTCTTCCTTCCCTAGATGGTCTTTCGGTATACTGCTATGGGAGATTGTGACGTTTGGCGGGTCCCCGTACCCTTCCATTCCCAACAGCGGGCTGTTCCAGGTCCTGCAGCGAGGCTATCGCATGGACAGGCCCGGCAACTGCAGTGAGGAGCTGTAAGTACTGCAAGCATGCTGCAAGCTGGAGAAAGCCACAGGCACCATCCATGACAACAGAAAACTATGACGGAAATTTTCACTTTCAGGTACAAAGTGATGCGACGGTGCTGGATGGAAAATCCGTTAGAACGACCGACATTCACCGATCTGAAGAAGAGTTTGGACGACCTCCTCCAGGCTGCAGCGGGAAGTGACGGCGCTGAATACCTCCCGTTGTTCTCATAAACAGTTTCATCCTTTTTTGGGGGTTGCAGTTAACTTGTCGATTTATGGTTGTATATATATTGTGTATGCCTATAGACGCAGGACCAAAGCAAAAACGACACCTGAGGTAGGAGTCGGGCAGAGTCATGACATGCTCACAGATTTCAAGTATTCTATGTTTTTTGTGATATTATAGGTATTTTTTCGTAGATTTTATCTTATATTTTAAGACCTTGGAAGTACAAATATAGCTGTAAATATATTATTAAGCTTCTAGCATTTAAAGCTAATTTCTCTCACATAAAAATGTGCCAATTGTTCTATTTTGACAGTTATATCAGATCTCTGGTTAAATCATCTTTAGCCATTACTTTTATACTGATAACTCTAAATGACATTAATGTATAGTACACTCATATGTCCATGTTGTGAGTGTTTGTAACTAAAACCAAAGCTTTTCACATAAAATGCATTTATTTGAGCCACTTATACAAAGTATGTATGATGTTGGCATCTTAATTTTAATTTGTTTGTATTAAGTCAATAAAACTGTATGCCTCACCAATGACTTTATTTCCCCCTTCATCCGTAGTAAGCTTCAACTTACCACGAGACTAGTCTCGAACTTACTTGCTCTGTACTGGGAACTGCTTCTAGAAGCCTTAGTTTTGATGTTTTCGGGTGCGGTTGCCAAAGCGCAGAACATGAACATGGAAGGCTAGACCAGAGATGGTTCACTGCCGATTTAGGACCGTCCAGACCGCGCCAATCTTGCTTCTAGAGGGATGGAAGCGGGGGAGAGCGGAGACAGTGGAGGGGATCTTGGCTTGGCGGGGCGCACTACTAGGGAAGCGGATGGGAAGGCACTCACCAACTGGACTCGATGTGTCCCTTGTCGAATACCATTCAGTGCTGGTTAACGAACGTGGCACCTCTTTGATAAAAGTAACATACAATGAGGAAAGATACCAGAGTTACTTGTGACAAATAAAATAACTTTTACGTCATCGTACCACGGTTCTACGAGATACAGCGTATGGGGAAAACTGGATGCTCTGTGTTGGCACCACTGTGGAAGGGTCAAAGCTTTGAGCTTTGCTTTGTTCTTCCTTCTTCTTCTTCCCCGAGAAGAGTATCGCGAGTGCGGCGCCAACTGCAACGACGTTGTTGAAGACTATTTGTCGATTCAATGAAAAATGCACTTTAGGACCTAACCATGGGTGAATTAAGCAGTGGAATAGATGGTTTGAGTTTGACAAATAGTCTGTTTGCTGGTGTGAAGTACTACATTAGCGGCAATGTGAAAGACAAAGTAAGGCCAATAGTGGACTGTTTGTGTTGTTATTTTTAGTTTATACACTTGATCTTGAATATTGTTCATGGCCTGCTGCAGCATTTTAAATGAAAATTTTGTTGCCCTTGCTTACTGGTTTACTACTTCGTAGTTCATAATGATCTGCTTTCTCTGTAAGAAATTTATGCTGCAGACATAACCTCAAACCAAACTTAAAATCATTTTCGAAACATTAAACTGGCTTGTTTATCTGTCAATGATGGCTCCCTTGTTGATGTATTTGCCGTAAAAATCATTTTCATTTTTCTTGTCTCAGTTAATCTACATCATCTGACTAGTTTCCAGTGTAGTTTTCTGCTAGCATTTTGTTTTGCTTCTGCTTGAAAATTATTGTGCTGATTGTTATTTATTTTTTGCCTTCCCTAGGTCTTAAGTTTGTTACAAGATGGAGGTGCAGAACAGCAACAGCATTTTGATTTTTGTACCCACTGTATTGTGGGGGAAGATGCCCCAGAATCTGATATTAGCAGTGCCAAAGATTTGTATGAAGTACCTGCTGTAACTCAACAATGGGTTATTAGATCTATTGAATGTGGAAAAATACTTCCGTATCCTTTCTTTTACGCTACTTTTCTCTTTTCTCTGTCTTTAAGTACACATGATGCTCTTTTCAAAATGTTGTGTCCCTTAATGTTTCTTCAGTACCAAAGGGTTTTCTGCAGAGCCCAATCAACTGTTTAGCGATGTCAAGGCATCATATTCAGGCATAACGACTGGAGATGCTCATGCATTGTGGGCAATGGTGACATTTTATGGTGGAAAGCTCCAGAAAGTCTTTGATGAATCATGTACTCATCTCATTGCTGGGAAGCCTTCAGGGGTATGTATCCTTTACCGTGTGAATGTGGAAATTATTTTATTTCAAAATATATTCACAGGTTTAGCTAACTTTCGTTATTTTCATTTTCGTTTTAGGCCAAATATGAAGCTTCATTGGACCACAATGTTACCGCTGTTACTCCAGACTGGGTTACTGATTGCATCAGAGCAGGATTCCTCCTTGACACTTTAACATATCACCCACAGTTTCTAATCATTCCCAAGCCACGTACCCCTACACCACCAGCTGTGCTAGATAAATCTGGTATTGTATTCCTGCCATATTTTTTAACCTTTTATTTTTTTTAGGTTGAATTAATTCATTGGTTGTCAATTTCTTTCTTTCCATTGCAGTATCATTAATCACAGGGTTTGCTGATCAACATGAAGCTTCTCCAACTGCGCCAAAAACACCAAAAGTAGCCACTTCCACACCTAAGGCTGTCACACCCCAACCCTCTACACCAAAATCTACTGATTCCAGTGGGGATCCCAAAGCAACATTACTTGAACAGTTGAAGCAGCGAATGCCATGGAATCAAGCTCCATCAACTCCTGTGTCTTCTGCTCAAGCCCCAGTGCCTTCAACCCCTCAGCCCATGCCACAACTGCCTCAGGCAGTGCCAGTTTCATCTGGACACCAACAAACTCAACATGTTCAACCTTTGCAGCAGCAACAACCACAACATTTGCAGCAGCAAAATCAAATGATGATGCAGCAGCAACAAATTCAACAAGGCCCTCAAATAATGCAGCTGCCTCCACAACAGTTACAACAACCACAACAAATTCAGCAAATGCAACAGCAGATACAGCAGCAAGCTCAACAAATACCCCAGCAAAATCAGCAAAATTCACAGCAAATGCAGCAGCAACCATCTCAACAGATGCAACAGCCGCCGCAACAGATGCAACAGCAGCCACAGCAGATGCAACAGCAGCCACAGCAGATGCAACAGCAGCCACAGCAGATGCAACAGCAGTCTCAACAGATGCAACAGCAGTCACAACAGATGCAGCAGCATTCTCAAATGATTTCTCAACAACCCCAATCGATTCAATTGCAATCTCAACAAATGCATCCACAACTACAACAGCCACAACAAATGCAACAGATGCAGCAGCCTCAACAGCTGCAACAATCACCTCAACAGCTTCAGCCTCAGCAGCAGATGCAACATCAGCCTCAGCAGTTAATGCCCATTCAACAGGTTGGTTACGCTTGTTACCATTCCAAGCTATTAATTTTATTCCATAATTTGGTGAGGTGATTAAAAGCATGCTATTCCCTTTTTAGCTGACTCAACAACAGTTTCATCAATTAACACCTCAACAACAGCAACAGTACATCCAGAGAATGCAGCAACTTCAGCAGCAGCAGCAACAACAACAACAACAACAACAACAGCAGCAGCAACAGCAACAATCAGCTCAACCTCCATCCGGAATTGCTTCTCAACAACAGTTGTTGCAGCAACAGTTGCAACAGCAAGGCCAAGTGGTGGCCATAAGTTCTTCTGGCAATGCGATGAACCAACAAATGTCCTCAATCCAACTGGTCAGATCTGTAGGGCAGAGTATGGTAAGGCAATAATTTTTTTGTCTGTATAAACTGTCACAACTTCATGAATTTTACAAACCATGTCTTAAATATGTTTTTGTTCTCTAATTTTCTAGGCACCACCCAACCAGCAACAAACAATGGTCACGACCATAGCTGGTGGACCCGGAGTGATGCAGCAGCAGCTTTTAGTTCAGAAACAACAGTCTCCACAACATCAGGCTGCTTCTCCTCAAGTCCAGCAGCAGCGAGTCATGCAGCAGCAGGGAATCCAATGGAGACCACCTGTGGTGTGTGCCGTCTCTAGTTTGCCATATTTCTCTCTGATTGCCACTATCTTTAGGATGATTTACTAATATGCGTCTGTTATTCCCTTTCTTTTTTTTTGGTATGTTTTAGTCTGGGCAACAGACACCAGGCCAGCAACCACCTCAAGTTGCTTCCCCTCAGCATGTTCAAGTTGTATCTAAAATTATGACTCCTCAACAACAGCAGCAATCTCAAGCCCCACAACAGCAGCAACAGCAACAATTTATACTAAGAGATGGCCAGCTCCAGCAACTTCCACCTCAACACTACACACTTACAGTAAACTATCTAGCTTTTCTTAAATTTTTGTATGATGTAACTTGTCAAAAGCTCCTCTATGACGGTTAATCATTGTCTGGTGTATTGTTATACAGGTTCAGAGGGAGCCTATCTTGAGGGATGCCCAAGGGAACCCCCTCTCACGGCAGCAACAGCAACAGTACCACCTTCAAAGACAGCAGCAGTTACAGAGACAAGGGCTCATCCAGCAGCAGGGGCAGCCTGGACAACCAGGCCAAATCATCCAACTGAACCAAGCTGGGCAGGGTGGACAAATTATTGTCACACAGGCAGGCACTCCCTCAAGCCAAACAGTTCAGTTGACTGGGCAGGGTGGACAAGTGATTCAATCAGGACAAGTTGTTCAACAGGGTCAAATTATGCAGCAGGGCCAAGTACAGGGCCAAGTCCTTCAGCAGGGCCAGGTGATTCAGCAGGGACAATTGGTTCAACAAGGACAGGTGATTCAGCAAGGACAAGTTATTCAACAAGGTCAAGTCGTGCAACAAGGACAGGTCATTCAGCAAGGACAAGTTCTTCAACAAGGACAAGTCGTGCAGCAAGGACAAGTTTTGCAGCAAGGACAAGTTTTGCAGCAAGGGCAAGTTTTACAGCAAGGACAAGTTTTGCAACAGGGGCAGGTCATCCAGCAAGGGCAGGTCATTCAACAAGGACAAACAATTCAGCCTGGACAAGTTATTCAGCAAGGCCAGGTCATTCAGCAAGGCCAGCTCATCCAACAGGGGCAGGTCATTCAAGGCGGACAACTGCAGCCACAATTGCAGCAACGGCAAATAGCATATGCGCAGGTAAATTTCCTTTTTCGTTCTTCTCCCTTTATGTCATTGTTTCTTTCCTCCTACTGATTACTTTTATTATTCAGGGACAGCAGCGAAACCTAATTCAAGTGGATGCCCAAACAAGAGCTCAAATGCAGCAAATGGATCCTCAACAACAGGCAATATTCCTTCAGAAGAAGATGGAACGTCAAAAACAGCTCTTGTTGCAACGTCAGATGCAGGTAAGAATTTTGTCAGATAGGATTACCCCAGTGCACCTCTGTAACCCAAAGTAATGTGCATCCATTGCAATTTGCCCTTCCTCCTGGAAAGCAGCAAAGAGCTCAGCAGGCACAGCTGCAGCTCCAGGGCCAACCTGGCCAACCTGGCCAGCCTGGTCAACCTCAAGTACAGATAGCACAGAGTCAAGTTCCACCAGGACAGATTCAGCAAGCACAGATACAACAAGGACAGATCCCACAAGCACAGCTTCAACAGGTGCAGGTGGCTCAGGTGCAAGTCCAACCAGGGCAGCTTCCTCCAGGGCAGCTCCAACAAGGGCAGTTGGTTCCAAACAGCCTCCCCCAGGGTCAGATGCCGCAGGTGCCTCAGGTCTCTCAGCAGGCTCAGGTCTCACAGCAAGGGCAAATAGCCCAGCCTAACCCTGTCCCAGTTCCTGTGGCACAAGGCCAGGTGCAGCAAGTCCAGCAGGTGCAGGTGCCTCAGGGACAGCTGCGGCAGATTCCTCAGGGGCAGGTTCAGGTACCCCCAGGCCAAGGCGTTACTGTCATCAGTCGACTGCCGCAGGGACTGACTCAACAGCAGCAGCAGGCGTGGATGCAACAGCATCGAGAGCGGCAGCTGTTACTACAACAGCAGCAGCAGCAGTTGGCGCAGAACCCTCAGCTGAGACAGCAGGTAAATTAATTGTCTTTGTTTTGGACTTTCTCATCTCAGCAGATCTAAGTTTGACCCAGTTGACCCCATCACATTATTTTTTAGGTTTTGGTCCAACAACAGGGACGCATTCGCCCTCAGACAATGCTACAAGTTCAGCAACCCGGGGCTCAGCCAGTTCCTGCTCCTGCTCCACCTGGTGTGTATAACTCCACTTTATTGCTGTGTTTTTTCTGACAGTCTTCTTTATTATACCTTTCTGTTTTAGGACCTGGAGCAACTACGCAACAACAACAACAATATGCTCTGCAGCAGCAAATGAGAATGCAGCAAATACAAATGCAACGAGATGCTGCTCAAAAACATCAAGTGATGGTTCTTCAAGGGCAGCGCATGCCATACACACCTCAAGTGAGTAATTCTCTTAATCCGCCAAGTGTGGACAGGTTTTGCACTAGCAAAGCAAATGAATGTTGTTCTGTTAGGAATGTGCTTGTTATGTATGACAAGGAAAACTGTGATGACAATGCTCATATGGATTGTTGTTTGTGTGCTGTTAAATGTTCTGTGTTTAATGGCTTATTGTTACTGGGGGAAATGAATCTTTAGAAAGACTTTTGATTGTAGGAATAGCACTGTGGAAATCCTCCTCCCCTCCAGTGTCATTGATAATACTTTTTCGATGAGAAGCCAGTTTAGCTGTCTCATAAAATTTTACCTACCGTATTTCCTCGCGTATAACCCGCACCCGAATATAACCCGCAGCGGGTTTTAAGGAGTCAAAATGTGGAATTTTTTTTATCCCGCGAATATAACCCGCACCTGAGACGGCAGAAATGGGGAGTGATTTTAAACGTTAGGCGGCCCCGCGCCGAATCTGCGACGTGTTTCCAGCGTGTTTCTGTCAGATCGGCAGCCAAGGGATGGCAGGGCAGTGAATGAATCACAACATCTGGTCACGGCGTGCTCGTGCTCGGTCCGTTTTTTACAAGAAATTGGTGTTTAATGTGGCATTCCCCCGTGATTTGTCCTCAACTACAAGCGCTAGATTCGTCCCCACAGTCTTCCCTAGGCAATAGCGACCACTTAGGGACTTTACCACGATTTTCCACATTTTGCACCCGAATATAACCCGCCCCCGAATATAACCCGCAGCGGGTTTTCGAGGGGTCAAAATGGGGTTCAAAGGTGCGGGTTATACGCGAGGAAATACGGTAATTTTCTTTTTTAATATTTCCGATATGGTTGCCGCAATTTATTTTTTGGGGGTGGGGAGATGCTACAGTATTCATTTTTCTGCCGTCCTTTTTTGAAAGAAAGTAAATTTTTCCTCTCTATTTGTTTTTTGTGGAAACATGTGCATTGCTTCTTGTGTGGTAATTTAGGGCACAGGAATTACTCAAGTTGCTGTTCGAGCACAACTCCAACAAGGACAAGCACCTCAGCCACAACAGGCACAACAAGTGCAGGGTCAACAAGCAGGAAATGCTGTTTCTGGCTCAACAAATACATCTGATTCAAACACACAGGAGCAGTTCCAGGTACTGCACTACATTTACTTACTACAAGGTGTCGGTGTAAAATCCTGGAACAATGGTGGTGGATTCTGCCAGTCTCACTTAGGTAACAGTTTTCCGCAGAAAGAATTGGTTCAACATTGCTGCCATGACTTTCTTGTGCATCAATTTGAAATGCACCGTTTCATTTGTATTGTCAACCTTATTTTCTTCATATGAATCTTTCTATCATCTCTTTTCTCTGTCAATTTAGGAGGTTTTGGTAGTCTTTCTATACCTTCCCTCTTGCAGTTTTTTATTTTATTTTTTATTTTGTACATATGTTTGGTAGCTTTTATTTATTATTGGTGCATTCTTTTAATTTCATGAGTATGAAGTGTCTTGAGCTCGTCAGAGACTCTGTACAGCCATCAACATCTTCGCATTGGCTTGGTCGTCATGGTGGTGGAACATGTATCGCTTATTGGCTTGTGTTCCACAACTGCAGGGAGAAGGGACGCAGGCGCAGTCTATTCCAGTCGTTCAACCACCTTCTCTTCCGGTCCCTTTGCCGCCTCCTATGCCTGCCCCTATGGTGCCCACTGCACCAGCAACACAGGCACAGTCCCTCGTCAATTCTAAAACAAAGACAGCCTTAGCTAATATGTTGAGTAACAGGTTAAATGGTGGTGGAGGGCAACACCATACCTCATCAACTACTGCCACTACAACTACTACCACTCAGGTGAGAGGCCTATGTCTGTGCCCCTAAAGACTAACAGTCCCCTCTGGTGTGGCATTGTTTATCCACTAACATGTAGCATTGGTTTTGCAAATCAGACCTGTTGATTTACAATGTCTGTTTGACAGAAAAGTAGTCAGTCTCTGCTCTTATCCTGTAATCATTTTGTCTGCCTCAATATCCTGTGAATGAACTGTATAACCTGTGTGATTTTATTATCAAACAGGAATTAATTTTTATCTTCAGAACTAACTTGGAGATGCATTTTTTTTTCCTGAGTGGGGTTGTGTGTCTGAGTGTGTGCATCTAAGTGACGCTTTGCTGGACTAAAAATGTATTTTGTACAGAACCTGTCAGGAGAATGGAGTGCCATTCACCCTTGGTAACACTGGAGAAGCATGATTTTCTTTTCCTTGTAGTAATATTTCGTGACTCATAGTTTACTTCAGGTGTGGTGTACTGTTTTTTTTTTGTAGTTCCTGTAATGATTTGATATTAAGTGCATGTTTTCAGTCCTTATTTTTTCCCCTCTGCATGTGAAACATCTGTTTATTAACTTGTAATTTCATCTTGTATTTTAAATGAGAATGAGTTTTCAGGATTCCTATCTTTTAGTTGTGTGGTGAGTTGTTAATGTATCTTGATATTGTGACCTGTTCATCTTTTAACACCTCTTGCATCTTGTATTAGCCTAACATCTAACCAGATTACCTGACTCTCTTGTTCATATTTTATGATATTTTCAGGGCTTTTTTTATTACTAATTTTAAACTATCTCAATCAGTTATTACTCATAATTAAAGAAAAACTTGTTCTTTTAATAATAAGAAAAATGGCTTGAAATTTTATATCCTGTCTCAGGGAAGGTTTTTTTAAAAAAAAAACCAACAAGTCTTTTATTTCCTGTTAAAATATTTTTTGGGGATTTCGTTTTTAGCTTCTTGCCCCTGAAGGCAGTGCTGCTGGACAGTTGCGCAGAATGACAGCTCAGCATCATGCTGCCCAGCAACAACAGCAACAGCAGCAGCAGCAGCAAGCCGCGCAGATGTCTCCACAACAGCTGCTCTTGTTCCAGGTAAGTCATCCTAGACCCTGTGGAAGTTTAGGGATGTATATATGTGTGTCTGATAATTTTATACTATTTCTAGCAACAACAAAGACGCACTCTGAGCAATATCACAAATAATGCAACTGGGGTTGCTGTTGCTGGTGCACCTGGTGGTGTGACCTCTGTCAGGGTTCCTGGTGTCCCAGGCCAAGTCGCTGTTGTGGGGCAGCCTGGTGTGCCCCCTGGGCACTGTGGTGCTCTCACTCCACAGCAAATTCAAGCAGCTAAACAAGCTCGTGCCGGCCAGATGGTAGCCAAGACAGGAATTCCTCAACAACATCCTGAACCTGTGGAATATTATGGCCATCACCCTAATGCTAAAAGTAAGTCCAAATTCATTGCTTTTTAATTATTTCTTTCTAGTTCCTTGTTTTTTTTTATTAAGTATATATTTTGTAATTCTATGTTTCAGTTCCACCTGAAATGTGTCTTCTTGGATGCATTTTCTTTATTGTTGAGTATGATGAGGAGGTTGGAAACCAGTTGAACAACTGGAGAAAAATAATAAGAGATTATGGTGGAGAGGAGGATCCTGTCTATGGACCTCGTGTTACTCATGTGCTGTGTGAAACTCAGACTAATCCTAGAGTGAAGCAGGCAATGCATGATGGAAAGCGGCTTGTGACAGCTCAGTGGCTTAATGATGTGATTGTGAAACAGCAGATGGTTCCCCCTTGGCATGCTCTTCATCTTCCTGTGCAGTTTGGGTGAGATATTTCCTCCTCTCATTTCTATAAAATGATAAAGAAAATTTGACTTTATTTCTAGAATGATTTTTTTTTTCAGAGAGACAAAGCCTTGTCGAAATATGATTATTGCATACAGTGGTTTTGAAGGAGAAGAGCGTGCTAGAATCAAAATTATGATTGAACTTGTTGGAGCTAAGTGTACCTCATATTTAAGCCAGCAGAATAACCTCTTAGTTTGTCGCAAGTATGTTGTTTTGTTTCCTTTATGTATTTAACAAACAAATGGCCCCAGAATTCAGTCAGTGTAATGTTCATTTTTATGTTACAGGCAAGAAGGTGCTAAGTACCGCCAGGCAAGAGAATGGGGAAAACCTGTAGTTAATGCTCATTGGCTATTTGAAGTCATGTTTTGTTCCTATAACTGTATTTGTCGCCCAGAGCAAAGAAGATTCCAACACTTCAACTTAATGAATCCATTTTGTATTAACTGTGATGCTGTTCCCCACCTTATGGGTAAGATTTCTATTTCTCACTATGTACCACACTTTCTACTGTCTCCATTACCAATCTTTTATTCCAGGCCCATGGACAAATCCTGTACTTGTTACACAAGAAGCTTATGAAAAGGCCAAAATCACTGCATCACCCCGACGCAAGAAACCAAAGTTAGACAAAAGTCCAGATTGGAGTCAAGAAAATATGAAGCAAGAAGAAATGGATACTAGCTGCTCTGGCCTTTCTGACAACAAGGAAGGAGCGCCTGTTGTGTTATTATCTTCTGTGAGTGACAGTTTTGGCTTGCAACAGGTGTGTATTGTTATTTGTTACTTCAGTAATTGTAACCTATACAAGTGCTTGTCTCTACTCTGAAAACATACTGATCATGTTACACTGTTTGGCTCTTTCAGAAAATTCGAGAATTAGGAGGGTCAGTTACTAAAGTCTGTAGGGAAGCAACACATTTGGTCATGTCAAAACCTCAGAGAACAGTGAAATTTTTCTGCAGTATATCATTTGTACAGCATATATTATCCGAATCCTGGGTACTGGATAGTTATTCAAAGGATAAGTTTCAAGGTATTTCTAAATTTTTAGTTTAGATGCTTTTTATATTGTCATTCCTTTTTAATGAATTGCCCATATTGCTATGTTACATCAAAATTTACTGCTTATGTTTCAGATGAGCGTGACTATATCCTTCAAGATCCTGAATTTGAAGCCTCACATTCCTTTAAATTTTCTGAACTCCTAGCAAAACCAAACCGGAACCAACTTTTTAAGGTACAATATTGTTTGTTTGGATTTTAGTTACATCATCTTCATTGCTCTTATCTTTCCCTGACTCACTTTGCACATTTTTTTTCCCACCAGAACAAAATATTTTACATCACACCTGGTGTAATACCATCACAAGCATGCCTTAGAGAAATGATCGAGCATGCTGGAGGCTCTGTTGATAGACAGCGAAGAACATTGAAAGAAATTCTAGATCTGAATGCAGGTGTCAACCATACAAACCACTTCAGCAATCCATTGAGTTCAATACATTCATCCATGCCGGGCATTCCATTCCCCCCTCCAATCTCAAACATTTACACATCTCCTCAAACTAGTGTAACTCCCAGTCAGTTATCACTTACAAATGGACCAACTATGGCCCCCACTGTTTCAAATCATACTGGAATGTCATCAGCAACTGCTGATTCTGAACCAGTTAACAAACCCTCTTCAAACCCTCCTCCTCAAAACAACATTGCAACCAATTTGCCTGCAATGCCTACGCCCAATGGATTGAACAAAGATGAGGCGATGGAAGTTGACTCAGAGTCAAAGAGGGACATTAAACAAGATGCCATGGATTCTGATGGGAAGAAAGATAATTCATTGGAAATGAAGCAAGATACCAAAAAGTCAGATGATGCTGCTGAATCAGAAGAGAGGGTCTTGATGAAACCTCCTATTCCAGTTACTATGTATGGTCCTAAAGACTTCAGACCCAGAGCACCAGAAAGGCCAAACAGTGATAAAAAGGAGCCTGTGTATCTGGTCATTTCAGTTCTTAATGATCTTCACCTTGTCAAGGACCTTATGAAAGCCAAGCTAGGTAAGTGTCTTGTTACCCAGCAAAGCCACAATTTATCTTTTGCTTCAGCTGATGGACACCGTTTTCTTTTGGTGCAGGTGTTTATAGTGCTGAGTTTGTGATGAGCTCCATATTGCACCAGAAAATTGACTTTGACTCAGCCATACATGAAGATAGCCATCCCCGGTAAGGTAAAGATGTATAGCAAAAGTTGTGTTTTTTTTTTTTTTTTTTTTGTCTGTGTTTTCACCATTTTAAAGACTGACCAATTAGTTGACAGTTCCCTTTTTTTAAAAATTTGTTTAAAATAGCAGGATGTATGTTTATAAGCTATAAATATCTTTATTGTACAATTTTCTATGTATTTTTGTCGTTTGCATTGTCTTCTGTTTTCAAAGCTTACATGTTTTTGTTTTTTAAAAATATATATGTATAAATTAAGATTACCAGTTGTATAACAAATGCAGTTCTAATTACTGGAAGATTCATTATTGGTTCTAATGTACGCCTTTGTACTAAGTTTAGCTCTATATTGTGGATGATCACCAAAGATTGCTTCAGAGACTGAAATCAACAATCATCTGTAGCATTTTTTTTTTTGCCTGAGGGTACAATTTAGGTTCAGTTAATTTGTGACATAACTCACCTCTCACAAATTTTGTTTTTACTTTAGTTTTTTTTACACTTTTGACAAATTATTAACTTATGTTGATGTATTACTACTTTACTTATGGCTGTGCTGTATGAATGTTACTTAGAAATATTTTGAACATTTTCCTTCCAACTTTTCATTGTTATGCAGTGGAGTCACCATCAGCTAGTCAAATGACACTCCTGCCATATTAGCTGTTCAACAACTTTATAATACACTGTGCTAAATGTGAAACTAATAATGGAGTCACTGCATGAATTTCAGGCCACTAAGATGTTTCAATGTATGATATTATTATCTAGGAACCTGTTACAAATAGACATGAAATATATAGTATTGATGAAAAACAACTAGGTTTGCCTTTCTTTCTGCATACCTACCCATTTTTAACAAGCCTGGTCTAATAGTAACACAACAGGATGGAGCTGTGGTTAGTTGGTCAGAGGGCGTCTTGTAAAGAACAAGAAGTAAGGACCAATCCACTATGATGAAAATAACTTTATTCTCTTATTCCTAGGAACTAACAAATCAATAATTTTAAAGAATGAATACAATGTTAATACTAAGAGTCAGCATTAACTATACAAGAAAGATCAACCCTGTGCCAATCATGCTTTGCACAGGTTAACCCGTCGCTCAATATTGACTCTACGCACATTGACACACCCCTCCAAGTGTAGGCTATGATCAGACTTACTTCTTGCAAATGTACAGATATAGGGAAAAAAAGAAATAATAAAGTGACTTACAACATTATGTTGGCAAACAAGGCAATTCCTCCAACAACAAAAAAGCAAAAAAATTGAACAATTGTAAATGTCAATATTCTAATCAAAATAAAGATTGAGTAACTTAACTCAAAAGGATTATCTAACTTAACTCAACGGCTCTAGATTCATAACAGTGTCAAAATCAAACATAATACACCATAATAGAGAAAACTGGCAGATCAGCAAAGCCTTTAGTAGCATTCCATGTTTGAATGGAGGTGTCTTTTAAAATCAAGTCTTAAAGGTCCATATCTAATACCTTAATTTTATCACAAATTATTACGATTTATCACATGTCCATTCAAACAAAAATAAATAGTAATTAAATACTAAAGGCCATCAATGAGTTTCCGGGCATCACCAATAACATCTATACTTATGTGTGATGCAACCCATTGTGCACTGAAGCCTTTGGGCGCTGCTGCAGCAATAAAGCGTACTTTATCTCCCTCTTTGAAAACTTTTCGAATATCTACTTTGCCCAGATTATACTTAAAGAGAGAGGCACAAGAGCGGTGAAATAGTATGCTTTGCCAATGAGTCTGCTGCTTGTTAACAGCGCCTAAGGCAATACCATATCCTTCACTCAGAATTTGCATTATTTGGCCTTTTCCACGAATAAAATGGGATTTTGGATTTTTAACAATCTGTAAGAAAAGAAAAAGAAAATTTTAAGATTTAGGATTTGGAAGTCATTATTTATACAAAGAGCAGTTGTGATAGTCACCATCTTAATCTGAGCAAGATTTGGATCAGGATCAGGTGTAGGGGCATCATAGTTGATGGCAGGTTTACTTCGTTTCCACGCCAAAGTAGCAAACCAAGAGCAGGAATGTTCATTTTCCTCTGGGTCTATGGGAACTGCATCGAATGAGATTTTGTCATTCACAGCAATGAATTGTTCCAAAGGCGTTTTGACTTTTATGTGTTTGCCTCCATCGTAAAATTTGCTTGCCAGGAATAAAGCCTCCTGTTGGTCACCTGTTGAAAAAATAAAGCAAAGAGTCAGAAAAGGGTTGGATTTAACTGGAATTTTTGCTTTCTGAAAGTTGAGGAGAGATTACCATTGTCATCCTTAAATGTAATAACACCTTGCCGTTTCTCAAGGTGTGAAACCCAGCCCATTCTGTTCAACATAGTCGGGCAGAGGCCCGAAAGTAGGCGAGGGTCTGACAATTCGTGTCCAACGGAAAGAACTTCCGCAATAAACCATGCACATCTATAAATGGAAGACACGTTACGATAAGAGACAAATGTTGGATGATCAATCACGAGGGTATTGAGCTTCACTGACATAGACTTACTTATGTTCAGCTGTCTCATCGTATTTGTGACACAAACATTTTATGGTAGATCCAATATCAACGAACTCATTAATGGCATGGTCCTCAGAACTACCAAGCTTAAGACCAAGCTTACAGGTGAACTTCTCCACCTTGAGCAAAGCCCGCTGTTTTAAGTCATGCAATTCCACAATAGCTTTGTAACGGCCCATAAACTCCACCACACTTCCGGTGAACTCCTTGTACACCTGATTGCTGGTCGCCATCCTCGCAACTGGAAAACACAGCAACAACAAAGTTGAAGTGAGTTGACTCGGCAAAGTAGTTAGAAGTAGGTATCCTAGAACGACAATATCGCAAAAGAGAGAGGTTAAAACTCGGCACTCGGAACTCGATCAAGTATTTGTCACGGATTAAAAGCTGAAGACGGGACCAGAGGGCGTTTTAAATCACCTGTAGTGTCGGGGACAATGTTGAAATGATGACAGGCGCTGTGAATGGAGCGTTCGACCAGAGACCGCGTTAGCACTTACGTGTGTGGGTATCCCCTGCGACAGAGACAAACGAGACGAAACAACAACAAAGACTCTCTCTCCCTCCAAACCACATTGCGATTCTCGGAGCACCCTGTCGCGAGGCTAGCTCCGACATCCTGCATGAGAAGTTCTGCAGTCTAAATCTCCGTTCGGCCGTTCGGTTCGATTTTCAGTGTGCAAACGCGGCATGAACAAAGCCTTGCGTTGTTTGGATGACATTTTAGAAGGAAAAACACGCTCAGGAGGAGCAGTGCCGCGTGCTATGTGCCGCGTGCTGCCTATCGGGTAGGGGCAACCCATTGGGCTCCGGCAGGACCGGCAGGGGGTGGTGTCACGGACACAGGGCACTAGAGTCCTGAAGGGCACTGCACTCGTTCGTTAGACCCAATGCAGAACGCAAAGCGATGTGCCCCGCTCTCCGTTTTAACTTCCAATTTTCGGACCCCAGCAAACCCGCACCGAAAACACAGGCAAACATTTTGAGCAATAAGGTCCCGTTACCGGGCAGGGCAAGGCCGGCAAGGCCGTAACACGACGCACCATGAAGACGCCTCGCCGGGGCCGTCACCGAGTGTGTCACCGAGGCCGCGAGGCCGCCGTCAAACGCCATCCCCGGCGCGTACAAGGTCGCCGCGTGCGCGCGTGTGTGTGTGTATTGTGTTGTGTGTCCACCTACAAAGGAGAGAGAGAGAGCGTCCGGAGAAAAAGGACTAACGTATGCGTATTCGCGGCATTTTATGCACAAAAGAGCTGCAAGCAAGCCGTTATCCGTGACGAGTTTATGTGTTGTTTAATGGGCGCACACACTCACACACACGTGCAAGCGCACGCACACACACGCACACCTGTCACACTGTGATCCTCTTTGACCGAGGCATCGGGATGCCGAACAGCAACCATAGAGGAAACAAAAACGGATGGAGTAAAACGACCAAGGGAGGGGAAGGGGAGAGGGTCGTGTCGGGGCGTCCAAGGGCAGGGGCAGCAAGGGCAGCAAGGGCAAGGCGCTCTGGGACTCTGGGGGTGGGTCGGGAGGGGAGGGAGGAGAGGCGTCTTAGGGACCCTCCGCCAACGGGCCGCCGTCAAATGGGGACGATAGCGCACAGCCCTACGCAGTGCTACGCTACGCAGTGTACGCAGTGCACCCCGAACGCACCTCCCCTCCCCTCCCCTCGGCCGCTTTGGCTTCGGCTTCGGCCACCCCCATCTTGGCAGGGCCTTCTTCCCTTCTTCCCTTCCCCCAGGGTGCCGGAGTCGGGTAAAAGGATAACGATGCAAAGAGGGGGTGGAAGGGCGGGGCGGCCAGGCTCGGCCAGGCTCGGCTTGACGGGGGAAACTGGGAAGGGCGCCAGGGCCAGGAAAAAGGCGATACGAAGTACGAAGGCGCCCTGAACGCCCTACGCCCCGAAACCGCGTAGCCGCGTGCACTGCGTGAGTGCAACCCCTGCAACCACAACGAGCACGGTTATCATTCACTGACTGCGGAGGCGGAGGTATGCGAGTGTGGGGGGGGGGGGGCATCAATTAAATGTTAAATTTGAGCGGCTCGAGCGGGCGGCCCGGCCTCAGCCCACATGCATTCTTTTGGGTGGCAGTGTTCGGCCCGGACTCGGTGTCTAGGACTCGGTTCCCGAACTTCCCGAACGCCCGCACTCCACGACGCCGACGTCGACGTCGCCAGCGACCCTCGGGTGGTTGCGTCCGAAGGGCTGCATTTTCAGATTCTCTGTCTCCGTCCGCCTGGAGGCCGCAGGCAGCAGCAGGGCGCGGTGCGAGCGGGACGGAGCACCACCGCGCCGAGCGCAACGTCCCCGAGAGCGCCGGGCTGCTGCGGTGGTGGTGGTGGCGGCGGCCCGTAGACAGCAGCACAGCGGCGGCGGCAAGGGGGAGGAGGAGGAGGAGGAGGCAGTGGGCGGCGGCAGGGAGGGACCAAGTCCCGGACGGAGTGAGCCGCCGCCCCGGCCGGCCCAGCCCACCAGTAGTGACTGAGACCCGAACAGCAGCAGAGCAGCGAGCACCCCAACACCGACCCCGTGAATGCGGCATTGCTTGCAGAGGCAACAAACATGTAAGTGTTTTTATTTTGGCGAGCCGGCACAGGCCCAGCCCCGAGGCTCGCGCGCCTTCTTCTCGGCCAAGCCGCGTCCCGTGTCTCGTGCCGGTGTCGTGAGCCGCCCGGCATCGCGCCCCGCCCGTCCCGGCCGCTTGTCAGAGCCTTGTCACTACGTTATCACTACTTGTCCGTGTTGTCAATGTGTGTCGGTGCGCGTAGTAACCCCTGCAGCATGCAGTGGGCCTGCAGTGCCGTGCAGTGCAAGCGTGCCGGCCGCAGTGTTTGCCGTTTGCCCGTGCCGGTGGTGCCGGCCCGTGCCTTCTCCAAACAAGAGCTTACCGCGGACTCGGACTCGGCCCCGCGGGTCAAGGTATTATTTCGCTCACCGCGATTCTGGGCTCCGGTCTGGGCCCCTGTCCCTTGTTTTCGCATTGGCACGTTCTTTTTCCCGGCGCGAGCCACAATCGAAAACAGTGGAGCCGACCGTCGGCCGCCGAGGCGGAAAGCTGGATTCCTTGGGGTCGCCGCGGGTCGGCTGGCATTTAATGAGTCGCGGCGGGGTTTATCGTCCTGGGTGACTCAGAGCTCGGTTTGACGACGGCATTTAGTGCGTACCAGTTCGCCGTAATTTTGATCCAAATTTGTGTCTGAACTCGATAGTAGCGGAATCTCTCGGCGCGTGTGGCGTAGGTACTTCCCTGGCGCCCCGGCTCGGCCAAGGCTCGGCCACGCCTCGGCGTGGCGACACAGTAATTGGCCGGAATGAGCCCATCCTCTCTGCGGACCGTTTCTGCGTTCCGCTCGCTAATTCGCTGGGTGTCGCGCTGTTTCCTTGTTTGCCGATGTTCACTCGCCGTCGTTGACGCCCACGCTGCGCCCGCGACGCGCGAGGGCGTGTTGTGCCAGGCGCGGCCACGGAGGGAAGGCCACGCCGTCCGACGTACTGTTCGAATTTTACTGCCGCGGGGGTGGTCTCCGTGACGGTGGCCGCCTCCAGCATCACCATTTGGGCGTCCGGCAGGGGCGGTCGGGTGGCGGTCGGGCCCAAGGCGTTTGGGAAGTTTGGAACGAGCTTGACGGCGTGCACGGCGTGCTCGGCGAACAGGGCAGTGCTGTGGGCGAGGCGAGGAGGCTAGAGGGGCGGGGCGGGGAGGGCGGAGGGCCAGAGATTTTATTTTTTTCCTTCCCCGTTCCAAACTCTAGCAGTGCCGAGCTGGGTCCCTAGCGAGGGCTAGGGAGGGGCGCGGCTGGCGCGGCGTGCGGCGCGGCCCGCAGGACTGGAGGGGAGGACGCTGGGAGGGGAGCTGCCGGCCTGCCACAGCAACACCGTGACCTAGGAGAACATGCGCACGATGGAGCAGGCAGAGCAGGCGGCCGGGCCGGCGCGGTGCCGGTAGGGTGCGAAAAGGACGCAAGGATGGCGGCGCTGGTGCGACGGAGAGAGACGGGGTCTCCTCTAGGCCCTCCAAGCCCTCCCCGCGGCCCCGCGGCTGCCCTGGTCGTCGTCGCCCGCTCCCTCTGCCGCTGGCTGTGTGGCTCCTACTCTCCGGCCCTTGGAGCTTGGAGTTGCCCGAGCTTCACTCCCGCTGTAGCCCCGATCCACCATTCATTCGAACACGCTCTCGGCCTACTCGTGCTTCCGCATTGACTTGCTGGTTTAGTGGCTACGCTCGTCGTCGGCGTCCTTCCCCCGCCGTCTCGTCGTCGTCGCCGCCGTCTTCGGTGTCCTTCCCCCGCCGCCGCCGCCTCGTCGCCACCGCCCGCCTCCACTTTCGGTTTCGTTGCGGTGCACAGTGGTGCCCGCGTGCCATCCAGGGGGTGTGGCGGGGCGTGGCCGGGGGGGGGCGGGGCGGGGTGGGGCGGGGCGGGGCGGGGCGCCGCTCCCCTCGCCGACCCTCGCTCAATATCGAGCAAATCGGCGTGCGGGCCAATCGCGGCGCGCCACGGCACGCGGCACGCCGTCGACGCCACGTGGGGGAGGGTCTCGGAGCCCGCCGCACCTAGCCGACGGCGGCCGACGGCTTCCTGGACGTCGTGGCGGGGGCGGCGGGGGCGGCCGGGGCTGCGCTCCGCGTAGGGCCGCGCCCACGCGGATGCCGTGCCTCCCACACGCCCACGCAGGCCCTGAGCCTGAGCCTCCACGCCGTGGGGCTCGTGGAGCGCTCGGCTTGGGCGACGCGACGGGCAGGTTGGAAGCAGGTTGCAGGCAGGTTGCAGTTTTTGGTGGCAGGGAGCGCAGGGTGCATGGCGTGTGCCCGTCTGTCTGCTGTCTGTCTCGGCCTGCAGGCCGGGCAGGCTTGGCTGGCAGATTCCGAGCAGCTTTCGTCGCTCTTTCTCTCTCTTGCGCTCGATTGATGGGTGCGAGAGAGACGGCTGGAACGGCGTGTGTTCCTACATTAGTCCTAGAGGGAAAAGGGGAGGGGGGGGGGGCGAAATCAGGGACTAGTCAAGGGCTCGGAAGGGGGAAGGGGACGGGTGGCGGCGGTGTTTACTCGACCTGACCTGCTGCACCACTGCACTATTGCCCTCATGGTTCTTGAAGGAATGGATTGGAATGAAAGGGGTTGGAGGCAATGGAGACCATTTAAAAAGTTGTCAATGCGAATGCACCATGCGCTGCTGTGCCAAGGATTCGAACCCCATCGGCTCGGAGTTTCCACATTTTTCCTGCCGTGCGCTCTAGTATCTTGCAGAGTCACGCCCCCCCCTCCCCCTGCACCCCCTTCCCGCACCGCCAGGCGTCCTGCGTGGGGACGGGGGACCGGACCCTGCACCCCGCACCTCGGGGCTTGGCGTGGGGACACGTGGGACTTTTGGAGTTTGGGATTTCGCCTGGTGCCTGCAGTTTGGAAGGGGGTGGGGGGCAGATGTTTCCCATCGTCGGCAAGCAGGGCAGCAGTGCTTCCACGGTCTGTTCCTGCTGCTGCACCATGCCTGCGGAAGGCCCTGGAAGGCCGTGGCCGTGGCCCTCGTCCTGGTGTTTGCCTTGCGTTGTTGCGCGTGCTTCCGTGTGCCGTGCCGTGCCGCGCCGCAGGTGCTGGATGCTGGCGTCGGCAGCCGCCGGACGCACTCGGCTTTCCGAGTGCTTTCGGCTCTTGCAGCGCTCGAAGGCTCGAAGCGTGGCGGGCGGCGTGCGGCGTCAGCAGGCTTTCGCGGTGTTTACATGCGCGCCGCCACGCCGCCACCGCCTTGCCGCCCCGAGGCCACCTTTCAGTCCGCTTTGTTTGGTTTATGGCTCGCAGCCTGGCAGTGCCTGGCAGCCCTGCCGGGCCGGGTCGGGTCGGGGCGGGTCGGCGCAGGGCAGGGCCGGGCGGCCATCCGGTGGATTGCCGGCCCGGCCATGTGTCTGTTATTGGTGCATTCTTTGGAAACGCTTTGGGGTGAAATGAGTCACTTGTCGGCGACAATAAACCGCCGGAGTCGCGGCCATGTGTCACGGGCTCTTCGGGGCTCGCTCTGCTCGCTCTGCTTTATAGTTTTTATTATTTCCTGCTGTGGGCCACTCTGTGGGTCGGCGCGGGTCGGGGTCACCTTTCTTGAAAAGTCGTCGTAAAACTAAAACTGGAGCCGATCCGATCCGACCCGACTCTGACGCGCGTGGGTTGCGGGGGCTGCACTTCCTAGTTCGACTGCTTTTGTTCCAGTGGCGCGGCCCGGGCACTGCCCCCACCCCTTCCCGACGTGTCTCGACTGACCTTCTCAGAATCGCCTCCTTTGATAAGCTGCGGAGCGCTGCGTGGACGGTGCGGCGTGCGATCGCAGACACTCTCCGCGTCCCGCACCCCGCCCCGCCCCGCCCCGCCGACATCTGGTCACTTTGAGCCGCGTTGCCGCGTCTTGTCCTTTCGGGGGAAAGCATTAGAGCCTCGGCGTCTAGTCATGGCGTCTTGACGGAGTGCAGGCCCACTCGCGCTCGTTGGGCAGGCGCTCAGAGAGCCCTAACGCCAGAAGGGCCTGCAGTCGCTAGTCGCTCCGAGTTTCAAGTGGCCGTTTTTCGGCGACTCCGTCCGCCTCTTGGGCATTCCCTGGCGTGCCCGGCGTGCCCACCCCTCGGATTGGGCTGAGCCCTGGGCTGCGCGCTGTGGCGCTGTGCGGGCGATGTAACCTCCCCCTCCCCCCTCCCCACGTCCTCTTCTATTAGGCAAAGTGTGCGGGCGTGACAAATGTGCCCGGCCCTCTGCTGGCGGTGGGGGCGCGGCCCACCCCCTGGTTAGAACAGCGAACAGCCCCGAGACGGCCGAGACGGCCGGCCCTCCTCTGGGTTCCTCGAAAGAACCCCGTCTGGAGAGAGGGCCGTGTTTGGCGTTGATTGTCTGCCCTTGTTTTGCTGTTGTGCATGCGTGTTTGTGTGTGTGAGTGTTTTGAGGCGCTTCACCCTCGCCCAAGTTGACGTGTTGCTTGATGTTGTGCAGGATGATGGCGACTTCAGCCTTGGCGTCCTGCCTGGCCAACGGCCTCGGGGCGCTGTGCGACCCGACGGCCAGCCCGCCCTTCTCCAGCTGGGGCTTCAGCAGCGGGCTCAACTCCTCGGGATCATCAATTTACGGCTCCTCGCCGTCGACGGGGTCCAGCAGGGAGCCGAGCATCGGGTCGATCGGCTCCATCGACCTGCAGGAGATGCTGCAGGCCCTGAACGGCGACTTGCTGGACGCCGACGTGGACGCCACCTGCCGAAACTGCGAGAGACTGCCCGTCGCGCGATGCTCCGCGTGCAACACGGTAAAGCCCGCACGGAGTTTACAGTGTCCATCGCTCAGGCGAGTCTATTGTGCAAGTTTTTCACTGACGTATTTGCTTTTCTGTTGCAGGTGCTGTGCAAACCATGCGCGGGTTGCCATCACTCGGACCACGTGCTGATTCGAGTGGAGGACGGGCTGCCCTTCAACATGGCGGTGCCGCCGCCGTGCCTGCCCAAGCCGCCCATGCACCTGTCCATGGCAGTGACGAGGCCGCCGTCGGTACCTCCTTCGCTCACCACCAGGGCGCCGCCCCCCAGCTCCAGGCCGGCGGCCAGGCAGGCCCGCAGCCCACCGACCCGGATGGCGGTGCTGCCCCGGGCCGCCGCCCTCTGCGAGGTGCACGCCGGGGAAGTCCTGGTTTCGTACTGCGAGACCTGCAGTGTGGGGACCTGCTCAGCGTGCGCGGCGTCCGCCAGCCACGTCGGCCACACCCTGGCTCAGCTGACCGTCGTCAAGGGCGTCACCGAGAAGTACCTCCGGGACGCGACGGCGGGGGCACAGGCCGCGCGGGATCACCTGGAAAGGAACTCCGGTGTCGCGGCGGCCGTGGAGGCCAAGGCGATGCAGGTGAGGCCTGGGTTCGAATCCCTGTGGTAGCTTTTCTTAGTTCCTGGATCGTGCTTGCTGACTTGCCTTTGCGTTGTGGTTGTGTCCGCAGGTGGCTTCGGACATCCGCTGCTGCACCCGCCAGATGGTGGCGGCCATCGAGGCGCGGGAGCGGCAGCTGCTCGCCGACGTCCAGGAGATCGCCAGCCTCAAGGCGAGGTCGCTGCAAGTGCAGGCGGACGTGCTGCGCTCCCTCCACGAGCGCTACGTGAGGCTGTCCGAGTCCCTGCGCGACACCCTCGCCCTCGGCCAGGGCGTCGACGTGGTGCACGCGCGGGACAAGGCGGCCGTGGAGCTGGCCCAGCTGCGTGCGGCCAAGGCCAACAACACCGGCCGGCCCTCGCAGCAGCCCTACGAGGACGAGACGATCACCTTCACGCCGCCGGAGCCCATCCTCAGCAAGGCGCTGACGTCCATGGGCGCAGTCTCCAGCTCGGGCTACGCGCTGTCGAGCGTGGCCGCCGGCGAGGGGCTGACGCGTGCCGTGCGGGGCCGCCCTGCCGCCTTCACGGTGCACGTCAAGTCGCACCTGGAGGCCTCCGTGCCGGTGGTGCCCGGCGAGCTGGACGTGGTGCTGGTGGCGCCGGAGGGCGGTGCCAACGTGCGGGGCGACGTGGAGGACCGCGGCGACGGCACGGCCGTGGTGGTGTACCGGGCGCGCGCCGAGGGGCTGCACGCCCTGCACGTGTTGCTGCGCGGCCGCCACATCGTGGGAAGCCCCTTCTCCGTGGCGGTGAGGCCGCCCCGGTCCTACGACGGCGTGCGCGCGGCCTCGGCCACCATCGGCGGCGAGGGCAGCGAGGAGGGCCGCTTCCTGCGCCCCTGGGGCGTGTGCTGCGACCGCCAGGGCCGCATCATCGTGGCAGACCGGTCCAACAACCGCATCCAGGTGTTCGGCGCGGACGGCAAGTTCGCCTTCGCCTTCGGGTCTCAGGGCACCGCGCCGGGGCAGTTCGACCGGCCCGCCGGGGTGGCCGTGGACCTCGGCGGCCGCATCGTCGTGGCCGACAAGGACAATCACCGGGTTCAGATATTTGATCCTGAAGGGCGCTTCATCAAGACTTTCGGCCAGTGTGGGGCCCAAAACGGGAACTTCAACTACCCCTGGGACGTGGATGTGAATGGCTCCGGAGAGATCGTGGTGTCGGACACCCGAAACAATCGCATCCAGCTGTTCTCTCCGGAGGGCACATTCCTCCGCAAGTACGGCTGGGAGACCACCACCTCAATGTGGCGGCACTTTGACACCCCTCGCGGAGTGGCGTTTAACCGCGATGGGTACGTCATATGTACCGACTTCAACAACCACCGGTTGGTGGTGGTGGAGCCCTCCTTCCGGCACGCCCGCTTCCTGGGGGGCGAGGGGTCGGGCCCGAAGCAGTTCCAGCGGCCCCAGGGCGTGGCGATTGACGGCGACAACAACATCATCGTCGCCGACTCCCGGAACAACCGCGTGCAGGTGTTCGAGGGCAACGGCATCTATCGTTGCCAAATCGGCCTGCCCGTGGAGATGGACAGGCCCTCCGGCGTCTGCGTCACGCCGGATGGCAAAATAGCTGTTGTGGATTTTGGTAATAATAGAGTGTTGTTACTTTAATTTGATGACCATTTTTTTGAATTTTTCAAATTTTTCAATATTGACTAAATTTTAAATTTTAAGAACGTGAACTGTATCTCAGTTTTAATTTGCATTTTGTGAACCAAAGTCGATGAACCATTTCCAAATTTCCCTATGTAAATAGATTGAATTCTCTGCCACTTATTGGACCATTTGCCTTTGTTAAAACATGACAACTCTTTTTGCTGCACGCTGTTTCTCTCAGCTTCTTAGGAAGTTGTTGATTGAGCCTTAGGTATGAGTATGTGTGTGTGTAGCTTGTGATGAACTTTTTTTTTCTGAGATGTGATGATTTGATATCCTGTTTGGATTGAAAAATCCTATTTGTACATTGTAGATTTTAAGACTGCTACGAGCAACCCTTTCCTGTTTTGAAAGGATTGCTGTGTCACTTGTTTCTTTTCTGCAAATGATAAGAATTTGAGAAAGGTTTTACTCTTATCAAATTTTGTGTCCTTTTCAGAGGCTGTCTGCTTTATAAGACTGAGTTGGCAAAGATAAAGTTTTGTTGCCTTTGATCACCTCCAATTTTCATGAAGACTGAGTAAGACTGATTGCTGTTCCAATTTAATGTAGTTGTTGTATTTCATTGTGTCTTATCCAAGTCTTCTGTGGAGATAGAACTTCAATCAATTTTCTGGAGACCTCGCCCTCTAATTACCTAATTTCTACCTCAGTATTTTGTAAGTAAAGGTGTTCCATTCAAACATCATTTGACTGAGACACAATTTATTATTATTATTATTTCAGAAATGCCCTTCACGAGGGATAATGTCTTGTTATTAATTTCTGATTTTTATCAATCAACTTATGTGTGTCCTATCCAAACTTAAAGTTAAAATTAAGTAACAAAGAAGGGTAACTTCAACTTTCAGTGATACAACTGGTCCACCTTAATGTTAACTGTAAGTTAGGAAATTTTAGTTCATTTTATTTATTTGTTTCTCAAGTTTGACAAGACTAATAGACTATTGGCTCTTTGTGTTTTACTCTATCACACAGTTATCAAAAAAACAATTTTTTTGTTTTAAACTTTGTATTTTCTGTTTTGATTAGGGTTGAGTATTTTGTTGTCAACTTGGAGTATTTTATTGGAAACTTTTAGTTCCTTCAAGTATGTTGATTTTATTGACATTTTGATCCATTTTAGTAAGCATTTGTGTGAACATTGTTATTAAGATGTTATAGCTGTGTAATGACACATTTTGTTTATTTGTTTAGTTTTAAGTGGTCATGCACTCAGTGCTAATTTTATGTAGACATATGAACCAGCTTGTAGTGCATTTGGTAAAGTGTCAACCTTGTATAATTTGTTTCCGGTGTATGCGTTTAACGTTTTAAAGCTTTAGATTTTGACTGCTTGTGTTGGGGAGCGCTGCAAGTCGCTTTGTTGTTTACTTTGCTGTGACTTTAATTTTCAAACATGGTAAACTAAGTGCCATTTGTTCTGAGTATTGCGCAGTTAAGTTGCCTGCTCATGTGTGTAAGTGATATGAATGCAGTCATGAATCTAGTGTTTCCTCATGCTGTTGTTTTGCCTGGTGACAAGGCTTATCTTTTGTTAACTAGAAGGGTCATATGCATTTGACAATTTACAAAAGTACAAAGGCTATTTTTAATTCCTGTAGCTAACTCTTGGAGCAGTTACGTGTTACCTTTTTAATTAACAAAAGAATAAAAGAAAAAGTACATTTTGATTTTTGTTCTTTTTTTGCCCTTATCATCCCATTTCAATGCCGCCAGTTTCCTCGGCATAAGCTTATCACCCAACTACTCGCGGTAGAATGACAAAAATTGAAATGCTGGCCAGCACTGCTGCTACATTGACGACTGCAGTCCCTGCATCGCCACACTGTCTCATATACTTTTCCTGAAATTGGACGGAGGAGAAACAATTGCAATGTTGCGTTTACAAACAGTACTTACAAAATAAAATGGCAAACCTTTGGGTGCTGGTTGTAGCAGCCCCCCAGTCTTCTTCGGGGCAAGTCATTGAGGTTCATTTTCTGGCAGGGCTGAGTGACGTTGTACTCGATGACCGTCGAGGACGCGAACAGGCGATTAAAGCACGTGTTGGAACTCATGGGGTCGGTCACCACCAGCAGCATGTTCGAGTTTGGCACCGCGCGGGCAGAGTACGGTCTGGAATCGCTAAAATTCATTACACAAATCACGCTGACGAATTTGATCCGAATCCTGGATTCTGGACCGGAGTGGCACTTGCAAGCTTGCACTGGCTTGCACCAGGTACTCGCCTGCTGCACTCTGGAGGGGGCAGTCGAAAGTTGCCATCCCTCATCTTCTCCTGCTCGAGTCGGTACAGCTCCGTCTTCCGCTCGCAGGGGAAGCTGACGGTCTTCTTGGCGCCCTTGGGCGGCTTCCTGGGGAACACCTCCCCCAGCTCCTCCTCGGGTCGGGCCTTCTTCCGCTTCACCCTTCGCTTGGCTTTGCCGAACCGCCGGTAGTCGCCTAGGAGAGCAAACAAGCAGCACAACAGTAGTCGCATCACATCTCCGGGACAGGGGGGTCAATGGGGAATGCCAAACGTGAACGCGACGCACCGTGGGGGCCGTGGGGGCCGTGGGGGCCTGGGGGGATAAGTCGGGACAGCCAGTCCCGGAGCAGCCAGTCCCCAGCCAGCGCCTCCGCGAGCTCGGACTGCAGCAGCAGCCACGCCAGCCGGCCCACTGTCCAGTGCCACAGCCACCGCAGCTGTATCAGCGGCTGCGAATAGACAACCCGCATTAGTCCTCCGCATGGGGTATCGACGTGGCCGCCGCAACGGCCGCATGGGGTATCCACGCCGGGCTCACCGTGGCGAGGAAGCCGGCGCCGCTGTCCAGGGGCACCTCCTCGTAGCAGAGCGCCTGGTAGTCGTACACCTTCCGCACGGTGAACAACCCCGCGGTCACCATCTCGGCCATGACGGCGCCCTCGATCTCGCCGAAGAAGCGGCCCGTGTCCAGGGAGGACTTGCTGGCCATGACGTAGCCCGCCGAGTCCAGCAGGTAGCAGTCGAGCCTCTCACTGGAGCACGGCAGGCACGTCTTGCAGGCCTTGGAGGTGACGTTCTCGAAGCGGCGCTGCAGGGAGGCGTGGGGCATCACGTAGCCCAGCACGCTGGCCGGGACGTACTTGCTCTCGTCCAGGTGGAAGACGGCGTGCGTCGCCGTCACCGTCAGCAGGTTGGGGTCTTGTCGCTCTGGCGAGGATGAGGACGGCGATGAGTCCACACACCCACCAGCCGGGGGCAGCCGGCCCGCACACTCACACGCCCCTGCACCCACACACCTACCTGCGTCTGGCGGCAGCGAAAAGTAGAACGAATAGTTGTTGACCTGGTGCTGCAGCACGGCGCCGACGTACCAGGGCTCCTCGATGGCGTGGTTGTTGGACTCGCCCCACTCCCTACGCGCCCAGAAAAGTGAAACACTCGTTTCCCGCTTCGATTTACCGATTCTCGACTTTGGAAGACAGAGAGGTGCCGGTGCGGCGTACTCACGGCGCGGGCTTTCCATCGGCGGGGCGGTCGTGCATGGCCTGCCAGCGCAGCAGCCCGCTCTGCATGGAGATGAACCTGAGGCTCACGTTGTACTTCCGAGCCAGGTCCTGCCTGGAAGGCGAGAGTGCGTTAGAGCGCGCCAGTTACGCCTGCAAGAACAAGAACACCCTCAGCCATCCCGCAGCACTTACTCGTCTCTCGTCTTCGGCTCCCACTTGGAGCCCTTGAAGTAGGGCTGCGAGAGGCGCGCGTCGAACACCAGCAGCTGCATCAGTTCGCGATCACCTGCGCCAGAAGCCTCGGTTACCACGGCGCGAGGCGCCCCGACAAGCCCAACACGAGCAACGTAAAGCGAGAGCGAGACTCACAGTAGTAGTCGCTCTGGTCCAGCTGCGGCCTGGCGCACCGCCCTGCAGCAGAGGGAACAGGGGCACGGTGAACAAGGTGAACATCGTGAGCAATCCAACATCCGCAGCGTCCCGCCCTCTCTCTCACCCTGCGCGTCCGGCGGCGGGGCCCTGAAGCGCTCCCGCCACTCCCAGTTCTTGTGGCTGGCGCGCTCCACGAAGTGCAGGACCCGCGCCTCCGGGCTGGCGAACACTCGGTAGTCCTCGTGGAAGTACGCGCAGTAGTCCCTGCAACAGACTGCCGATGCAAGCGGGGTCGTGCCGCGGGGGCGGGGCACTGCCGCCCAGGCAACCCATCGGACAGGGTAGGCAACCCATCGGGCAGGGTGGGCAACCCATCGGACAGGGTAGGCAACCCATCGGACAGGGTAGGCAACTCATCCGACCCACCCCTTCCGGTGGCTCCCCTTACCACTCTGGGTGGATTTTCCAGCGCGTGGAGTCGAAGAAGAGCGTGGGGTCGGAGCCCGCCTGGCGGTACTTCTTGAACTCGTCCGAGGCCACCTTGAGCCAGGCGTGGCCGTACTCCGTGGGCAGCACCATGGCGATGGAGAAGGGCGTGCCGTTGAGCGGCGCGATGTACACGTCCTTGAGCTCGCTGTCCACGCGGCGCTGCAACATCAACGTGGAAGAACGGGACGGGGTGAGTCCAGTTGCGGCAATGCGGCGCCTCATCGCAGCCATGTTTGACTGGCTCACCATTTCGTCGAAGTGGAACTTGATTCTGATCTGCATGTGCGCCCTGGAGTGGTTCACCATGGCCTCGCGCAGCTGGAACAGAGTTTGGTTTGGCTCGTGCACGGACGACGGGCCGCTTCGATGCCTTTCGTCTAGATCGTCTCACCTCCAGGATGTCGGGGCTGGGGTCCCGCGGCTCGCGCTCCTCGTCCGCGAACTCGACCTCCGACAGGTCCACACTGTTGTAGTTCGTTTTCAAGATGCCCTTCAGCTAGACCGCGCCAATAATCAGAAAGTGACAGTTTTTACCAAGTATACCTCCAGCAGGCTGCGAACCGTGGGACATTCCGGCGACGATGCTCACCACAGGGCGGTGGTCCGGGTGCGTCAGGATGTAGCCGTTGTTGGTCACGATGAAGACGTAGCCGTTGACGCCAATCTGAAACACAAGGCCGCGTTAGCCTCGCTGACACTACGCGACGCATCGCGTCATCGCATCGCCTTGGCCGCGCAGGCGCGCACTCACGCTGTGCGGCATGGTGAGCTTGACGAAGTCCAGGATGGGGACGTCGATGCCGGCGATGCCGAGCAGCTCCGCGCGGACCTCCGTCTGGAACGCACGGACGCGGCGAGGCGTCAGAAGGAGGTTCAATTCTTATCTGCTGCTGGACGAACATCGACGCGTGCGGGGCCTTACCTCGTTGCTGTACTCGTGGGACAGCTTGCGGTCGAACGCGGGCACGGACACGGACGTCATCATGCGGTACTCCCTGAAGCGGTGCACGATGGGGTCGTACTCCTTGTCCTGTGGGACGGAGCGCGGCGTGAGAGGCATGGCGACGGCCGCGGACAAGCGCCCGGGGCAAGCAGGGGCAAGCAGCGCAACTGGAGCTACTCGTGCAAGTCGCACTACTTGGCGGGAAGGGGCATCAAGTCAAACGCAGGCACTAGTCGAGGAAGGGGGAAACAGGATGCTGCAACCCGGCTCCTGGAGTCGTTCAACAGAATCTGGCACGTTTGAACGACCCCAGTGCAACTAGTATTCTACGGTAGCAGCACACTTTCTATTCTACTCGTGAAGCCTCGATTGCCCTGCAAAATGTTGCACTGTCGTGGTCGTCTGAAAGCATCAAGTAACTCGTGCGGAAACAAATCGAAGGGTTTAGAATCACTCAAACAAATTACGTACTACTACGGCATCATTCCTTCATTCCGAAAGCAGAGGAAAATAAAACAGCATTCGCAATCTACTACACTACAGTAGTTTTCAGAGGCGTACACAACCAACCCTTGCAACTACGGCTACTAGATCTGAAACCTAGAAAGGCACAAGACACACTCCATGCCGGTGGGAAGCAGGGTCCACTGTCCGGGCGGGCATGGCGGGAAAGGAATTCCCCAGCGAGCGTCGATACCCCTCGAGTGCGACAGCGCGACGCCTGGGCGCGCGGGGTGTCGCCGCGTGCCGCGCACGGGGTATCGACGCTCGACGCGGCGGGGCGGCGGGGCGCCATGCCGTGCCATAGCAGTACCTGGACCTCGTCCTGGATGTACTTATTGTCCTGCTTGCGCTCGCTGTAATACAGCTGGCTATTCTTCTCGTGCGTGTCGAGGCGGGTGCGCTGCTCCTCGTGGTGCATCACGTTGTACAGCCACACGTCCATCTTGGGGTCCTGCAATCAATACTCCGCGCCTTCAGCCTCCAGCGGGGAGTATCGCCAGACAACAGACACGGGGGCCGGGCCGCGAGGGGCTCGGAGGCTGATTACAGGGATCACAGGGAGTCCGACGCGACGATGTGATTAGCACAGACATAGACGGGGCCCTGCAGCCAGGGCTGCCGAGACACTCACGGACGTGTCGGCGAAGAGGGGCGTCCAGCGGATGGGGTGGTCCACCTCCTGCAGCACCAGGGGCCGCGCCACCACGGGGATGTACTTGAGGACGTCCTCGCGGGCCTCGTTCATGGACTGCACGTGCGAGTAGTACCCTGCGCAGCACACTGTAAGTTCGACCGGCGCCTAGAGACAGCCGCGCGCTGTGCCATGCCATTCCCGCGACGCTGGCGACGCACCCCGGTTGAGGCAGGCCATCTCCATGATCTCCAGCACGCGCGTCACCTCCCGGCCCAGCAGGAACGTGAAGATGCGCACCGGCGCCATGCCGTTCTCGTCGCGGTTGTAGCGCAGCATGAAGTCCGTCATGTTGAAGGCGATGCCGTCCGTCACCAGCATGATGGCCTGGTTGCAGTGCAGGTCCGGGCAGTTCTGGCTGGACCGGAACTGGAAGCAAAAGCGGCAACGCGGCGGTGTGAGTGCCTGGGGGATCATGGGGCTGGGCGTCGTCGAAAGTTGGCGCTCACGCTGTCCAGCAGGTCCATGGCGTAGAGCAGGGCGTGGGTCAGATTGGCGTACTCCTCGGGCTTCAGGGTGTCCAGCGCCTTGCTCAACGCTTCCTTGTACTCGGGCGTTCCCTGGCGACAAGAGATGCCTTACCTGAAGATTTGACAAAGTCTCCCAGCAAAATCAACTAAAGGCGCGTCTGTCTCACCTGGACCAGCGTGCCCTCGAAGCACTCCACGACGCTCATGGCGGTGTCGTTGTACGAGATGACGCTGACGAAGTCGTTGGCGCCGAACGTCGCGAGGAGCTCGCGGACGGTGAGGTGCGCGATGGCCTTGCGGACGCCCCACATGGAGCCCGTGTTGTCCACCAGGATGACGACGTCCTTGGTGCACGTGGCCGCCTCGATGTACCACTCCCTGCGCCGGCAGTCGTACAGGTCGGGCATTCGGTCCTCCTCCTCGTCCTCCTCTTCCTCCAGCAGCGGCGCCACCGGCTTGACGGCGTCCCCGGCGGCGGCGGTGGCGTCCGGGTTGGGGGGCGTCGCGGCGCTGTTGCCGGCGTTGGGGTCATCCCCGGCGGGCAGGTTCAACACGTCCACGACGACGTCCTTCTCGTCCTCGACGTCCTCCTCCTTCCTGGTGACCCAGTGCAGCGCTGCGCGAACAAGACGCCGTCAGCCTCGCGGCCACAACGAAAAACAAGAGTACCCTCTAACTGCTTTGCCTCACCTGGGAATATCCTCATGAAGCCCGTAGAGTGCCCGAAGTACTGCCAGGAGAGGGAGGGGTCGGCTCCGTAGTTGTTCCTGAACACCTCGTTCAGGTCCTCTGACCACTGGAGTCCGGCCTGAACGTGCGGGCCTGCAAGAAACAAACGTCTTTTACCGTTCCAGAAAGCGGCCGCCGTGGTTTGAGCAACGCCGTGCGCCGTACCGTGGTCGAACACGTTGTCCGGGACGTGCACGCTGCTGTGCGTCAAGTTGATGGGGATGCCGTAGAACAGCGGCTGGCGCTCCTCCAGCCACAGGTCCAGGTACTCGGGCTCCGTGAGGTTGTCCCAGTCGAAGCGCAGCACCTTGTGCTTGCTCTGCTCCTCCTCCTCGGCCAGGGCCTTCTTGCGGTAGCGCTCCGCCTCCGTCAGCAGAGACTCGTCCTCCTCCTCTTCCTCCTCCTTGCGCTTCATGTTGGCGTCCAGCGGCTCGCCGTTGAAGTACACGGGCGACGCCTTGGCGCTGTGGTACAGCCAGTACCGGGAGTCGTCGTACTCGAAGTTCTGCGCGCTCTCCTCCGCCCGCTCCATGATGCACTGTAAGCGGTCAGTCGGCCGGCAGCGGTCAGTCACAGTGTCGCAGGAACACCGAGCTCTCGGCCAACCCCAACCCGACTCACCTGCACGGCGTCCATCTTCTGCTGCAGCATGCGCTCCATGTTGCCGACGATGTCGTTGAGCATGGCGTCGCCCGTCTTGATCTCCGTGCGCGCGTTGTGGCGGCTGTACTCCTGCGGGCATCGACACTCGGCGTCAGCGCGTCAGCACGGCCGTGTCAACGTGCAGACGAGTCAAGACGGATCGCCCCCGCCGGGAGTCGAACCCGCGGCGGGGCGGCGGGGCGGCGGGGCGTTAGTTCGCGCACACAATAAGGACCGTGTCCAGTCCCGCCCCTCCTCCTCCCCTTCCACTTGACTGACGACGGCACTATCGCCGCATCGCCGCGCCCTGGCCGCGCTGGGGGCGATGATCCCCAGCATCTCCAGCCCCACGACACTATCACGGCACACGTGGACTCGGACGGCGTGGACGGCGCGGACGTCGCCCCCACCCCCGACTCCCTTCACTGCTTCCCTCCATTCATCCCACTCCCCGATCTGTCACCGCCGTTAAAACGATGACGTGGAAGGGGATGCAGGGCGACGCGGAACTGGCACGTAAGGCACACACACTCTTTCTCGCACGCGCGCGCGCGCACACGCACACACGCACACACGCGGGCTGAGAGTAGGAGGCCCACTTGCAAATTAGCGGTGGCTCCGCCTGTTGAGCGATTCCGATCGCTGAGTGGACCTGTCTCTCTCGCACCCGTACGCACGGAACGCCCCTCGAGTGCCGCAGAGACAGAGAGCGGCGAAAAGATCTTTGGTGATTTAATTACGAAAGTCGGCTGGCCGGTTGCCGGACTGCCGGGGGCTGCTGTTTCCCCGAATGACTCCACCGCCGCGCCGCGCACCCTGCTTGGGGTTTTGTCGGATTCCCGCTCGCGGATCGGACATTGGACACGCAGAGGGGAATGATTGTTTCATCGCGGGGCGGCGGCGCGGGGGATCGAACACGAGCCGCGGCCGCTGTTGTCGGAAGCGTAAAAACACGACCCGCGGGAACGTTTAATGTGCGTTTAAATACGCGGTCGCAAAAAAGGGACCGTCCCTCGCCGCGGTCGTTGACCGCCCCTACGGCGAGGATGGGAAATGAGAAGTAAGAACCACGCAGTGTGTGCACACTCACTCTCTCTTTCTCTCTCGCGCGGGATTGCATCCATAATATTGCGGAACCACCTTTCCTTCCTCTCCTCCCCCGTCGCTGCGTTCGGGTGGATGCAGTGCATACCGCACTCGCACAAAAGGACCCCGCCGGCCTCCTCACAAGTGCATGCACGTGGTCGCGGTGTCGCGGCCGTTGGTGTGAGGCCAGGCCGAGGGCCAGGCGCAGAAGCGAGGGGTGTCATAGAAAAGGCCTTGATAGATTAAACGGGGCGACGCACTGTAAGCGGTGGTTAGTGGCCGTCGCCTCGAACGCAACGCGTCCCAGCACGCTGTGTGCCTCGGGGGCGAAGGTGCGGGCTGGTGTTGTCCCGCCGCTCACATTCCGAGCGACAATCACGGACTGCCAGCGACTCGCTAGCGACTCACCCTCTTGATCTCGTCCGGCTTGCAGATCTGGCGGCCCAGCTCCCACAGCTCGTCGCCCAGCTCGCGCGCCCACTTGGTCACCCTGGAGGAGGACAGGAGAGTCGCCGTCAGCCCGCTCCCTCCGAAACTCGACAATTCAAACGGCCACGCTGTGATTTGCTCGGCGCAATGGTAAATGTTATCATGACTCACTGTTCATCGTCCTGGGGCTGGGCCGGCCTGGCTGCCAGGCACAGCACTAGCAGTAGAGCTAGAACCGTCATGGCGGATCGGTGCGAGGCTAGGTCAGCTCAGATCAACACACTGCGATGCTGCTCCACACATGTCCTTAGTTGCTAAAATCACAAGTTTCCCTTTCTAGTCCAGCGGGAAGCTGTCTTTAATTGTACTATTCGGAATAACGTCTTTTCGCGGTGGGCGTCTAGTTCTAGTTTCAGTCACAGATCCGCGGGCAAGAGATCGCTTTTAAACATGAACACAGTTTCTACTTCAGACTTGATTCTCGAAGCCAGAACTTCGATTGGGGCGTCTCGGCGTGGTGGAGCGGAGCGCTCTAGCCGCAGCGCGGCTCGTCGTCGTCTTCCTCGCAGGTCGCCGTCGACGCCAGGGCCGTGCCCAGCACCACGATGTTGACGATGGCGGCGAGCAGGAAGGCGGCGGCGCGAGGCATGGTGGGTGGCACGCCGCGAGCACGCCGGGTACACGACTAACGACCACGGCGGCCTGCTCGGCCTGCTCGCGGCCCGGCACGCTTCGGGGCGGCGCGCTCCGAGACCGTCCCGGGCGCCGTCGTCCGTCCCCGTCGCACCTGCGGCCGCGCCAGCCGGTGCCGGTGCCGCGGCGCGCTCCCCGCACGCAGCCCCTCGGGGCGTCGCGACGCCCAGCGACGCCCAGCCCAGTGCCGAGACTTCGAGACGCTATTTTAAGCCCCTGTTCGGCCAGCTGTTCGGGGCGGTGGTATTCTAACTGGCCCTCCGCCCTCCACGCAGAGTCCGTCCCGTCCGCGCACTGAGGTCCGCGCGCTCAGCTGACGGCCGGCGACTGCCCCTCGCGCCCCGCCCGGCCCAGCAGTCCCCGTCAGGCTCCTACTTCCTGGGGACACCTCTCCGTCGACGCTCCTGGTCGCACCCCTCCCCGCTGAAGGCTGCCGCTTGCTGCCACCCTGCTGCAGCTAAAACGGGTGCGCACCGAGCGCACGGGCCGAGCCTGCCGAGCCCCGTCTCAAGTCAAGTCGAGCCCCTGCCTACCGGCGGGGCGGCCGCACGCCGCGCGCTACTGCACGATGGGTTGCCTACCACGGCGGGCTGAAGACGATGGCGTGCAGGACCTGCCAAGCAGGGAATGCTCAGTCTCGCGTGGTCTTTTCGAGCCAACGGCGAGCTGTGGAAGCCGAAGATTTCTGATTGGCTGCTGGGAGCCTCTCAATCAAGTAATTTTCAAGTCACACCTGGTTTGATTCAATTCACGTCGAGTATTTTTCAGTTCAAATCCTGCGCCCCTTACACGAGGTCCTCGCACCGCTTCGCACCGAGGAGAGGAGAGGCGCGTGTCTGGCGGTGGGGCGTTGCGTTATCGCCGAGCTTGTCCATCCACGAGTCCATCGCGGTGGCGATTGAACCCATTAACCTATTACCTCTGCGTCACCGCACGGATGCCCCCGCCCCGCCGTGCCACGCCAGCCTAACCTTCGCCGCGATTCACCGAGCGCGTCCTTCCGTCGAAGCGTGATGACCCAGTCAAGAACGCCATAGATTCAAAGCGAATCTGTCACTAGTTACGGCGATTGCGTGAACCTCGCACTCAGGCGAGGGTCAGGTTAGGTTAGGTTAGCTTAGGTAAGGTTAGGGTTGGGTGAGGTTAGGTTAGGTTAGGGTATGGTGCAGGTCTACTAACCAACAAGGACTGCTGTCACTGATGTGACTTTCTTTGGCGACCGTAAGTCGTGTTTCGCACTGTCAAGAACACAGTCTGCCAGTCATAGCGTAGAACTAAGAATAGGAGGGCCCGATGGGCCGAGGCAGGCCGAGGCAGGCCGAGGGCCCTGAGCAGTCCGGACAAGCGACGCGGTGTTGCGACGCACTGACCCCACCCGCCCTGGCTGCCCTGCCGCGACAGCGCGACATGCAGACCGTGATTGACAAGGCGCACGAGGCCCGTCGAGGGCGTCCGAGAGCGGCGCCGACGGGGCCCTCTGAGCGGACCGTCGTCCGTACGCGGCCCCAGCCTGGCCCCAGCACTGCTCCAGACGGGTGGGCGAGGCGCCTGTCCCGCCTGCCATTGTCAATGAGGGTGGGAGTCTGGGAGTCGACCCAAGACCCGAGACGACGGGAAGGACGCGGTGTTGGCCCCGTCCGCGTCCTGGGATCGAAGATCGAATCAATCGGCTGATTCGCGAGGATGTTCACCCCCCGGGCCCCATTAAACCTCGCGGAAAAGAACCACTCAAACATTCCTGCACGTTTCTGCCCGGAATTCTGCTAGAAATTCGCGCATTCGAAACAAACCTCCCCTTGCTCCGCGCTGCGCACATTGCCGGCAGCTGCGACGGGGGCGCCTATCTCGACGCCATTTCCGGTCGGGGTTTTGCGTCTCCGGTTCACTCCGGTTCGTCGCGTTTCAACACCCCCTCCCAACTAAGCAGTGTCTAAGCGAGCTTGCTGGCAACGCGAACGACACAGAGCGAAGTAACACGCTCTGAACGACGAACGGATAATTTCGAGAAATGCGAGCATCGTAGCAATGGAGGGAGCGCGCGCAGAGCAGCACCGGGCACTCTCTGTACTTCCTCCCAGGCGGCCGGACCAATTTAGAGTCATTTCCGTGTCGAGCACGCACGCATAATTCACTCAATCAATTTGGAGGACATTAGTGTCGCGGGCGCAGCCCTGGCCGAGCTTTCCTGGACGGCGAGAATTTGATTCGAGCTCGGCTTCGAATCCCGAACGGCGGCGGCTGTGGAATTTCTTGAGGATCGGTGAAGTGCGCCGTGCGGTCAAGTTGGGGCAAGGTAAGTCGATCCGTATTAGGTTAGGTTAGGTTAGCTTAGGTTAGGTTAGCCATCGGAGCGTGCACGTGGACGCCGTGTGGCGGGGGGCATGGCGGCAGCACATCTATCTGACCGGGGCATAAATCACTGGCCTTGCCTGGCCAGCCGAATTGGCCGCGACAGCGCTCTACAGCACCAGTGCGACAGCGCTGTCGCTGCGGGTCCCTATTTAAGACCTTCCCTGCCGCTGCCTGGGCTGCCTGGGCTGCCTAGGCCGCTGCGCTGCCGTGTGTGAGGGTCCGTTCCTAAAGTTGCCAACGGCGCGGGGCTCCTCTCCAGTTCCGACCGGCATTGACCCTCGTCTGCCAAGAGGCGTTGCCGCTTTTAATTGGACCAAGGCGTTCTCAGTCCGCAGCGTTAGAAGCCAGCTGCACCCGAAACGCAAAGAAAGATTCTCTTTACGCCCCGCCGCGGTTTTACAATTCTAAACATCCGGATATTGAGGTGGCTCGAGGTGACTGCAAGGACTTGCGTCAGAACGTTCCACCATATGATAGTCGAACGTCCGACATTGGCAAATTATTTTCTATTTTCTTTCGCGAGTCACGTGAGAGCTGATAAAAAAGGTTAAAAATATTTAAAAATGAATTTTAAAGCCATATCAGTATGCAGTAATCTTGATGGGTTCTAGTTTAGGGGTGGCAGGGTCCCACATAAATACTGTTTTCTCAGTGCATGACGCACGATGCCACCGCTCCCAGTACTTGTTGAACGTCAGTCCATTTTCCCAAGATAAACTTAAACAGGCGAACTCCTATCAACGAACTCCATTGGAATATTGCCGTGTACTATCAAGAATGAAAAATCTGGGTGCTGCAAAGTCACTTGACTTTTAATTCTTTTGTTGTCCTTTCAAGCAAACACGTAACCCGAAACTCTTCGCAGCAGCAGTGAAATGACCCTGCGAGCCCTTCCCGTTCCGTGCACGGCATCCCTACGGCGAGTTCACTGGCCCTGGCAAGGCCCCGGCATGGCCCTGGCAAGGGGGTTGGGGTGTTGCGTCGCGGCCTTTCGCAGCCCCGCCCCGCCTTCTTGCGGCCCCCGTCCCAGCTCTGGGACTGGGACCGACCGTAAAGTCGATTGGTTCCCCGGAAATATTTTGCATATCGCCGACTAGATTGCAAGCGTGAATGCCCCCCGCAGCTCGCGGGCCGCGCGGCACGGCGCCGCCCCTGGGACGCCGCGGCCGCCGCCGATCCGCCGCCCCTCCGCACGGCCCCCGTCCCCTCCAAGTGCAGCCAGTTGGCGGACGAGGCCCCCGGGAAGACCCGGGCGAAAGCTGGCACATCTCATTTTTGATCGGAATGACTACTGGCGTCGTTCCTGTTGCCGCGTGGCACGGCGGCCTCGACGGCCTCCGCCACGGCCTTGGCGATGGGGTCGCCGGCCCGCCCGCCCCCGGCCCCGCCCCCGGCCCCACCCTCGGCCTCCCCATGCCTCGCGCGCAGCCACTTTCCCGAAGAAAATGGAAAACGCGGCGGGGAACGATGAGGCCCGTCCCGGCCGTCCCGGGCTGCTCGCTGTCTCACATTTGCATTACCGAAATGACGTTGCGACGATCAGCCCGCAACTCGTGCTGCCTGCCTGCCAGGGCCATCCTGCTGCTCCCCGCACCTTATTTGTCCGCTGCGGCTCCGAGTTCGAACCGCTCATTTTGCATCCATAGCGTCAGTCTACTGGGGGTTATATTGGACCGCCGACGCCGACACGCCGGCCCGGGAATATCAAATTAGTTTGCGAGAGACCGGCGAGGAATCACAACGCCCGCAAGTAATTTTTCAAAATATGAAAGTAAAAATATTCCCGGGGTTGTTTTTATGATTGCGAAATGTGAGGAGGGGCAGGAGGAGCGGGAGGGGCTGGACTTTTTGGTCACGACTTGGCCGTCGCCGACCGGCTGTCTCGACGGAGCTTGGGGGAGGGGGGGGGGGGCGAGGGAGGGTGGTCGACGCGGGCCTTGGGGCAGGCAGACGGGGTGGTTCGCGTTGCGTGCGAGTCCCTGCAGGCTGCATCCGGATCAGCGCCTTCGGCCCCTACAGCCCCATAGTCCCCTACAGCCCCCTCGGACGGCGCGGACGGCGCGGACGCAGCCACCGATTTTGACCGCAACCCCCGCCCCGCCGTGACTCACGCACGCGCGTGGTGGTAAGGCCAGGCCGGCCAGGCCGGCCAGGCGGGGCCGTGTCGAGTGGCAGGGATCATTTTCGCCGAACCACGCCACCGCGTTCATATTTTACATTTTACTTATGAATCTAGGAGACTTTTGTTTTAATCAGGAGCCAAGAAAAACCTAGGAAAATCGTCTTTTTGGTGCGGTTCTTCCACTTTCGTCCAGTCAATCAGGGCCGAAACGCGGCTGACTCGCAGAAAAGGAGTCTCGCAGGGGTGCGTTTGGCATCCTTCCCGGACTATCGTGCTCATGTCCCATGCATTGGCCCGCGAGTGATTCGTAAGTGAAATGGCTCCGACCGCCCGGCAAGGCCCGGCAGGCCATCTGGAACCTCCACGGCCACTGAGCCGTCGCGCCGATGCACGCCGCAGCGCCGCCTCCTGCTCCAGGAGCTGAATATCGTTTTCCAGGCCGCCACCCCGCGTCTGTGCTTCCGTCGCACGCCAACAGGGGCCGCCAGGGGCGCAGCCATCGCAGACTGGAATCGGATCGGCACTTGAAATCTAGAAGCGTCGTGTGTGTGTGTGTGTGAGAGTGTGTGAGAGGAGAAGGGGGAGGGGGTACCTACACTGCAGCAGCGTCGTCGTTGGACTCGCACCTGAGGGACGACGGCCATCGAGGCAAAGCCGGGCCGCCGCCGGGGTCCGTGTGTTCGCCCAGATCACTTCCAATTCACTTCCAATATCGATGGGCCAGGAAATAAGCAGAGCCGGTCGCTTTAATGTCGCCGTGTTTGGGGAATGAAGATTTAAGAAAGCTATCAGGGGCGGGGCGGGGCGGGGCGGGGTGGGGCGGGGTGGGGCGGAAGAGGACACCATTGACTTTTCGTACTGCTGCATCATTCAGCAGAATCGGAGGCTCTACTCCTGGCGTGACTGTAGGGCTGGCATGGCAGTGCTTCTCCATCTCTGTCCCCCGACGGGGGACTCGGTGGCGGCGGGCGTGACGCCGCACTGGCCGCGCGCATTATCAGTCCGGGTCCGAGACCTCCAGGACGGCGGGCAGCATGGCGACACGCACACAGTGCACGCACGGCCGCGGCCGGGCAGGGCGACTCGAACGGCCCCGTTACGTAACGAAAATGGACACGTTGTTCCGAAGGGGCCGTTGAGGAATTTCCGAGCTAGTGTAAGTCCGTCCTTCTCTGCAGTTGTTGTTAAAGTCGACCCAGCCTTGCGCCCTGCGGCCATCGGACTATGCACCTGTCCCCGCCGCGCCCCGCCGCGCAGCACTCAATGGCTGCGAATGCGAATGCAGCCGTTCGCCGCGCGGGAGCAGGTGTGTGGGGGGAGGGAGGGAGGGGGCTTATGGCAGGGTTAGGGGTTCCACCTCGCAGCGGCGCGGCGCGACGCGACGCGACGCCACCCAGGTAGCCAGCTGCGGCCCTCCCGTCGCGCCCCGTCACGTAAATTGTGAACCCTCCAGACGAAACACGCCCATCATGTCGTTGAGTGCTCCCCGGCTCCAGTCGCTCCAGCCGCCACGGAGGCCCTGGAGGCTGGAGGCCCCAGACTCCTGCGGCAGGACGCCGTCTGGGGCCTTGGAAGGGAAGGGTCGGCCGCCCGGCCGTGTTCATGCGATCACGCGAGTAAAGCAGGCCCGGGACGGGGGGCACCTCTACCTCTACCTGGAGAAGGCGGGCGTAGGGGGCTCGAGCACGCTGGAGAAGGGGGAAAGGGGGGGGGGGGCGTTCCACAACACGGAGCGTCGCGACGACGCCCACCGCCGCCGCAGCGCTCGGTGCTGGCCGCCGCTTGGCCGCCGTGCCGCCGTGCCGCTGCCTCGAAGGCCGCCGCCGCGACGCGGTGCTGCGGTGCGGGGCGATGCACGCCGCTCGACGCTGGCCGCCTCGCCTCGCCGCGCTCAGTGCTGGGCCGGCACGCGGGGTGAGCGAGTGAGGCACGGAGTATCGCCGCTCGCCGCGCCGACCGCCACCGCCGCGCACACGACGTGCTTCGCGTCGTCCTCGTCGTGCCGCGAGTGTCTGCAGCAGCGACGCCTTGCGCGGGAGTGTGTGTGTGCGTGCGTGTGTGTGCGTGTGCGGTTCTACTGCCAGTTCCCGGCGAAAGGTTAACCACCTAGACAAGTCGGCCTCCTCGTCGTCGGCGTCCTCCACGGGGAAGTCCCGCGTCGCTGTCTCCTCGGGGGCCTTGTCGTCGCCCCGCCGCCCGCACCCAGGCCGTGGCCGTCGAGGGGAACCTCGGCAGCAGATTCCACGCCCCCACTGGAAGTACCAGTCGCCAAGACGAACTCCGAAAAGTAAGTGTCCTCCTTCCGGACTGGTTTTGGCGGTTTGGCGGTCCGGCGGAGAGAGAATGCGGCGAATTGCGCGGCCGCCAGGCGGGCGCCAGGCAGGCAGGCAGGCAGGCAGCCGGTCGCGCAGGACGCCGGCCTCGGCGCGATGACGTGAACCAACATTGTGTGTCGCCACCGCGGTGCTCTGCCTTGCCTACCCGGCCCGCCGATGCCGGTCCGGCCTCTACAGTGACAGGCGACGCCAGCAGCGCCAGCGGCCTAGTGAGTCTAGTAGTGTAGTCCTCGCCTGGCGGCCCGGCTAGCTGGGCTGGTCTAGCGCGGCCTGCACTGCCCAGCCTCGCCGCGGCCGTGGCGCAACGCACCGCGGGGAAGTCCGGCCGATGACGCCGTGCTCGGCTCCGGCGGCTCGCGTGTCGCGGGCACGGGCAGCACACTGGTCGGAAGAGCGGGCAGGCTGACCACGCCAAGCCGCGTCGCGCGTCGCTCGGAAGTGTCACAATCATGGCGCTGAGAATATTCCCCAGGAAAAAGAAACTTGGAGCTGGAGAAAAACCTGGAGCGGCGGTGGCGGCTGCTGCGCTAGCTGCGCTGCATCCCTGGGAACACGTCAAGCAGGCCGTCATCTGTGCAAATAATCGAAGAAGCTATTGACTGTTTCAATAGTGTGTTTTTTCGGGGCGCGTTGGGTTTCCATTGTGAGGGAACGGCGAAGGCGGCATGGCGTGGGCAGCCTTTCGCTCCCTATGTTTCATTCACCGAGTCCGAGGCGCAAGCGGCGCGGCCGTCCCAAAAGTCTAGTGCCGGTGAAGCAACTCTGACTGCCTCGACTAGAGCTGCGGACCCACGCGCTACGCGCTACGCGCAACGCCACGCAGCGCCCGCCCGGACTGTGCACTCGCCCACTCTAGAATATGTATCATCAAGCGTGTGCATCCCGGCAAAACTATTATTAGGCACCAGAAATCTCCCACCGGAGGAACGTTAACGGGGGAACAAAACCATCATTTTCTGATTGCGAATAATTCGGAATGATTCGAAGGAAAACTAGTCGATTAAGTACTCAGGTCGACCGCGCTGCGTAAGTTGCTCGGACGGACCGCGCGGGACACTGGCGGGGCGACGGGCCGCTCGGACCACCAAGTCGGTCCCTACGCTACGCCACGGCTACGCGCTACTACGCGCCGCACCATTTCGCCCGCGCCATCAGGGAAGAGGGAATTGTCAATCAAATCCAATTCCCGACGCACAAAAGAAAACCACTCACCACTTCCTGGCCCTACGCACTCCCCGCCCCGCCCCGCCCCGCCCCGCCCCGCCCCGCCCCCGCCCCGCCCCGCCCCGCCCCGCCCCGCCCCCGTCGTGTGCGACAAAGACTGCCGCCCCGCACCTTCATCCGCTAGTCAACACGCCGGCCGACGCGAAATCCAAGTGGAAATTGATTTGGATGGGCATCGCCATCAGCGCCGGAATCAAGACTGCAAACTCCCCGAGCGCGCGCCCCGCGCCCCGCCGCCCGGAGGGGACCAGCGGGGCGCCGAGGGACCGCGCCGAGGCGGCGGGTAGGGGCGACGCACGCCACGACACTGTCGGCACGACGCGGTCGCCTCTTCATTATCAAGCGCTGCTTCTTTTTCTCCCCGACAACGTGCTTCTAAAGTGCGCAATAGACTTGGGTAATTGAGTTTGCCACTTTCCGGCGCGCTGCCGCGGCAGCCGCGATGACGGCGGCGGGGACTAAGCGGGGACGGGGATCGGGGGCGCGCCGCGCTGGCTGGCCGGCCGGCCGGGAGGAGATTGTCTGGAGTCTGCAGGCAACCGCAGCGCCATCCCATCCTCCAGCAGCAGGCTCATTCAAAGCGCACATTCCGAGCGGAGCTGTCGTCGCTCTGCCTCTCTCGCACTCGCGGGGCGTCCCGTGGAGGTGCGAGAGAGAAGCGCCGTTCGGCAGCAGCCGGGCCCACGCCGCGGTCTAGTCCGCGGCACGCTGGCACGCCCCCGCAACGGCGCTGTACCGAGCCCAATACGTCGTGCTTCGATTGGTATCTATGATTGTGTCACCGGGTTCAATTGAACAAGTGCGCCGTGCCGGGCCGTTCCGCCAGGCCGCTCTCCACGGCGGGGACCGTCCCGTCCCGTGTCCGCAGCGCCGTGCCGCGGTCGTCGGAAGCTGTTCGAAAAGGGGCCGATTCAGAAGGGCATGCGTGACACAATCACGCCGGTGTCTCTACTTTGTGGCGAGGCTCGAGGGGCCTCTGGACGCGACAGCTTCACGGTCTCTAGGACCGCCTAGGGAGGACACACACACACACGCACACACACTCGGGTTTCACGCCGTACAATAATTCCGAGAGCATCTGTCAATATTTACTGACGCGTGGCCGGCCGTGTGGAGTGCGCTGGAGCGGGGCGGGGCGGGGCGGGGCGGGGCAGGCGCGCCGCTGGGGATGCGAATCGCCGCTCCCTCCCGCTACAGCTCTAGCAGTGCACTAGCACTTGCACTCCGTGCTCGGTGTGGGCGTGATCCATATGGCGGCGCCAAGACTGCGCATTACAGTGTCGTGCGTGTAATCGCGCAACGCACAATGCCATCTGCTGGAGCCGCCTTGCCCTGCCCCGCCCCCGCCCCGCCGCCGCGGGACCGAGTTCGAGGCCCTCCCGGGCCGGCTTTTATATACGAATTTTCCATGCCCCGCACCGCACCCTGTTTCTGCTCCGCGGTGTGTTTCAAGTTATCATTTCTGATCCAGTCCGCAAACCGGCCCGCCCGGATTTTCGCCCCGCGGGGTAGGGCTGTCGTCGCGGGAGGGTCGGTGGGTCGGAGGGCGCTGCCGCCGCTGGGTCGAAGGGTCGGAGGGTCGGCCTGGTGCGCCCTAATGGACGCTGTCCTCTCCACTCGCTAATATTTGGAGAGGCCGCACGCCGGGGGCGCCTTGCCAAGCCTTGCCAGGCATCGGGGTGCGCGTGGCAGAGGCAACGAGGCAGCGGTCCCGCGGTCCAGTCAGGCCTAGGCCCGACCCGGCCGGCCCACCTGTGGGCCAGGACGGCCACCTCGATCTCGCCGACCAAAACAAAACACGCACTGCTTGTTTCCGGCTGGACCGGACCGGCCAGTAGCTCGACGGTCGTCTGTAAGAATGTCACTGTTGTTATTGTCTGGATCGCGCCTAATTTGCGTGAGGGACGCGAGGCGGCAGGTTGGGGGGGTTCTAAGTGCTTCGGAGCAAAGCACGGTGGCTGTGGCGGCAAGCAGGGCCTTGTCCAGGACGACTAGAACTACTCGGCCAAGCGAAGGGAGAAATAGTGCACAGTGCCGTGGGGTGGCGAGAAACTGGAGGGTCGCTGGAAATCATATACTGAGAAAACATTCTGGCCTGGCGGCGGCGGCGGTCCAGGGCCCGCCAGTGCACCTGCCCGGAAAAAGCAGAGCCTTCTTCGGAAAGAAAAGAACGGCTTCGCGAACGAGCAAACATTGGCCGCTCCATGGAGGCCTGCGCAGCCTGCGCAGCCTGCGCACCTCGCCGACGTTATGAGGATAGATTGTTTCTCAAACGGCTCAAAATTAAATTTTTTTCTCCTTTGCCGCCCGGAAGCGCCGGCGCCTCCCGCCATGATTTATCACCAATTTATCCGGCCGGTGTTTGCCCGCGCGCCACCTCGCTGCGAAAGTTAACCCTCCGAGTGGATTCTCATCCGCTAATCTCATTATTTCGAGTTTATACACGAAATGAGCGCCGTGCTGCCTGCCTGCTTGCTTGCCTGCCTGCTCGCCGGGCCGCCCCGCTAGGGCTGCCCGTCGCGGCATCCAGGCCGCCCCTTCGTGACGAGACGTGACGCGGGACGCGGGGCGTGACGGCGGTCGCGTGACGAGGCGTCGACGGTTGTCACGCCGAGTTACCCAAAGGCAGGGCGGCGGCGATGCGGCGACGCTTCGGGAGTCCCGGATGCGTTCAAGTTCCCGACCCAGCGGCGGCCCGGCTCCACACCCTTTTTCGTTCGTTGTCTAAAGAAGGACAAAAAATTAAATTAGCTTTACGGAGTTGTGCGCTGGTGGGGGCGGGAGCAGCCAGAGCAGCCAGACGGTGGTGGCGGACAAACGGCGAGGAAGTGCGCCCTGGGGTGCAATTATGGCCGCCCCCTCCACTGTGCCAGCAGCGCAGCAGCACCGCGACGACCACGCCTTCGTCGCCAAGGCACGCCGAGGCTGCTGCCGTGTCCAGGGCGTCCAGGCCGCGGCAGAGGGGCGGGGCGGCAGCAGCGGCAGCACCGCGGCCTGCTCGCTAAAAGCGCACCTTCCTGGCCCTCCGCGTTCGCCGTCGTCCCCCTCAGTGCGGCCCGCTGTTCATGGCCGTCATGGCCTCCTCCGGGACGGCGCGGCCGGCTTATTGCGACCGCAAAGGGGTGGCCGCAGCCACCGCACCCTCCGCGGGGAGTCGCATTGGGCCATTTAGCGGTGCACCGCCCGGCAGCGCCTCGCCGTCGAGAGAGTGGGCTGCGCCCGCGGCCCAACGACGCCGGCGAGGAGCAGTTCCTTGTCGCGAGCCTCCTTTGTGGCCCGCTGGCACTGCGTAGCACTGCGCGGGCTCGCTCCGGCGCCGAGGGGGTTGCCTGCTGCCTGCAGCCTGCCTGTTGCTCGACTGAGGCGTTTTCGGGCTTATTTCCAAACCGCCGCCGCGGGCGCCGTCACGCTCGCAGTAATGCAGGCAGCGGATTTGGCGCGCATATCGCATTCCCCCGCCCCCGGCCGCCCCCGGCCGCCCCCGGCAGCCCCTTGGCGCGGTACCGCTGCTGGAGTGCACCCCGCGGCGGTGTCATTGGCGGGGCGCGTGGGCGGGCCGCTGGAGTCGCTGGAGGCTGCTGGAAGTGATGGGCCGGGCCGCGCTGCCGGGCTGGGAACGAGGCTCACGCGCACAGCGAAACACTCGAGTTGAAAAACTAAACGGAAGGCACATCGGCTTCCCCGGCAGTCGATAAGGTGCGGCCGATAACGCGCACCAAATCGGCAA